GGGGTCTACTATGTAGACATGCGGTCAGCCTTCTACACCCCGTATCGCAGTGCAGGAAAAGAAAAGTGGGACAAAGACTGGTTTCACATGCTCGAACACATGGCCGACGAGATTGAAAAGTTCAAAGCGAGTGAAGAAGGGAAAGAGTTTTGGGGCGCAAGAATGATCTGGACTACCATCCGTCAGTTTGGAACCAAACAAGTTATTGAGAGTATGTCACACAGCATCAGCGCAGTCAATATACCTAAATTCCATAAAAACACAATTTCACCCACTAATAGCGCACCAGGTATGAAGCAATGCATAGAAATGAAACTCGAATTCCCCGAAATCATTGCAGGTTACGACCTCGTCGGGCAAGAAGATCTTGGGCGTTCTCTCTCAGATCTAGCCCCTGAACTCTTCTGGTTCCGCAAAGCATGCGCACAAGAAGGTGTCGACATACCCTTCTTCTTCCATGCGGGCGAGACGCTTGGTGATGGCGATTCGGTAGACGAGAACCTCTTCGACGCCATTATCCTCGGTACCCGACGCATCGGCCACGGCTTCAGTTTGTACAAACACCCACTGCTAATTGACATGGTCAAGGAGAAACGGATCCTAGTAGAAAGTTGCCCAGTTTCCAATGAAGTGTTGAGGCTATGTGGAAGCATCATGTCACATCCTCTACCAGCGCTCCTTGCTCGCGGCGTGCCTTGTTCGCTGTGCAACGATGATCCAACTATCTTGGGCCAAGGCGTATCGGGTATGTCGCATGATTTCTGGCAGGCGCTCCAGGGCTGGGAGAATCTGGGGTTGGAAGGTCTGGGCTCCCTCGCAGAGAACAGTGTGCGTTGGGCTAGTCTTGACGATTATACTGCAAAAGATTGGACACAAGATATCAAGGATGGCATGTTCGGCAAGGGCATCCGCGCGCAGAGGCTGAAGGAGTGGGTTAGCAAGTGGGAGAAGTATTGCGCCTGGATTGTGGATGAATATGGGGTTGATGTGAATGTTGAGCCAGAAGAGTAGGTAGTTACAGTTTTCCAGGTGTCGGTTTGCCTCTCTCGAATAAATAAGATTCAACATCGTATCGTCATATTGTTGCATATTCAGCGAAGTATTGGTGCTATGATGCTAGAGAATGGCGGTTGGATATATTCAACAGAATTTGGCTGTCTTTCATACTACTGCCAACCTAAGAAAAACATTCCTCCTCAGCTAGAAACAGACATATCGACAAAGAAACACAACAAGCAATCAGATGTGGTAGGTGCTTAAGTTGGAGCGTGCAAAGGGAAGGGAGGAAGGTCAAGAGTAGAGAACACTAAATTCTATGAGAAATGGTTGCTGAAGGATGTGGAAAGTTTGTTGCGTTTTGATGCCATCATGCCGTGGGGCGACAAGGCCTGATGCACCCACATCGTACGTACATGACTGTTCTGAGACTAGTGCCGTTGCCCTGCAACCATGTCCGGCTCTGGCGCGTCATCGTAGCGCATTACGCGTCGACACAGGCGCCGAACGTGCAACATACTATTTCCAAGTCTCGCACAAGACAGCACACAAACCTGCCCCAGCTCATCCTACGTTTACTTCAGACTTCTGCCAATCTAGCTTAATATCTGAGTGACTACTGTGCCGTCTTCAGTTGTTCGTTTTCAACCACAAGCCTTGACGGCTATAAGGAGCACGTACCCTTACCGGACCTGGTAGCTACGTTCTTCGGAAACCCTGTCGAACAACGATTCATTGTGATTTCGACAAGATGCGTCCAAGCGTTGTATTGGCGGGAGCATCGCTCTTGATTTCAGTTTCAGCTTGGAATACAGATGGTAGGCTGTGATGCCGTATCCCGAGATGTCCCCTACTGAGTCAACCTAGTCCATAATCAAATCGGCTTTATGGCAGAGACGTTTTTCACACCAGAAACCACCTCGGTCCTTGCTAAGATCCTCGAACCACAGTATAACGGCTCCGTTGGGCGCTCAGCAGCATGGGCAGACGCCTATGCACACACCCAAGAAGGTCGCTTCTCTTACCAATGGCACTGGATTGACACGCATGACAGCCCGCCAGAGAAATGCCACCTGGAATACACTCACGACTGTGCTATTGGTGGATGTGTGGTGAGCGCCATCGCAAATCAGACGAGCATCCTGCGTGAATGCATAGACCAGGTTCAAAGTGGTCATTTAACAAGAGGGGCCAATCTGACCTGCTCTTATGCTTTGAAATGGGTGGCGCATTTCTTCGGAGATATCCACCAGCCTCTACATGCGAGCGGGCGCGCAGTAGGCGGTAACACTTATAAAGTAGTTTTTGGAAACGTCTCTACCCAGCTACATGCTGTAAGTCTTGTCCATCGGTTGAAGTGAAGTATTCAATGCTCATCAACACAGGTCTGGGATGGCTATATACCATACTATGCGGCAAATGTCAGTCATCCATTCTCTAACCAGTCCATCGATGCCTTTTTCACCGGCCTTGTTTCGCGCATTCGGAAAGATGAATTCTACTCTGCACCATACATGTGGCTGTCATGTGTGGATCCTTCGACTCCAGAGAAATGCGCAACAACCTGGGCGAAAGAGAGTAATAATTGGGACTGCGATTACGTATACAAGCGTGTGCGAAATGATACCGATCTTGGAACAGATGGGTATGCGACAGGCGCTGTTCCTATTGTTGAATTGCAGATTAGTAAAGCTGCACTCAGGTTGGGCACGTGGCTGAATAAACTCGTAGAAGAAAGCAGACATGTCTCTACAGAGTCAGAGGTAATCGAGCTTTAGGTCTCATCTAGGAACGTGATGTTTAGCTAAGAACTGGGTTCGTAGCTCCGAGTCAGAATAGTTGCAATGTCAGCATTCCATCCGCGCATCCGAAATAGTCTATATGTTCCTAATGAACAAGACTAGATCTGCCACAACAATTATACGTCCCTTGTCTTCTGCCTAATAGACAAATTCATGCTTATCTCCGTCTGTTCTTGATCTCTTCGTATGTATAAGAAGCCTTTTGCTCTATTCGTTTCCCTTTTGCGCTCTTGAAACGGAGTATGTTAACTACAAATTTCCAACATTCTTTCACATACGATCATAGGCAAAGTGTCGCTCTGGGTCTCGTTCGCTCCCCGCACGATAAACCTTTGACCGGCGGATTAGTAGTTAGGTGGGTGACCACTGGCGAATCCCCGCTGTCGTATGTTTTGCACTTTTTTTGCAACCATAGTCCACACCGTGTGACCTATCCCCGGTATTCACTCTCCCCACTGCTTTCCAACCCCATGTAACTCAAATTGACATCAGCCGATTGAAGGTAGGATGGGAGAAGACAAATCTCAGTGATGCAAATAGACTGATAAAGGAGTGGACTTGCGCCTGGTTTGACCGTCGAAAATAGAATTCCAACTTTTACAACCTACACACACTACAACAGCATTGATATTATGTACTACTCGAAGTATTCGAGCCGTACAGTTCCAGTGTCAACGATACCTTGGCGTCAGTCGCGTTACTACCAACATGACGGGACCCCACATCGGCATTGCGTACTACGTCCTACCTCCCCACATGCGTGTACCCACTCGCCTCTCTGGAACAACTTCCACAGTTGAGATAAATTCTTTTCCTTCGTGGCTTCATTTTACCATACTAGCATCCAGTCTATTAATATAAAAGATAATACAAACCAGCATGGCCTTTGAAGAACTTAATGAAAAGATCACCCCAGCGGTATGTTTATACAGAGGCCCCACATCCGCTCTTCGGCATTCCCATCTTGTATAGAAGTGCATCAAACCACGAACAAATATCAACGATTACATCTTTACTGCTATAAAAAGGATATGTTAATAATGTTTTCAGAACCCTAGTCGCGAAGTATCGCCGAATCGTGGATCTTCAGTACCTCAATCGGTCGCCATTCCTAAACCCTGCAAACCACTGCGACAATGGCAACAAGAACAAAATATTGATTGCGATGCGCAAATCAAACTTACCAAACTCGTACATATGCGATACCAGCATCCAGATCTTGATGAAATCACTAAGTTCCTACGCGACTTTGGCATGAGCGTAGCCCAAAAAGCCGAGGGCAAGAAATGGTTCAAGGGGTATAATGACGAGCAATACGTCTACTATGCACAACAAGGCGAAAAGAAGTTTCTAGGGGGTTGCTTCGAAGTTGAAAGCTACGCCGAACTAGAAAAGGCAACCAAAGTCCCGGGCGCAAGTCCGATCGAAGAATTGACCGATGCCCCCGGCGGTGGCTCCATGGTCACCTTGCACGACCCGGAAGGCTTCCCTATCAACCTCATATTTGGCCAAACAAAAAAGGAACCCGGTCCCTTCCCCGAAATCCTGACCACAAACTACGAAAAAGACAAACCCCGCATTGCCCGCTTCCAGCGCTTTAAACCGGGACCCGCAGCCGTGCACAAACTCGGCCATTACGGCCTCTGTGTGCAAAAATTCCAGGAAGAAATGCAATGGTACACTCGAACTTTTAACATCGTACCTACTGATTTCCTGTACGTCAAAGTACCTTCAGAGGACCCTGCATCGCCCCCTCAGCAAAAAGATGTAGCCATCTTCGCGCATATCGATCTCGGGCCGGGCTACACCGACCACCACACCATCTTCTTGTCTTCAAACCCTACATCGCATGTACACCACAGCAGTTTCGAGGTTCACGATTTCGACACGCAGAATCTGGGGCATGAGTGGTTGGCGCAGCGGGGCTATAAGAGCGTTTGGGGCGTAGGTCGGCATATCTTGGGGAGCCAGTTGTTTGATTATTGGTGGGATACCACGGGAAATATGATTGAGCATTATGCAGATGGGGACTTGGTGAATGAGGATACGCCGGTAGGGTGGGGGGAGGCGGGGGATGAGAGTTTAGCTGTGTGGGGGCCGGAGGTGCCGAAGTGGTTTTTGGATTGAGATTACTGCATCATTTCTTCTCCCTTAGTATTAAATCAGTGCAAAAAATATTAAATTGACAGTTGGTTGATATGATTACCACTGCCTTGCTCTGCCCCACCTCTTATCTCCCACCCCGTCATTTCCAAAATACCTTCCGCTAACCTTCTCCCTGCTATTGCTGTTCAGACCTCCATCTTCGTTACCGCCCTCCCCTAAATCACCTATCGCAAGTCTAACAGGTATCCTCGCGCCTTCCTCCAACGTCTTCGGTGGCTTCCCAATCTGATCCCCCATATCGCTATCTACCCACCCAGGACAACAGCAATTCACTACCGCATCATCATTCTCTCTTGCCAACACTAATGTCAACGCATTCATAAGCGCTTTACTAACTTGGTATGATTTCGGCGGTGCCCCAAAGCCGGGCTCCTCCTGCTTTTGCAACTTTACGGCGTAAATGTATTCTTGAGCTAGGGCATCGATGTCTGAAACTGACTTTGCAGAGCGGAAACGCGATTGTATGGGGGAAGTGTAGTTTGAAAGGGAAGAGGCGGTGCTGCTAACGTTTACGATGCGCGAGTTTGGTGTTGTGCTCATTTTTCCTTGGGTGAGGAAGAGCTGGCACATTTCTTTTGTACCGTAGTAATTGATATTTATCGTTTGTTCAGCTAGCTCGGGCGTCTCATAGTTGTTGTTGTTTATGCCGGCATTGTTGATTATGACGTCGACTTGGCCGTCGTTCTGTAGAGTGTTGCTGACGAATGTTCTGATGGAGGATGTGTTTGAGATGTTGAGTTTGGCATATCGGATCTCGTTTGGAGGCAACGGTTGAATTTGGAGGTCTAGGCCACTGCGAGATGTAGCGTAGATGCATAAAGGTCGTGGATATTGGGTTTTGGCAAGGAGTTTGATTATGCCTTGGCCGATGCCGCGATTTGAGCCAGTAACAACAATGATCAGTGGTTGAGACATCTCGCCAATTTTTCGCAATGAAGTCCAGAATACTAGATAGAACACTTAGATACTATCATGAGAATGAGGGCGAACTTTACGTATTGAAGTTGTGGTATCAGTAATGTCCATGACGTAGCGATCACCGCGTAACCTCGTGACTACACAAGTGTTGAGGATTGAAGAGAGAGCCTCGAAAAAGCAACTGCCAATTTATAGGTTTACGCGATCCCTTCTATTACATAGCTTCGACTAGGTTTCTCGGAATTTGCCAATATGGGTCTTTCGCCTACTCCGTTTCAACTATCAGCATTCTCAAACTAATCGAGTGCGATGTCTCATTTCTAAACGTTGGCAAACCAGTGCACCATCCCGAAAATTGGAATTAAAGTATTATGGTTTTCTCAAAGAGTTGAGCACTTATAGGGCACTAAGCTGTGTAACTTGTCTGAGAAGAACGAATATATGTTTGAAGCCTAGAAGATGTGCTCTGACAGGATCAAGCGTAGGTGGCACTTGCACGAATACTCATTTATCGTGTCCACATCTCCCCATAATCTCGCCGAATATTTGGATTCATGGCACTCATACCAACATGGAATTTAGGCAAATGTGCGCACAAATCAATGGCGTAGCTATTGTTACCGGTTACAGGAGGCCTTAACGACGCCTAGATTGCCCAAGGCAACAACGCGCTAGCGCGACGTCTCGCCCATGTATCTAAAAGCATCGAATTCCCGTCTTCCGTCTTTCTACAGAACCTCAAATCCATTCAAAACTAAGAAGTCCTAAATTTCAAAATCATGACTTCCGGCGGGTGTATGAATTGCCTTGGTTGCACACTTGTGCGTCAAAGAGCAGAACAGCAGGCCGCAGAGAAACGCAAAATATTGAACACAAAATGTAACTGCGATTCTGACATAGGACCCAAAGCATGCCCAATTGTCGCCAAATGCAAAGAGCCCCTCGCTTGGTCCATATCTCCCTCTGAGGTCAAAGATCAAAGCAAATCTTCTCTCTATTCACTCATCCCGGGAGAAATTCGAGATTTGATCTTCACCTTTGCTCTCAAAGACACAACATCCTGTCCCATAGATCGCGAGCCTGCAGCACCCAACAATCCAGGAGCCCGTCGAGATCGCTATTTTCACCGTGGAGGCGGGCGAAAAGCCTTTTTCTATCCGTCCGATATCGCCTTCAACCTCCTCCTGACATGCAAAGCGGTGTATCTGGAGACATACGAAAAGCCGCTGCGTGTAAACCCCTTTGTCATCACCGATCTCACAGAACAGGTGAAGAGGCATCTCTTACTGCCCTGGCAATTCGCACAGATAACGCGACTGGACATCAAACTCCCGCAAATGAATCTGGAAAACGGAGCGCTAAGAAACGCGTTGAAAGAGTGGGAAGCACAGGCTCGACATGAAAATTGCTACGTTGTTCCCCGGCAAGCCCTTATCCTCCAGGATTTGAATGACAGGAAGACTGGAGATCACCCCATTTCTTTTGACAACGTCCTCATACCCGCTGCTACAAATACACCCGACAAACGACCCCAGTCCATTGACTTCGTGCTAAGTCGCGCATCCGTCACAGAAATTAGCGCACAACCTTGTTCATCCCGCTCACGCACCAGCCTTGCGGGCAAGATAACCCATCTTACTCTACGCCTCACAGCTCAAGACTGGTGGACATGGACCGAGGACCCAGCCTCCACCGATCCACACCAAAATCTCCGTCTCGATCCTACCTTTGGCGCACCTTTTCGCTCTCGTGGATCAACAGACGAAATGAAACTACTAGCAAGCGATCGCACAGCAGGTCGGCCTCCGAGTCTCAGTGCAGAGTGCTGGGGCACACACGTCACTTCTTCGTTACCTGACCTGCGGGTCTTGGAACTGGTGCTGGAAACGTTTAAGGAGAAGAAAGATCAGTTAGATACGGTTGTGGAATGTGCGAGGACCTGGACGTTTGATGTGGGCAAGAACACGTTGATCTGGGATGGAGAGTTTGTGGAGAAGAGCTACACGAGGGAAATGGCAGGGTTGAGGCTGCCTAGGAATGCGCCGTGGTATGATCGAAGTATGAATTCTGAAGTTATGGTTGTGCGGTTTGTTAGGGAGAGCAAATAGGCTGTGATGGAATATTCTGATTGAACAATATACTGGTCATGATACAATAGCTAAGTGTAGGGGGTAGGAGGCATCTCAAATCTTGCTTCCACCGGATTGCGGAACCTTAACAACAACTTTGCCCCAACTATTCCTACCACCAAGTGCCTTCAATGCAGCAGGCACACTCTCCAAGCCTACATATTCCTGATCTGTAAATGCAGTTCCCCGGTACTTGCCCTCCTTGACCAGCTTGAATATTCCATCCCAGACAACATCCTGCATTTCTGGTTCGTGGATCGCGTAGGCGCCCCAATGCAATCCCACAACGCTCACGTTCTTGAGAAGGATGCGGTTGGTAGCCATCTTCTCGATATCACCGGCTGCAAAACCAATAACAAGCAGGCGTCCGTTCCAGGCGGTGCACTTCATGGATTGCGCGATGAGACCAACAGGGTCGTAGACGATATCTACGCCGCGGCCTTTGGGCGTGAGCTTCTTGACTTGCTCGGGCCAGTCAGCGTCGCGATATGAGACGGTGTAATCGGCACCGAATGATCGCGCAACGTCGAGTTTGTGGGGGCTACCGGCTGTGGCGACAACAGTTGCGCCAAAGGCTTTTGCGATTTGGACGGCGGCTAGACCGACACCACCAGCTGCGGCGTGGACGAGCACCCAGTCACCTGGAATTGTGTCAGATAAATAGTATGGCTAGGTGTTTGGTGGTAAGGTATACCCTTCTTGATTCCGGCCCGGACAACCAACCCAGCGTAACTTGTAGGTGCTGTGACAAAGACGCCAGCTGCATCCTCAAAACTCCAGCCCTCAGGCATGCCTTTCAGCTTCTCTTCTGTGGACACAATATGTGTCGCATATGCACCCTGTCCAGCACCAAAGACCTTGTCGCCTTCCTTGAACTTGGGCGTCTTGCCTCCCGGTAGGGAAGTGGGCGCTTTCAGCACGACGCCCGAGAATTCTGAGCCAGCTACCCATGGGAATGGTGGTTGGTGTTGGTACTTTCCTCTGATTTGGAGGAGATCGAAGAAGTTGGTTCCCGAAGCGTGAATGGCGATTAAGTACTCGTTGGGTTTTGGTTCGGGCGTGGGTAGGTCAAGGACTTTGAGGTCCTCTGGGCCCTGCGGCTTTTAGTAAAAAAACGAAATGGGGATCGAAGCAGGCATTGTTACCTTGACATATTCCTTGAGTTGTATGCCTTTCATATTGGAGGAATGAGAGTTCGACTGATAGCAGTGACGTAGTGTCAAAATATCAATGGAGGCTCGGGGGTCAATATCAGACACAAAAGTCAATCCAAAGGGGGCAGAGGTAGAAGGCAGTGCGAGAGTGAAAGACCGAGACGGTCCATTGCGACATGGATAACCGCAGCGAGCTCCTCTCCACGCCAAAGATACCTCGGCTTGCATACCCCGGACGACCTCCGCTCCCGCTCCACCTAGAGCTTGGCGTAATTCCTTAGTCAGCGACAGCCGCACAGCCATGCACGGATACGCGCTAATGACGCCAGGGTAGGTGGTAGTGTTGGCGGGGGCCAGTGACGTTCTACCGCCTTCCAATTGAATCCAGGGCTACTCACAGCCACTCCGTCTGCTTCAACACACCTGTTCTTCTCGCTAGCACACGTATCTCGCTCCAGAGACACAGTATTCTTTCCGCCGCCCAGTAGTCCAAGACTTTACACAGTCCCCTCGCTACCCACGCTCGTGCGAAACAAATAGCTACCATGGCTGACGACGCCGCCACGTCCGCCGAGGAAACGCAGATAACCTTCAATGTCAAGGCCGCAAACGACCAGAAGCATGTCCTCACACTACCCAGCACCACCACCGTCGCCGACCTCAAGGCCAAACTTTCGACGTCGGAATACGCAGATGTTCCCGCTGACCGGCAACGCCTGATATATTCGGGCCGCGTGCTCAAGGACCCTGACACACTGGCAAGCGTCAAGATCAAGGATGGGCACACAGTACATCTCGTCAAGGGCGCTGCCAGCAATGCGAGACAGAACCCCGCAAGTCAGGGCACTGCAAGCACTGCTGGCACGAGCACCACACCTACTCCTCAGGTACCCACCAACATCGCCGCCGGAACAGGCAACAATCCTCTTGCGGGGCTCACTGGTGCGCGCTATGCCGGCTTTCACGGCTTACCTGGCATGGACATGTTTGGTCCAGACGGAGGCGTGAGTTCATTCAAATCTATACGACATAGGGAGATCATGTTGACATACACCAGATGGGGCCACCGCCGACCACCGAGTCCATGCTCGAACAGATGGAAAACCCCATGTTTCTGTCCCAGCTAAACGAGGCTATGAACAACCCAGCGGTAGTCGATATGATGTTGCAAAGTCCCATGGTACGTCTCCTGTCAGCCTTGTCTTTACTCCGTCTGACACATAATAGATCCGTGACAACCCGATGCTTCAGCAAGTGCTGCGAGACCCCGAAATGCGCCGTATGATGTTCAGCCCGGAGATGATGCGCATGCAGCTGCAAATGCAACGGAACATGGGCGGACGTGCGCCTGGTGCTCCACCTAGCTTCCCAGCGCCCGGTGCTACAGACAACACACCGCAATCAGGTTCTACGGCAACAGGCGAGGGCGCCACCGCGACACCCAACCAGACTAATACAACCACACCACCAAACCCATTTGCCGCCTTTGGTGGAGGTGCTGGAGCCGGAGCCGGAGCTGGAGCCGGAGCTGGAGCTGGAGCCAACCCATTCGCTAGCCTGTTCGCGGGAGGTCAGAACCCATTCGCCCCTCAGCAACAGCAGGGCGCAAATACTGGTGCACCACAAAATACACAAGATGCCTCAAGCACCTTTCCAAACCTGTTCGGTGGCGCTGGCGCGCAAGGCGGTCAGACCAACCCCATCGCAGAGGCCGCGCAACGAATGATGCAGAACCCAGAAGCCATGCGCAACATGATGCAGATGATGGGTGGAGGCGCTGGAGCAGATCCATTCGCTGCTGCAGGTGGTGCTGGCCAACCACCAGCTGGCAACCCTTTTGCCGCTCTCTTTGGTCCTGGTGGATTTGGTTCACCCCCACCACCGGCTGACAACCGACCACCGGAAGAGGTTTACGAGACACAACTGAGACAGCTCAATGAAATGGGCTTCTACGAATTTGACCGTAATGTCTCTGCCTTACGGAGAAGTGGTGGCAATGTACAGGGTGCTATCGAGTATCTACTCAACGGCGCAGTGTAGCATGCTTATCCGAGTATTATCTTAATATCTGAGCCAGTGTCGCAACAATTCCTACTACCAAGCGAGTTTGTGACGATTGAGCGATACGAGGAGATAGAAAGAATGGCTGAGGAGGATTTCGGAAGTGACATTGACGGCACATTGGACGCTTACGACAGCGAAGAAGACTGGTCCTTCGAGTACGAGGCTAACAAGATGGGTTCCTTGGACCTTTGACGTCTTTTTTTTGTGAAATGGATCGAGTAGGTGTAGTAATATTCGCTAGGAAGCTAGAGATGGGTGTATGATAGATACAATAGCAATGATACCACAAGGCAGAACAGTAACAAAATCGCCATTCATCAAACCCTCCCTTTCAAGTTGCATGTACCTATAAATAAGTTTTGCTAAAATCGTTGTTTTTCATTTCTATTCAAAACTGATTAGGTATGCAGATTGACTGTCATATGTCTTTGTTATAATATATGTGTGTTTTTGTGCGTTTCAAGCCCTTCAATTTTCAATCATGAGGTCAAAATTTTTTTGAAAACGCCTCAAAACAACCTTGCTGGGCACCATTGAAACCAAAATTCCCCCCTCCTTTTCAATCCTCCCCTCCCCCCTCTTATTTTTTCGGCACAATTTGCGAAGAGAAAAAAAACAATCGAGCAACAGGACATGAATTAAAAAAACGCCATAGCAATGCAAGTCCGCACAGAGAATTGAGCGAAAAGAAAAAGGAGGAAGAAGCAACGCGGGGTTTCAATCTTCGAGCGGAGGACGACGGGGAGAAAGGCGGGAGGGATGAGGTCTTTATTTTGCAAAAAACGCAATATAACGAACGGCACAAAGCTTAGGACTCTTCTGTCACCTAGTCACGCACACTGAGACCCGAACGATCCGTAAACATGCGGGTCGCGATATTCATAGCGAGCAGTTCTTGGAAGAGCAGTTTTGCTGCGTAAGGGATATGGATTTGCGAGATGCGAGTTTTGTTGTGGCAAGGGCGGCATTCGTAGAGGCCCTTCTTAAGTTGACTATTTCACAGCACGTTAGTGGCTGATTCACGGAATAGAAGGATAGACAGGGAAGGAAACTTACGCAATAGGACTCATCAGACCACAAATATCGCACACGTGGACGGTGTATGCGTCAGAGACGGTAAAGAGACGTTCCTTGAGGAAGGCTGCGGCACCGTGGGCAATCATACAATCACGTTCCATCTCTCCGAAACGGAGACCACCATCCCTGGCACGACCTTCGACAGGCTGGCGGGTGAGAATCTGGAGGGGTCCACGGGCACGAGCGTGGATCTTGTCGTCGACCATATGGCGTAGACGCTGGTAGTATGTGGGACCCAAGAAGATTTGCGTACGCAGTTTTTTGCCAGTGTGACCGTTGTACATGATTTCGAAACCACGCTTCTGGTAGCCGGCATCTTCGAGCAGCTGGGAGATCTGATCGACTGTGACGTCGGTGAAGGGTGTGGCATCACCCTCTTGTCCAGTGATGGCACCAACCTTGGACAGCAGACACTCGACCAAATGGGCAATTGTCATACGAGAAGGAATGGCGTGGGGGTTGATGATCAGATCTGGTGTCACTCCTTCACGAGTAAAAGGCATGTCCTCTTGACGGTAGGTGATACCAATTGTACCTTTTTGACCGTGACGAGAAGCAAACTTGTCACCAATCTGGGGTACCTTGGTAGTCCTGGTACGAACCTTGACGAATCGAAGACCCTCAGTGTTAGTGGTGAAGAGCACTTGATCGACGATACCGTTCTCGGTACTACGAAGAGGTGTGGAAACATCTCGCTTGGTGTGCAGAGTGGTCTTCTGGCCAAGCTCCTGAGCGTCCGCTGCAATGGGCGCAGTCTTTCCGATAATGATATCGTCACCGGACACACGTACACCAGGGGCGACAACACCGTCATCGTCGAGCTTGTCATAGGTACCACCCTTCAAGCGGAGAGTGTCGGCACGCGTAGGTTTCTCGAACTGTTCCAAGACGTTGACACCGATGCGCTTCTCTTGTTCAGTGTACGCACGGTAGAACAAACTCCTGAATAGACCACGATCGATACTGCTCTGGTTCATGATGACGGAATCTTCCTGGTTGTAACCACCATAGGTAGCAATGGCAACAATAGCGTTCTGCCCAGCGGGAAGTTCACGGAACTTAAGGTACTCCATTGACCTGGTTGTCGCCAAAGGCTTCTGGGGGTAGTAGAGGACGTTCATCATGGTTTCCATACGGAGCGCAAAGTTGGTGAGAGCAACACCCATGGCTTGCTTACCCATGGCAGATTGGTACGTGTTACGGGGCGATTGGTTATGATCTGGGAAAGGAATGATACTGGCACAGATACCCAGGATCATGGCCGGATGAATCTCGCAATGGGTATAGGCGTGAATGCGAGGATCTGGCTGGGGCTTGAGACGACGAAGTCGGTCCTTGCCCTCAGTGGATCGCTCGGCTGCAGGCAAGCCCATCTTCATCTCTCGCCATTCCTCCAAATCTTCAGGCGAGAATGTTATCATGGCAGTTTCTTCTTCTTCTGCATCGAGATACTCGACAACACCGTCTTGGATCAGACCTCTCCAGCCGTAGGTGGCCTGCTCGACCTCCTCTTGACTCCATCCTTGCCGTGTGCTAGTCTCCTGTTGCTCGGCCTTGAGCTTGTTACTGATTTCCTTGGTAAAGATAAGGTGGTTTCGGTTCGGCTTTCGGATATCGTTCTCAACAACGAACAAAGGTCTCATGACACGACCAGCATCCGTGAAGATCTTGAATTCTCGGTCACGAATATCACGAATCAAACTCATCTCGTAAGATAGAGTTCCATTTCGTCGAAGCTCCTGCACAACTGTAACAAGTTGTTGAGCGTTGGAGTGAACACCGACCCATACACCGTTCACGAAAACCTTTGTCGCATCCGGGTTCTGATTCTGGTCGTATTCCTCGAGAAGTTGCATGTTACGTTGCGTCATGAAGTCGATAATGGGCGATGCATCGCTACCGACACTAACGTAGCACATGAGAGACAAGTTCTTGACCAGTCCGCAAGCCTGTCCTTCAGGCGTCTCGGCAGGGCAGACAAGACCCCAATGAGAGTTGTGAAGTTGGCGGGGCTTGGCCAGTTTACCATCACGTCCAACGGGGGTGTTTGTTCGACGAAGATGGGATAGAGTAGAAGCGTAGGTGTATCGGTTCAACACCTGCGAGACACCGGCCTTTGCGGAGGCGGCCTTCTTCTGATCACCCCAGTTACCTGTAGCCAGAGAGTACTTCAGACCGTTTGTGATGATGCTGGCTTTTACAGCCATCTGGACGTTAAAGTCCTGGTTGTTTTCAACGCACCGCTGAAGGTACTTGTACACGTCTTTTGTGAGCTTCAGGAAAAGGATTCGGAACAAATTGGCAATCAAAGGCCCTGCAAGATCCAGGCGCTTCTTTCCAAAGTGATCACGATCATCCTCGTCACGGCGACCCAACACACACTGCAGAAGTCGGTGGATCATGTAACCAAAGAAGTAGGCCTTGCGGGTGTCTTGGCCCTCCTTTTGAGAAATGTGCGGCAGGAATTCGCGCTGCATGATATCCCTCGCAAACTTGAGACGCCTGTCCCTGGTACCAGAGTTTGCACCACGTTTGGCGATGAAGTCGAGGGCAGTTTCACGGTCCTGCACAACAGAACCCTCCTCGATACTAGGCTTCAACAGCTCCAGCATTTGTGTGTCAGTACGGTCGTAAACGATGTGGCTGAGAATTTCCTCATCGGAAACTATACCAAGCGCACGGAAGACAATGGCCATGGGCACGTCTGCCTTGATGTATGGGAGGGTGGCGTATGCGAATGGACCGGGTATACGCTTGCCAGGACCGGCGAGCGAGTTTTCTGCCCATTTGATGTTAAACGAAGAGATAAGACGAGTACCCTTTTCGACAGCACTTCGAATCTCTGCTATCCAAGGAATAGGTCCCTGCTTCTTGCGGAAGACTTGTACAATGTTGGCGGCACTGCGCTCCTGTGCGATCAGCACCTTCTCACTGCCGTTGATGACGAAGTATCCACCCTGATCGTAGGGGCATTCGTTCAGCGCAAACAAATCAGCATCTGATTGCGCTCGCAGATGGCAAAGCTCTGACCGCAACATGACGGGTAGCTTTCCGATGAAAACTCTAGCCGCAGTACCATCGTCCATAGGCATGTCCTCACGTTCCCACCGAATTTGTGAAGCACCTCCTGTGTATCCGCCCTCCATATCTTCGTCCTCATCACCTTCGGGGTCGCGGCCTTCACGAGCGACCATGATGCGGTTTTCGATGTCAGCCAACATGGCTCCGGAGTAAGTGAGGTTGCGCAGACGCGCCTCGTGTGGGTACAGCTGTACAGTGGTACCGTCTCCTTCAGTATGTGTTGGTCGTGCAAGATAGACACGTCCAAACTTGATCTCGTAGCGGCGCTTGATAATCGGGTTATCATCCTCGTCGGGGTTGTAAGGCGTGTTCTGTTCGAGAATGACGCTTCCGTTTTCTTTTACGATATCTTGTATTGTGTTGCGCGTGAATTCATCATAGGAATCCAGTTGTTGCGACACCAGACCCTTGGTGTCGAAGAAGGAGCTGATAACTGCCCAGCAGTCCTCGGGCAAAACACGGTCGTCCTCCTCATCCTCGTAGTCGTCCATTCCGTCTTCGTACTCGTACGGCTCAGCCATGGTCGCGGCTAGATATTTGAGACGCGGTAGAGAAAGGGTGGAGGTGAGAGTGGGTATCGAGTGAGGACGTGTAGAGTCCTTGTCTGCCCTGGATGCGACAGGCGGCGGCGAGTGCCTCTCAAAGAGAAGTTCGGGGCTAGTGTTTATCCGGTCTTAGCGCGCCCGCTCCGCCTAGGGTTAGTACTCCTTGCGCCCCACGCCCTGCAAGTCTCATCCCTACAACATGCAACAGTATGTTCGCAAGGCAGCATAAATGACTGCGTTTGGATACTTGACAGTACAACAATATAATACCGAAAAAACATAGTGCCGTTGAAACAGTATGTCAAGAGGAGTTTCTCTTGATACAATAATTGTTCGAGTGTTTCTACTGGCTTCCTTCACTCGTCTAAGAACAGGAGACACTTGAACGCTAAACATCGGGAATGTCCTTCAGACTCTTTAGATGATCTACTGTCATTTTTTTGTTTTAAAAAAACAAGCTTTATTAATATCTGATCCTCCTGCCGCCTTTCTGCTCACCCATCTGATAACTCACCGCCACCCCCTTCCGCTCTGCATACTGTATTGCATCACGACCGGTAATCCCCATGCAATTATCTGCTACGATACGTTTAAGCGATGGTAGCTTATCCGCCAGCATCTTGATCGAAGCTCCAGTGATGTTTGTATTCGAAAGGTCAATGGTTGTGAGACCAGTTTCATACGTGAGAAGACACTCCACGTCATCGTCGGTACATGGCATAGTGCCTAGATCTAAAGACTCGAGAGCTGGCGTAAGAACTCTTGGGGAGCGACAGAGGACGGCATTAGGCCCGATGAGAAATGTTACCTCCGGATCGAGCAGGCAGCGGAGGGAGAGGTGCTGCAGTGGTTTGCTATCTGGGAGCGACTTAAGGGCTCCGTCTTCGATGTATGAATCGAGAAGCATCTCGAATTTTTCCGGGCTCACAGAAATTCCAGATAGTGACAGATGTGTGAGGTCAGCTAATTTAGCACGTGCCCATGGACTGGTGTTAGTAATCCTTGGTAGCAAGCCCCAATAATTGTCAAGAACGAGATGTTGCAGTGTATCGGGCAATGCAAGGTACAGCTCAAATGATACGCGCTTCATGACTAGTGTTGTGATTGGCGGCATTTGAGATGCATCCTGTGGCCAGCCTCGGCCTGATACGTGGAAACCATCCACATTGCAGAGTGAAAAAGACCGGAGTGAGGGCGTAAGACTAAAGAGTTTGGCAATCTCGAGCTGCCATGCACTTAACCTGTTGGTACCAGTTAAACTCAGTGTGTGGAGGTGAGGAAATGGAGTCGTCCATTTCATCGGGTGTCTGAGTGGTAAGACACAGTGGAAAGCAACGTGTTCAAGTGTGTGTCGCGCTTGGAGAATTTGCTCCACAGCATCTGCCGTTATGTCTGGATGCACAGTGAGTTTCTTTAGCTTAGAACTGCTCTTGGCAATTTCGACCAATGATGCTGACATGGCATGTGGTGAGGAGACAATCTCCACATCTGTGAGATCTTTGGCCATCTTTGCTAGATTTTTGATTACGTCCATGTGCTCGAAACGGTGAAGGGTGACGCGCGTCATACGCATCTCTGAATATTTGAAAGCCGAGTTGACGAAGGAACGAGGCACAGGCTTACGTGCGCCCTTCAGATCAAGATGCAGCCACAGCTTAGGTAGCTTTGAGAGGTAATCTCGCCAGCCTTTGCTAACCCGCATGCAGTTGACTATGTGGCGGAAAGGCAGATACTCAAGCACCATTTCGGCCAACTCCACAGGTAGAACAGAGAATGGATCAACAGCTGTTGCTGGTGAGAGTTTACGAGTGAGTTTGTCGTGCAGTTGTTGAAGAAGCTGATTAAACGTCAGCGGCAACTCACAACCCCATAGTTGAAGGAATGATAGAATAGAAAATAAGTTCGACAAGGATACATACCTTGAAATTCTTATCCCTGGATCCGACATTTTTCATTCCATACTTGTATATCCCAAGCGCCGTCTCTTCTTTTCCCATCTTCTCTAGGACACTTGCTGTCCTGAGATATCCCTTGACATCTGATTTTTGCATTCTAATCATTTCTCTCCCATCTTTGACCGCATCACTAAATCTTTCGAGCTTGTCATAAGTGGCGGCTCGGTAGTCATACAGATTGAGAGTAGGCTTCTGGCAAGTCTCGATGCCCTTTGTGAATGTCTCTAGCGCCTTGTCGTATTGCCTGAGTTTGTAGTAATTGCGGCCTAATTCTTGGAACTCCTCTGCTGAAATTTGGCGAGCCATTGCGACCCTAGGAATGGGAACCGAGTGAACGTTTAACTAGTACGGCGTAAGACGCAGATGAGAGTGGCGCCGGTGGATGAATCGGGAAGAAGCGACGCGACGCGACACCCTTAATAGCCATGGTCCGTGCACCTGCTTCAAAGTAACTCTTGGTGGACCAAAATACTCGGATAGAACTGCCTCTACCGAAATAGCGCAACATTGACAAGATATTACTGCGCGCTATCATTATAGAATTATAAAATTTTCTTACAGCGTATTAATGTTCATGTAAGACTCTAGCATTTTAGTATATAAGATAATGTTTGTTAAATATGTGGTTGTGAAGGCGGCTGGTTACGAATAACGACTTTGCTTCAATAGGGGCTGCTTTTATTACAATATTATAGTTCACCAAGAGAAGTATTCGTAATGACTGTGCTGTGTGCAAAACGGGACCAAAAACGACTTGGCTTGGCTCCCTGGATCCTGGAAGCAGAAAAGAAAACTTCAAATGTAGCGTTCATATCCAAATCTTGTTGCATTCTCTGGCACAACACTGATGATTCTTATACATCTTCCCCTTCCTCTCATCCACTCCTACGATCAAGAAGCTAGTCTACTGGGCCTTGGTTGGCCTAGCTTCTTGTCTAACAACACTGTTGTGCGACAAAGCCTTGTGATGATAGCATAAAAGCAGCAATAAATTGCAACTCGTTTGGAGTTATTTCTCGGCTTGGCGATATTGAACATACGCCGTTCAGTAGATTTTGGAGGATCATGCGCGAATGCTTGTGCAATGCGTTGACACGAATAGGTACGCGAATAAATATGTTTCGTTGATATCTCTCACCGCTGTTTAAGTCAGGACTTTAGTCCGTAGAGAAATCAAAAACAGGGATGTCGAAGACGTGGTAAGCGTGTTTTGGTAGACGTACCAAGGTTTGGGGGCTTAAACCTTAAATCGAAGATCTGGATCGTCAGACAGATAACGAAATCATCTGCGTCATCGGCATGGTACTTTGTTTCATCGGAGATGACAAAGGTAACCTCTGATACTCAAGGTATTAGAGCACTTGACCGACTACCCAATCCTGGTGTTGGTGGATCAATAGATAGTGGTGCGAGCTGCGGTATCAATGACTTCATCATAAATACCAGGTCGGCTGCTTTGAAAGGTTTCTGCATGACACGATCTGCCCCGGCAGCCATGGCTGTATCCATTTGTTCTTTCCGCACATTGGCCGTTACTGCAATGATGGGCAGTCTTACCGGCCGACATTCGTGGAGTTCTTTCTTCCTGAATTGGAGCATCGCTTCGAGGCCATCGAGTACTGGCATTTCCAAGTCCATCAACACAATGTCAAACATCTGTCGGTCCAAGGAATCGAGCGCTTCGAGACCATGGTTCGCTACGGTGACATCGCAACCGGCTTTCTTGAGCTGTTTTCCGAGAACTCGCTGGTTGATGATGTTGTCCTCCACCAGCAACACACGTAATTGTCGAGATGCAAACTCCGCGTTTCCCACTTGCTGGAACATTTCCTTGAGTATCTTAGGCTGGGGTTCTACTCTTCGTGTCTTGACATAGAATCCGAATGTCGAGCCCTCGCCCAAGACAGAGGCAACCCCGATTTCGCCTCCCTGCTTTTCGGTAAGCTCTTTTGATATGAAGAGACCTAAACCACTGCCTCCATAATTCACGTGCGTCTTCACGTTTGCCTGCCTGAAGCGTTCAAAAATTTTGTCGATGTCCTTCTCCTGCAGCCCGATACCAGAGTCTGTTACGCTGAAGCCCATATATATCTCCTCACCATCACCCCAGTCTGGGTTGCTAGTCACATCGGCAGGTGTTTCGCCGTCAGTTGCCCAGAACATATCGTAGGGAAAGAGGGTACGTGGGTCTGATCGGCTTGCAGCATAGCGAATTGAGATGGATGGTTTTTTTGACGGTTTGACGAACTTGATGGCATTTGTAAGCAAATTAATGAAGATCTGCGTCACCCGAGATGGATCGAAACATAGATGATCAATGCCGAGTTCTGAGAGAGAAGGATCTGGTGTTATGCTGTAAGTAATATTGTTTGTCTTCAGCTCAGCTTGGAAGATGTTGACAATGGAGTCGACGAGTTTCATAGGTTTAACAGGAACTGGGGTAATCGATAAGAGCATGGAGTCGAGTTTGCTCAGTGTAAGCACGTCGTCAATGATCCGCTTCTGGTGGTGTGCACATTGCATGATTGTGTTGGCGCTGTGCATGTTGTCGTTGAGAATATCTAGGTAGGGTTTGGGGATATCAGGGATCTGTGCGCGGCACTCTTCAAGCGCGGTTGTGATGGCATCAGCACAGTGCACAATGGCACTGAGTGGGTTCCGCATTTCGTGAGAGACCACATCAATGAAGGCTTCCTGCTGTCTTTTCGCTTCTCTAGCTTCAGCAGCCTGTCGAGCCTGGAAGGACTTTGCCCAGCATAATCGGCTAATGTCGGTAGTACAAGCCATGACGCTCACCACGCTGCCATGCTCGTTGCGGTATGGGAATGCAAGGACTTGAAGCTGTGCTGGTTCTGGATCGCCTGTTGGAGGCGTATACAGTCGTTTCAAACGGAGGTCGACGGTGACTTGGTCATCGCCCTTGAGCAGACACTCCCAAATCTCTTCTGATTTTGCGCGGTCGTCTTCATGATATGCATCGAAGAAGAGGGCGAGACTATCTGAGTGATTGATCGACGATTGTCCAGCTAATTCGTAGTAATAATCGTTTGCCCAAAGTATATATCCATCCAAGGAAACATGGCACATGCCCACGGACGCATGATCGATGAGATGGCGTAGTTTAAAATCGCTGAAAGCGAGGTCCGCTTCAAGCTGGACCTGGTGCTTCTTGTTAGACTCATAGTCTACTGCAGCAGTCATGAGACTCGACACCATGCGGTTGAGGTCTCGAATCAACTGCTGGCACATTTCGTCGTGTGGACGATAAGGGTTCGTGCCAAAGATGAGGTAGCCAAAGAGACGCCCACCGCACATGATGGGCATGATGACGATCTTCTCGGATGGCGCGCCCCAGCCTTTCCAGTCGACAGATGAGAAGCGGTCGTCGTAATCGATAATGGTTTGGTCTGTGCCAGCTCGTCGCATGTCTGGTATGAGTCCTTCTTCACTGTCGATTGTAGCCGTGTTCACCAGAAGAGGATGGCCCTCGGGGAGGCCTATATGACCATACAGCCTTAGCGAATTGGAGCCTGCTGTTTCATTCATTCTGTACAACATAACCATGGGCACATCGTGCGTATTCGTCTCCAACGTGTTAAGGATGTGCGAGCAGACAGTGTCGATAGACCGTGGAGGGACCGAGGCGAGCTTGTTCAAGCATTTTGTGCGGCGCTCGGTGAGTTTCTCCGTGGTTACTTCGTAACTGGGGAGCACATCAGCTCTGCATCCAAAACGCTACCTGCGCGTCAACAGTACTACTACTGTCAAGACGGGAGCGCATCTGGTGCGACCAAGAAAAACTCACACATGATTGATGTAGCCTTCTACTGCGCCAGGCATGCCTACGGGGGTAAAGTCACCGGAAAAGAAAGCTTCCTCGCGGTAGCCCTTGCGCTCAACGAAGGTCGAAAGAGCCGAACTATAGTCGACACCAATGCCGGTGCTCCTTGCCTGTTTAAAATAGGCGCTGACGGAGGGCCACAGCTCTGGATAGCCATCCTGAAAGAGGGATCCCATGAGGGCAGGGTGCACACCGGCGGCAAGAGGGGCATATGTTTCATTGTAGATGGCTGTCATGTGGGAAATGTCTCCCCACCAGAGACATGCGGCGCGCGAGTCTGTGAGCACATAACTCGCAAAGAGCCGCAGCGTTGGGCTCCAGCTGTCAAGAGGGCCGAGGCGAGTGCGCGACCAGTCGGTGTTGCGGAAGAAGCGAATATGAGGAGTTTGTGGCAGGGCGGCGGTCCAGTCGCATTGTACGTCGGTCGTAATCGCAGTCAGGGTCGCATTGTCAGGAGAGTCGATGCCTCCGTCTTCCGGGGGTGGGGTCAGCATCTGCACAAGACAGGAGCATATGCGAAGATGACAAGGCACACAAGAGGCTGCAGCATCCTCATAGGAAGCAGAGGGCTGGAGAAGATAAGTCTGGGACCCGTTGATATTGCAACCATATGATGGACTAGTCCTAACACCCGCCGGTGTTTCTCTCGGGCATGCATGCCGCAATCGAAGATGGCCTTGCAGCACACCCACGCCTGCCAAGCCCCTTCCGATCGGCTACGTTCCGAACCCCGGCATTCCGATGCAACCTTGCCGCACACCCGTGCCTGTGCCTGTAGTACAATCCAAGTACCTGTACTTGTACACGTACCGTGTGTTTGCGTGTGTCCATGTACATGTACATGCACGCATACGTACACTACTTACTCACGTATGCACTACAACCAAACACCCGCATGACGCTGTCAACCACAACACGAGTCCCATCACAAATCCATCGTCCACCGTCCTTGTCATGCTCACCCGCAACCACACATAGGCCCGAGTCGCGTACTACACATCTCTTGCATGCGCGTGGGCGTCTCCCGCCTGCACCGGCCCTCCATGGTCACAAGCGATTGGTCGCTTGCTCTTCATCGGCCGATCTTCACCAGGCTGAGCGTACGAGACAGGGGCACCGTCGTCGTTCGACCACGTCTTTGGGCGGCCCTCGCCTTTTTTTGCAGCCTCACCGGACCCAATGACCTGATCGATCGTCCTCGGCATCCCGCGTGTGAACTGCACGCTGACACGGCCCCGCTGACACTACACAATCGTACCACGTCTGCTGCTCGTGCACATTCGCTGCCATTCATCCATCTATTACTAAACTATCTCTCTATCTGCCAACCCAGACGTCATCTTCAACACCAAACAAGCATTCCTAGTCCGGCCTTGGTGTGCACAATTCCTTTTTACCCCTCGCCCTAGCCTTTCCGCTGATCGTCAGAAACTGCCCTCCGATCCCGAATCGTGAGACCACTAGGATATAGCTCTGCAAAGCTTTGGTTCGAATCCTGCCCGCTGCACGCCACAGCTCGGAAACAATAAGGCCGCCCATCGCGATACACAAGACGATACTTGGCCTCATCAACCTTGCACCGCTGCACAGTGCGCATCGACCCATCCTCCTCGATGACAAGTGTCGAGTGCCATGGTGTCGCCCCGAGTGCACCTTTTTCTTGCTGCGGGATGACAGCCATGGACAGCTTGTCCTTTCCACCAGAATCGTGAATAGACAGACGCACATACTGCGTAGGCACAGCAGCCATTGCAGCAGAGAAGGCCTTCCACCGACCCATCATCTCTTTTGCCGTGTTTGCAATATTCGCAGCCTGATCCTCTGGAGAAAGAGCAACATGTCTTTCGTTCAACGCCAGGTCTTGCTTTAGAAATTCGAGATATTTAGTATGCGTCATTTGCATGTCGCTAGTGCTAGTATTCGCCATATCTGCCTCGAACTTGGCGTCTCCATACTGTCGCTTGAGTTCTTTGCGGATGTCGGATGCATGCTCGAGATAGTATTCCTTGGATTGGAAGTCTCCTGAATACTGGAGTATATCCCACAGTCGCAGGAAGCTAATGTTATTGAGGTTGTTGTCGGTCGCCATCTGTCGAACGCTTTGTCCAAAATTCCATACCGTCTCGTCACTCACGCCGAGAAGGTCTGTTGCCATTAGTCAAGGACGTATATATGTAGGGGAAACGCGGGGTAACATACCGTTGTATACAAGACCATCAGAGGTGATATGGCATTCGGCGCCAAACTCATAGACTGCCTTGATCTTCTCGCAGAGTCCATCCAGATGCTTCAATGCAAGCTCCTCGCCTAGATCCGGCAAAACACCCAAAACCTTATCCTTTGTATTTGGAGACTTGAACGGAAAACCAGGAAGTAGCATGAGCACGGGCTCTTTGCGCTCAACCTGCCCTTTGACGATCGGCAGGAACGTCTCGAACCCATCCCACTTGCCAGTCCGCTCATAGTTCAAACCATATTGTTCGATGATCTTGAGTATCTCCTCGGCTTTCGCGTCGACGCTGGTTTGCATAATTGCAGAAGACATGGTCTGTGTTGACTCCTTGAAGAATGTGGTATGCAGCTAAACCATGGGTTCCACGAGTACTTATGTTACCTTGAAATTCAGCTTCTCTTTGGGGGCTGTACTCCAAGAAGAGGCGCTGCTGAGGCACAGCTGTAAGCACGCACGAACTCGCGGCCGGCTTGCAGACCGCATCGCACAATCCTTGCACCTCCAACAACACTATCTCATTTCCTCAAAATCAATCGCAGACAGATTACCAAGTATCTATGTCTTTTGTTGAGTAGTCTTAAATCACATATAGACGAGGCATATTGTTCGAAAAAAGTAAATTCGCCTCAAGTTCCCCGCTGTGGCTGACCCTAGGTATCGAGCCATCCCTCCCCCTGGAGGCATTCAAATACCCACACTCCCATCACCCAATTGCTGGGACGCAGGGCAGGTCTATTTTTGAGGCTTGCTCAGCCTCGTGGATACTGTTTGGTTGACCCTTCAGCCGCAGTGGGTCCTTGATCTCAATACCGTTAGCAGACGAGTCTAGACAATGTCCCGTGCCCATGGTAGCCAAACATTGCTTGATCGTGATTTTGTGCCCAATTGCCATTTGGGCACTTGGGTTGCGACTGGGAAACTTGCTGCTGGCGGTTTGCAGCACCACGTTTGCGAACTAAGGCCTGATTGTAAGATACTCTTTGTTATAATGCCTTGCCCAAACAGGCATAGTGCCTTGGCATTCATCTGGTATTTGTAGCTGCTTCCAGAGCCCACTATGAGTGTCAACCTTGTATAACACATATGTGTTCTGACCATTGCCTGAACCACATTGTAAAAAGTGCTCTTGAAGTTTCTCAACCTTCTACATAGAGGATATATCAAGACGAAGTATGCAGACGTACCTACCGCGCACCTTATCATAATATGGTTTTGCTACTAAACAACGACTTACCTATCATTGACCATTTTGGTCTCAGTTTCCTATTCGATACGAGTGCCTCAATCTGTACCAATTTTCCCGGTTCCCTCATTCTTGTTTGAATCATCCTTCTTCTTCTCTCTCCCATCGCCTCCGAGATCGAGACAATCTCATCCTAGACTAAAAGAGACTGCTGCTGCTACATGGGTTCTGTCAGCACTATTCGACGTCTTCCAGATCCTCCGTGACTTCTATGCCAATAGCATGGTGCATATCGCAAAAGTGCACTGGAAGCGTGGCGATTTCTTGTTTCCCGTTTCTAGTTCTTGGGACAAAGCAGAGGCTACACATTCTCGCCCCGACCACTCTCATATATACCATATTATCAGTTCCTACGAAATTCTCTTACCAAAAGGGTAGCAGAGTATTTCGTTCGCCATAAGAACTATCACTCACCTTGCGGGAAATGGAGGTGCGACTGGCGCGGGATTTCATACCTACTTGTTCAGGAACACCTCAAGTTATTGTTCCCGCTCCGAAATTCCTTGCTTCCCAAGCCTTGCCCTCTCTTTCTCATCCTTCCTCTGCCACATTCTTTCCTTCATCTGCGCCTCTTCTCGTTTCTTCATCTGTGCATACACAAAAACACTTTCATCTACCTCCCCCCTCTCCTCAATCTGCTTCTCGAGCTCTTCCTCTTCCGCCTTAGACGCCTCTACAATGGCTTCCATCTTCGTCTCGGAGCATACATTTGATTCCTCCCTGTCTGGTCTGTTTAGCTCCCACCCATATACAGGATAGCCCTTTCGCAGCTTGTCGAATACTTTCCGCATCTCATCATCCCGATGTTTTTTACATGCGGTCGACATGACCATTTGCTGCAGGCCGCAGCGGTACCACCCGTGGGACTCGCCGTATTCCCAACAGGGACAATAGCTCTGGTGCATCAGGTCGCCGTAGCATTCGGCGGTTCGTGCGTGGTTAACGCCTTGGCTGCAGTGATGGCGGACTGTGGTCGTAGCGCCTGTGTGGACGTTTGTTACTGCCGGGGTCCAGTTTATCGCGTGGATATTGGGGCCATGGACCAGGCGGTTGAGGTCTTTGATGCTGTACGTGCTTAGGAGTTCGTTGGTTTGGAAGGTGTGGTAAGTGTGCTTACCGGTTTGGTTGAACATTTGAGAAACGCTGCTCTCCTGTTGCAAAGTCTGTAGTCCATCCATGGTATAGTTGTTTTGCTTTTATCTGGGGGTTGTTCTAGGAAAGATGTATCAGTATGGATTTCGGTTTCTCAAAAACAGTAAACGGTAAACGGTGAACGGAAATGCTTTCTAATCTTGCTATGTTGAACTGGTTGTAGACGATATCAAGAAATGTGAGTCTTACTGTCCAAGTGTGATTTTATATGAATATTAGAAATCCTTCCTTCACAATGTTATCTGTGTGCTAACTCACGGGCAATATCTCCAGCTTTTTCCCGCTCCATTGACTGGAAATGCTCAGCTGAGGTGAAAGTCATACTGGAAGTCTTTCTCTTGGGCGAATCGGGTAGCTTCCACTATTGCGCCATGTTTAGTTTATATAACTACAGTGTTATGTAAACATGAGACATAGTCGCATTGCTGATACCAAGAACCTATGAGCATTGCCATCAGTTCAAAACCAAGATACCTACAACGCCAAAACACTACATACCAGCAAGGCAAGCGTTAGATCCCTCTCCTCCACCTTTCCCCCTGCATCCCATCCCTACCACCCATCCCCACCACCTATCCCGGCAACCTTACCCACCTCCCAACCCCAACAACCAAGCAACCAACCTCTCCAACCTCACTCTCTGCACATCCATCTTCCTCGCCTCAGCCAGCGCCACCATCCACTTCCGCCCATCCCTCCCCAACTGCACCGCAACCTTCCTCTCCCTCTCCTCCCTCTTCAACTCCCTCCCTACATACATCTCCACCGCCCACGGCTTCGCATGATAGAAACTCGTATTCACCTTTCTGGACCCCTCCGCTGACGCCCACACTCCCGGCTCGTACGTCGGGTGCCGCCGGAAGTATGCGTATTTGTGGCGTTTGTGCTCGGCGGTGGTGTGAACGGAGTGCGGGGCGGTGGTGCAGGTGCGGGAGAGGGATTTGAAGGGGGAGGGGTTGGCGGTGGAGAGGTGCTCGGAGGAGATGGTTGCGGAGGGGGAGATGCGGACATGTTTTGGTTGTTGTGCTGGGTCGGAGGGCTTCGGGGTGATGAGGGTGCGGAGGGTTTTGAAGATGGATTTGGTGGTAGCTGGGTACGTGTAAGTGGTTGTGGTGGTTGTGAGGGAGGCTGAAAACGGTTTAGTTTCCGTCTTTTGGGTGTGCGAGGATTGCTGGGGAGATTGAATCAGGACTGGGGACAAAGGAACGAGTGTTTGCTGCCAGGTGTCGTGGAAATCGATTTGTGGTGGAGCTGTTGGTGGGCTTGAGATAAGGGAGGGGACTGGAAATGACCTTGGCTCTACAAGTTGCCAACCAGGTTGATCTTTGTCAGGAGGCCAAGCTGGTATCGAGCTAGCTTTGTCTCTCATCGCGCTCAGTATCATCTCCCTCTTCATTGTATTTCGTACCCAGTTCATGAACACCCTTGCACGTTCCCTATCCTCTTCGGTCGGTACAGGTGTATCTGGCCCTCTAACACACCTCAAACCTGGCACTCTACTCAGAAATATCTTTTGGTCGTCCCATGCTCCCAGTGCTTCACTCAGCTTTGCTATATCTTCAACTGGCAAGCCAGGCTCTTTGAGCAAGTCTTCGAACTTGATGATGGTATTTGCTAGTGCGATCTTTGTCTTTTTCCAGTACCTTGTAGCGATGACGTGCTTTTTAATGTCGCCTGAACTGGACACGAAGACGCCTCCACGCGTCAAGAAGTGATTCTGGGCCGCTCGAACTGCGGCCATTTGAGAGGTGATGACGCATATTGGGCAGGCATTCTGAGACGGTGGAAGCTTGACCACAAGGGAGGACGAAACAGCATGTATGCAGTCGCTGATCATAGGCATGGAGCTGGTGATTTCGGTCATTTTGCGAGAAACTGGAGCTATTTTTGTGAGTGATGGACGAAGAAAAGGCACAGCGTTGGAAAGATCACTATGGTGATTCGAGAGTGAGCGAGTTGGCGTGCACTTATATTGTATATTATCTGGTTCATGCACTGAGAAGGTGCATATACGTGACGTATTGAAGATATGAAGCGGTACAACGTTTCTGTAAGCCTCACGTGTGTCGAACGTTGTTATTGAGGCACTGGGCCAAAAAACATCGTGTCGTAACCGCAGCACGTAGAGACCTTGTCGCAACTGGCATTTGAAACATCCCGTGTGATATACACGCTGTGAAGACTACAAAAGAGACGCGATTACAACAGCTTCTTGCGAATGAACCTGTTGAAAGATGTACTTGTAATACATGATGCTGCCTCGTGGCCGCACGAGGCACCTACCATGCGCTCACGCTCTCGATGCACCAATAAAATTGCTGCCCGCCGTATGCCATCATAAGATCTATTGCAGCAGTATTTGAGTCTCTTTTCCTGTTATTTGGTGGTTGGGATAACTGAATGAAGGTATTCCATATGTTCCCAAACCGACGTGTAGGATTTACTGTGGAGGCGAAATGGGTCAAGCTGCTCGTCTTCTTGACAAGATAGTGCGGCGATTAGTTCATGCTTCCAAACACAATAACTGAAATTGGTTTTTCACATCTCTCGGTTGGCGTGTCCAACGGGCTTACCTAGTCATTGGGTTACCCAATTATCGATGGTAAACCCACCAACCAAAGGGAAGAAAATTCAAATCAACACGCATTAAAGCTTCATGAATATATGGAGCTGTTGAGTAATGAAAAAAGATCTTGGCTATGGGCTATTGGCATCGGCCCTTGTTTCGCCATGTTGCATACTCTGTTGACGTGGGTTAGAAGGGAGCGGCTTTGTGTGTTGAGATGGCCGTGATGAAGTGAACACTACTATTCATCTGACAGCTCAATTCCGTGAATGTGTAGGTGTGGAGAAGTTGTAGTCTTAGAGTGAAGCTTAACGTTGATAAGAAGCGGAAAAAACGGGAAGGATGTCAACGCGTGTGCGTCATCGCGCAACGCGGAACCACGTGCACCATTGCCAAGGTCACAGCGCCACCATCCCTATCTGCTTTGCTCAAACTCTTTACAACCACTTGAGCTGCAAACTAGCCCACCTCTATAGCTGTGTAAGCGCGATGCCGCAGACACGCTTAGGAAAATCTAGAAACCAGAATGACAAAGTGCCACAACATGTCCTAAGCGACGGCGATGGCCCTGAACCAAACGACATACCTGCAACACCTCCGTCAGCACCCTTTAAAGACCAGTTGAGCAACTACGCGTATAAGGAACAAGATGTGACATCGAACGAAGTCTCGACATCGACCAATTCCAACCGACCGAGAAAGCGCCCTAGAACGGCCACCATAGCAGCTGTCGGAAGTGCCCGGGGATCTACCCAACAGCCGACAAAGAAGCGCAAGGCTGGCCAATACGCCCTTCCATCAAAATACGCCCATTTGTCTCCCCTCGTTGACATATTAGAACCAAACCTAATATGCGTGTTTGTTGGTACAAATCCCGGTGTTCAAACTGCGACTGCTGGGCATGCGTACGCGCACCCGTCAAACCACTTTTGGAAGCTACTCCACGCGTCAGGTCTGACAAATCGCCGCTTGAAGCCTGAAGAGGATCGCAGTCTTCCAGGCCTGTTTTGCATGGGCAATACAAACATTGTAGACCGGCCATCCAAAAATGCAGCTGAGCTCTCGAAGGAAGAAATGTCAGCTGGTACTGCCAGCCTCGATGCAAAATTCCTCAAATACAAGCCAGAAGCCGTGTGCATAGTTGGTAAGGGTATCTGGGAGGCAATATGGCGTTACCGCTATGGCAAGAACCCTGGCAAGAATGAGTTCAAGTATGGGTGGCAAGACGAGAAACACAACATGGGCAAGTGTCCAGAGGACGGTGAACAAGAGTTGGATGCCAACGGCAATCCCTGGAAAGGGACCAAGGTTTTCGTGACTACCAGCACGAGTGGCCTCGCTGCGAGTCTGACACCTGCCGAGAAGGAGGCCATTTGGAGACCATTCGGAGAGTGGGTGCAGAAGAGAAGAGAAGAACGAGGCTTCGTCCCCCGGCTAGTGGAAGCCCAATCTGCTGTTGAAGAAACAGCGCAACTTTAACTATATTTGAACAAAGTCTTTGCTGGAAGGCGTCAGCCAAGACAGAACTCAATCAGCTGTCAAGATAATGCCGCCGAATGCATGTACCCGCGGAGGGTTTCAAACTCATATGCTTCGCCGGATTCGCCCTTTCAACTGTGGGATGCAACTGCTAAACGCTTTACGCCTTGGTGCATGACTTTCGAATCACCGAAACCAGTGGTCTGCGCCACACGCAAATGATTCGCATAGATTCGTGAACAGTTGCCCTTTACCAACATTCTCATTTGGGTCTCGTGGCTCTAACTTAGATCAACTCTTCCGGTTCTTGGCGTAATCTTGGCGTATGAAAGTTCACGGCTTAGCGTTGACCTTGCCCGAGCCACTTGCATTAACGCCGCAATTGCACCGCCATAGTATCGGATTCCAACCATGCTGCGCCTCTTGGGTGTGGCTCAACGTGACGAAGAGAAGCACATACCCATTAGCAAAAAGACATGATTAAGGTGCTTTTTCTGTCAACGAGCCTTTTGTGGCTGAAGATGCCAAGTGAACAGAACTTACGATGACTGAGCCACGGCACAGCAATTAGCCTCGTATGACATCGCTAGCAGCAGATGTAGCGCCACAACTAAGCCAAAATGGACACTAGCCTACGGAAAGAACGGCAAGCATGCATATGTGAACGACACTTCATCCAACACATGTTTCCGAGCAAGCAATCTTACTGTCAAGTTACTTACAAGACCACGGTGTGCTGTTTCAATGGATCGTTGACTGAGAAAAAGGAATTAGCCAATGTTGTACTCTAGCAAAGTAAGATGGGAAATTTGACTAGCAACGCAATGTCGACGATGCAATACCGGCTCCGCTCACCATCTATGTACTATACTGCGGCGTAAGCACATACGCAAGTTCGTGCGCCTCCTCCCAAGACAATTGCATACGCGTAAAGACAAGGATTCTGCATCTACTGTTCCACTCCATGTCTCATGGGGCCTGAGCAGCTGCCACACGCAGGCACCCAAAGAGCCACACGCATGTGGCGCCAAACAAACCACTCATCCGCCTTTTCTCCGGCCCTGCAAATGCCTGTGGTTAAGCTGTGCACTGTGCTACCAGTGGGTACGTGCGCGCGCGCAAAAGAAGACCGACAGTCCTATTGCCCTTTTCGCACCGCATCCGTCCTATCCGTTTACCGAGCATGTTGCGAAGGGCGGCAGTGCCGAAACAGCCAGTTAGAGTGGCTAGTGTGGAAGATGTCAAGAAGGAATACGTGGGACCGCTTATCCTTGCCCCCTTACTTTTACTACTTATCTAAAGCGCCTGTGTTGCTGTGCCACAAATAACTTTGGAGACCCTCTCTCTTTCCTCTGCCACAATCCTCAACGCCTCACGGTTTTTGCACTCGCCTCTTTTCCTGTTTGAGCCACAACCACACCAGCCACGACCCAAGCCTCTGCGACCTTCTTAATTCAACGTCACTACATACCGTGTCCAGAGCAACATTAAATCGCTCCGGGACAACAAACCAAAATGAGTTATCCCCAGCAACAGATGAACTATGGGCCTCCCCAGCCCGGATATGGACCTCCTCCTCAGCAACCTGTACGTTTGCCATTCTTTTTTCCACTTAGAAAAACAACATTTCAAAGCGCGATTCTCACGCTTCTTCGTGTGTTGCAAGCAATGCTAATCATTTTCATGTACAGATGTACTACCAACAAGCGCCGCCACCACCTCCACCAGAGGAGAAGAAGGATAGGGGTTGTCTGACCGCTTGGTAAGTTACCTCTTTTTCGCCTCTTTTTTTCCCTTCCCTTCAGCAACGAAAAAAAAACACAACGGGAAAACTGATGTAAAGTAGTTTGGCCACACTCTGCTGCTGCTGGCTCTGCGGTGAAACCTGCGAATGCTGTCTTGACTGCCTCGACTGCTGTGACTGCTGCTAGTTCCCATCCCTCCCTCCTCTCCATTAATCCATGGTCCTGAGGTGTGCCCGCCCCGTCCGTGCGAGGGTTGAATGCGATTCTTCACCTGATTTTAATCGATGCGCATGCGATGATGATTGGATTTGTTATATGCTGGGATAAAAGGAAGGGGAAAGGATGGGATGGATGCGCGTTGTTGAAGGAGGCGCGTGTGTGTGTGATATGGGATATGTATGAGATACGAAGGGGGTGGAGGGAAAGAGGCGGGTGAATGAGTGGATTGGTGTTTTCTCTTAGCAGACAGTGTCTGCTATGGTTGCTGCGCTTTCTTTCAACGCGCGTTGTTATTGTTTCCCACGCGAATAGAATGACAATGGATCTGGAGAATGGATTTGATTTACTTCCTTTCTTTTGAACACATTAACGTGCTTGAATGACAGGATAAAGCAATTCCATTTGATCGATTTACAAACTCGCTTAGTGTTATACCCAAGTCGTACAGTCAATGAGAAAAGGGATTCAATTGAGAGAAGAGGAAAGGAAAATCACAGCGTTTAATCATCATAGGCCTCCTCAAGCTCCTCTTGGTACTCTTCCTGTGCCTCAATAAGCTCCTGGCGCTTCTCCTCCAGAGACTCACGGTCGCTACTTGAGATGGAGGAGCCATCTGCGTCGTGAGTAGGAACTGGTGGAGGCTCTTGGAAGGCTCCAGCGTTCTCATAGGGATCTGATGGAGGAGGAGCACCATATGGAGCGCCACCGTAAGGCGCTGCAGCCGGGGTAGCGGCTGCAGCAGCCTTGGCTTCGTCGTCGCTATCATCAGCTGGTGAGTGTTAGTTGTGCGACAAAAATTGGGGGGAAAAAAGAGGGAGAGAAGAAAAACATACCAAGTTGGTGGCCAATAAAAGCACCAGCGGCGATACCTCCTATACCGGCAGCAGCCAGCATAGCAGTAGAGTGACCCTTCTTTTTCTCTGCCTCATTGGTAGCTTGGCCAGAAGCAGTATAGTCGTGTCCCTGGTGGCCGTGGGTGTTTCCGAACAAGCCACGCTCATCGTGACCAGCTGCGGGCACGTAGGGTGCGCCGGCGGCTGGAGGAGCGTATGGGCCTGGTGGCAGATGGGAGGGTGGGTCCCATTGTGTACGTCCAGTAGCTTGCTCAATGTAAAACCAGCGTTGGCTGTTCTGGTCCCATTGCTGGGTCCAGCCAGGCGGCATTGGAGGAGGTGCGCCGTAAGGCGCTGGTGGGCCTACTGGTGGGGGTGGACCCTGACCGTACGGCTGTTGCTGAGGGTAGCCCTGGGGTGGGTAACCCTGGGATGGGTATCCCTGACCCTGAGGAGGGTAGCCTTGAGCCTGAGGGGGAGGATAACCTTGACCTTGGGGAGGAGGATAACCTTGACCTTGGGGAGGACCACTGTTTCCATAGTATGAATCGGACAGTGAGCGGTCGCCAGGGCCAGCACCACCGGGGGCGCCGGCGTGCGAGTCATGAGGAGGGGCACTCTGAGAGTCTTTATAACATTAGGGTTTGGATCGCGACTGCGTGTATGAAAGCATGTTTACCTGTTGGCTTCTTGTCGTCATCGTCCAACAGCTCCTTCATTTTCTTCTTGAGAAAATCCATGATGGAAAGATGTTAGGAAACAAATAGGCGAGTACTTGCAAGGTGAGAAAGGGGTGAAGAGGAAGTTTGAAGTTAGTCGTGTGAGCGGGGTGGAAGAAGGCTTTAAAGAAAAAGAAAGTGGGCACTGCTGGATACCAGCGGGGCGTCTGATGGCAGCCTCTGGGCACGCATAGCTCCATGGGGCATGGGAGCATGGGAGCAGATTGCTCAGGGCGTACACGGTTGGCGACATGCACAAGAGAGACAAACGACTCCATTGGCAAGCGGGTTGAAAAGTGGGGGGGATGAACCGGCTTGCTACTTGCGGAGGTTAGCCTGGATCCCGTATGCTGTGAGGAGTGGATTAGTGAGACTTGGCGATGTGTATGTAAAAGCAGTATCTTCGGTATTGGGTTTCTGCAGCGATTGCTTATGCCAGAGAGCAATAGCATGGATGCGTACCTACCGGCATGTATAGGCGTGTATAGTGTTGTGTCACCGAGTGTATGTTTGGATGCCGATCAATGGTAGTCGTCGATTCTATCGGCTGGCGGGCGTCGGGGAACAGCAAGTGCGGGATTAATGACATGTTGTAGAGGGAGTTGGGCGACATGGGTTGGTGTATGGAAAGGCTTGGTGTGGCAGATGGAGTGAGGCTTAGCGGCACATGCGCCATTGATTAATCTGTACCCAGCCACGGCAGCCACGGCAGCCACAGCTGGCCAGTGGTGAGGCAGGTGCAGCCGGCCGGAAGTCACGATGGACGCAGAGGGCGTTGGGGGCTGACTAACGGGCGCCTACTCGCCACAAGCCGTTGCAGCAAATTCCAGTGCGGTGGGCGTGCTATGTAGTATGTCGCATCATGGTGCGACAGTGGCCAGTTGACAGCGCCAGCTCGCCTTGGACGCAACAGGCGTGGCGCGGTCAACGGACATGAACAGGTACATGTAGTACATACATACTGTGGCCTTGTGGACTGGATACGGTCATTAGTGCCTGAGCAGTGTCAGTCGCGTGCTGGCTTGTGGTATTATGGGCGCGTATGGACGAAATCGGAATGACAAGGGCCCCGCCGCACGAGACCCTGGAGTGCGTGCGGGACGGTGCGGTATCGCACGTGGGAATGGCGACCATCAAGGCTGCGTTGGGAACATGGGAATTGTCGTGATTAATATGCAAGACCAGAATTACATGTGCTTAGGGCCTGGTTTCTAGCTGCAGGCTGCTCACAGCAACAGCGGACAAAGGAAGACTAGTTATTGCATGCAAACTGACAGTGGCAGCACCGCGGGCGGGCGGGCGGGCGGGCGGCGGTCTAGACCCCAGGCCCTATGATGTCATGACCTGGCGACGTGCCAACAGTGAAACCCCGGCTTCATCGCCGACCCCCTGATCATGGGCTTCCTGTCAGCCGAATTGGTGTAAGAGGACATTCTCAAATCCCATGTGTCCCGTCATCCCAGAGCCGCGACCGTGGTTGCGGCCACGACATCCTTGGATGGCAGACAGAAATGTCGCGCCAAGCGTGCGCCTCTCAGAAGCCATCGTCGATGCGAATGCGATTGCTGGCCTGGCTAAGAAGCAAGTAGACAGGCAAGCGAGATCTGCGGGCCATGGTGGACTGGACTCTTTTTGTGTGGGCGCCAGCTGAGGCACAATCTATACTTACATTTACATTGTCTGCGTCGTCTTGTGTCGCGTCCTAAAGACACCACCTCTGCTGCATCACCGTCTGAAAAAAAAAGCGCTCTAGAAACCGTATTTGCGCCTCTGCATCTCGCCGTCGTCGCACATCTTCCTCGGCGGGGCTGGTACATGTAGCGCAATACGTACGCTAGCGACGTCAATCCCCCGGCCTGCATGCAGTCGACCTGAATGCCATCGCGGTCCAAAGACGACGACAACCGTCCTCGACATCCACTTTTGTAGCGAGACGGACCACCCAGGGCGCGCCGACGGCCCTTTGCCTACCCTGCCCTGCCCTGCCGCATCCCAGCATCACTACGTATGAGGGAGCCGCGCTCAATCTTCACAGGTACAGGGAATGACTCGACGACGGCTCTTGACCGCACGCCCGATCAGCGCCAACTAGACACTTGCCAACAACACCACTTTGTCGCAAAAACACCAGACCCACCGCCTGTTCCCCTCAACTCCCCTTTTGAATTCCCTGATCCCTACGACCCATGGGCCCGCCTGTCGCCAACCCCTAGCAACCACCACCACCTACACCTACAACAGCAGTCGGGCTCTGCGCCGCTGCAGCGCCGCCCACCACACAGCGGCACGCAGCCAGCGCTCGCTCCGCCTGCCATTGCCGGCGTCAAACGCTCTCCACCGTCCCTCAGCGACTACCATTTGGCCTCAATCTCTTCGCGACTGGCCCCGCCCCAAACCGAGCCCTTGCACAAGCGCCGCAGAGCCCTCCCTCCTTTACGCTATTCGCTCGACCGCTTCACCCTATCCAAGACTACCCAGCCTCGTCTCCCCACCGAGCCTCTGTCGCCACTCTTCTTCTCCTCGCGAACCATCACACTCAACCTGCCTCCGCGCTTTTCCAGCTCAGAGGCGGCAGCAAGCATGCTTAGCAAAACTCATGAAGAAAGCAACATCAAGACCGTCACCCTTGCAAGAGGCACTTATAGTGGCTTGAGCCCACCGGGGCCTCCACCCGGCGCAAGTGGAAGATCGTCGGAGCGCTCCAGTCTACCGCGCACAGCGTCTCCAGATTCACGAGAAAAGAGCGATCCATTGCGGGTCCTGGCATCCATTGGCATAGTTGAGCTGCTCGAACATGATGGCCGACCGACTTTTATTGTCGACATTGGAGAACCCATAAGTCGTACCCTACAACCGACTACTTTGCAGATACTCTTTGCCAACAATGCCCTTCGATCAAACTCTTCGGCGTGGGAGCTGGTGGCTGGCAAATCGCCTGCATCCACGCCCCAAGGCTCGACTGTAAACGCAACACATCAATTTCGTGCATGGTTACTGGATCCAACACGCCAGGGGCAAGATAGCGATACTAGTCCTCTTCCAGTGGATTATGGCGGAATTTTGTGGTCGTGTTTTACCCTACGAAAACGACTGCGCGTTGTCTCGGGCCATGTATTGGCCCCTGCAACAATCCTCCCCTCCACGGATGTGCCCGATGAAGTTGCCATGCCTATGCTATCAGCAGTAGCCCATGCATCAGGCAATGGCGCTACTTTTACATCACCTCCACCCCGGATCGATGAGACACAAGATTACTTTGGCAGTACAGGGCCTGCCATTCCCCAAAAAGCATCGAGACCCCCCATTGCAGCAGCACCACAACCTGATCCAACTTACTCCAAACTTGGTGACAAAAATATGGCGCCGGACCTTCCATCCAGAATAAACCTAACATCGGTTGAAGAATCTGCGCAATTTGTTAACCAGTGTGTATTGCGAGCTCATGTTGCAGGCGACGTTGACCCGTTCTATAGAGAAAATGACGAGGTGAGCGAGGAAGTTCGCGACATGGGCTTCTTCGATTGGACCAGGCTAGCCCCGTCTCCTAGTCTACCCAAACACATCCAATTCGCTCGCTCAATAGACTGGGCCTCAACACCCTTGGGCCCCATTGAGTACTGGTCTAACGACTTGCGCGCCATGTGCAACCTCATTATGTGAGCGTCCCATTCTGTGCATGAGCCCATGCAGCTCAACACTAACTATTGCCAGGGCAAGCCCTCATCCTGCAGCCATGTACTGGGGTGAAGAGCTTGTAGCCATTTACAACGAGGCCTACATCGGTATGTTGAAGCTTGACAGAACTGCTCTTTTCTCTAACCAGCAAACTAGGCCTGGCAGGCCAGAAACATCCAGCGCTCATGGGCCAGAGCTACAGAGTTGCCTGGGCGGAGATTTGGCACGAGGTCAAGGACGTTTTCGCAAATGCACGCCTTACGGGTCAAGCGACTATGAAGGACGACGATTGCCTGTTCATATGGCGGAATGGTTTCATCGAGGAGGCATATTTTTCATGGTCCATTATTCCAATGGTCGGTGAGGATGGAACAGTAATGGGTCTTTACAACCCGGCTTTTGAAAAGACAAGACGGAAAGTTGCTGAGAGGCGCATGCTCACGCTCCGCGAAGTCGGCGAACGGACTGCAACTGCTAGGGAAATCAAGGGCTTCTGGGATCAAGTGCTTCTCGCATTGACTGAAAACGACTTGGACACCCCGATAGTCATGCTTTATAGCGTTAACGACGAAAACGATAGCGATTCATCCTCCCTGCACTCCAGCAGCTTGCTCGGCTCAAAGCAGTGTTACTTGGAGGGCTCGCTGGGCGTTCCAGCTGGGCATCAAGCAGCGCCCGATCAGATTGACCTTAAAGACGGACAGGAAGGCTTTGGGCCTGTCTTCCGGGAGGTCATGAAGACGGATAAGCCTGCGGTTGTTAGTATTGGATCGGATGACTTGCCATCCTCCATGATGGAAGGAATAGAATGGCGCGGCTTCGGGGACCCTTGCCGAGAGATTGTCATCTGTCCCATTCACCCCACCACGGGCGAGAATATCCTTGGCTTCCTCATTATGGGCATCAATCCAAGGAGACCTTATGATGATGACTACAACCTCTTTGTTCAGCTGCTCAGCCGACAACTTGCTACATCACTGGCTTCCGTGGTCCTTTTTGAAGAAGAGATACGCAGGGGCCAAAGAGCAGCCCGGCTAGCGGCAGAAGACAGATACCATCTCTCTACACAGCTTGCTGCACGCACACAGGAAGCCCGAGAAAGCGAGACCAGGTTCACTCGCATGGCCGAGTTATCACCAGCCGGCTTGTTCATTGCTGACCATGTTGGAAGAATAACGTACTGCAATGACACTTGGTACGAAATCGCACGAGTGCCACGAGAGCCCGAGATGACTGATAGATGGATCGAATATGTCAGAGATGAGGATCAACCATTGATTCTTGAGCATTGGGAGCGGCTGGTTAACGACACTACGCCCATCAATCTGGAATTCCGATTCAAAGCACCTTGGGAAGATAGGGACCGCACAAAGAGTGACACATGGGTGCTGTTCTCGGCTTTCCCCGAAAAGGACGAACACGGGCAGCTCAAGAGTGTCTTCGGTAGCATCACGAACATCTCACCTCAAAAATGGGCCGAAGGATTTCAAAAGCGGAAGATGGAGGAGGCTGTTGAGCTCAAGCGCCAACAAGAGAACTTTATCGACATTACGAGTCACGAAATGCGAAACCCTCTTTCCGCTATCCTCCAATGCGCCGATGAGATTTCTACTATTCTAGGCGACTTTAGGGCTTCAGGATCTCAAGTCATCGAGCCGGGTATTGTAGCCGACTCTATAGACGCCGCACAGACGATCGCCTTGTGTGCGCAACATCAGAAGCGCATTGTTGATGATGTGTTGACGTTGTCGAAACTCGACAGTGCAATGCTCATGGTACGTTTGATTTTTCTTCCGAAAATAGGATTTGAGTTGTCTAACATATTCACCAGGTAACGCCAGTAGATGCGCAGCCATTACAAGTCGTACAGCGTGCTTTGAAGATGTTTGAAGGCGAGGTTCAAACAGCCGGTATACAGATGGAGTTTTTCCTCACCGATTCATTCACAAGTTTAGGGGTCGATTGGGTCAAGATTGATCCGTCGCGAGTCTTGCAGGTGAGCGGAAAAGTGCATGTAGTAGTTTCTTTTATGACTAATCAGGGCGTAGGTGCTCATCAATCTCACCACGAACGCCATCAAGTTTACAACAACCGAAGAAACAAGGACTATCAAGGTCGTTCTCTCAGCATCTCGAGAGTGTCCATCGGCGCGCAGCAACCCTACAGTGAACTACTTTCCCATGCGGGCCAAACGGGTAGATCAGACATGCGGCCCCGACTGGGGAAACGGAGAAGAAATCTACTTGGAATTTGCAGTCCAAGATACAGGCCGAGGGCTAACTCCAGAGGAAAAGAAACTTCTTTTCCAACGCTTCTCGCAAGCAAGTCCACGAACTCATGTTCAATATGGTGGATCTGGCCTAGGCTTGTTCATCTCGCGGGAGCTCACTGAGTTGCAAGGAGGCGAGATTGGTGTCTCTTCTGAGGCAGGAAAGGGAAGTACATTTGCCTTTTATGTCAAGTGCAGGAGGAGTATCGAGCCAAAAGATACTTTGGAAGTTCTTCCAGTTTCCTTGTCAAGAAAGGTGTCCAATGCGAAAGACAAGGGAAGGACTGGACCGCCTGTACCGTCACAGTCGAAAACAATAACCAAGGACTTTGCGATTGTGCCAAAACAGGATAATGTCACACCAAAACCAAAGCCAAAGAAGGAGATCAAGGTACTCATCGTAGAGGACAACTTGGGTATGTTACCAAGTCTATTCATTCTTCCTGCATTACCACTAACGCTCTCTAGTCAATCAAAGAGTCCTTCAACGTCAACTCCAAAACCAAGGCATACAAACCATCGTTGCAAATCACGGTGGTGAGGCTCTCGAATTCCTGAAACTATCCACATTCTGGGCCTCCCCTTCATCGCCCACCACTACCACCACACCCCCGACCGATATCTCGGTTGTCCTTATGGATAAAGAAATGCCCGTCATGGACGGTCTCCAATGCACGTCCAGAATCCGTGAACTAGAGCAGCACGGAAAGTTCAAGTGCCACGTCCCTATCATCGCTGTCACGGCCAACGCTCGCAGCGAGCAAATCGCTACTTTGCTAGCTGCTGGTATGGACGATGTTGTCAGCAAGCCATTCCGAATTGGTGAGCTTATACCCAAAATTGAAGATTTGGCCAACCGTTTTGGGAACAAAAAGCCGGTCTCCGATGATCCCACTTTAAAAGTCTCGACTGGACCCAGTGTACAACCGTACGGCGTATGACGAAGTACATGAAACATGATTTTGCTTTTTTTCGCACACAATTTTCGGGTATTCTGCCTGCATCAGCGATTGATGCAATCAGCCTTGTCTCGTTACTTTTCTTCTTCTTTTTGGACCTTTTTCCACAACTTCGTATTAGTAAGCATACACACAACTGGAGTTTCTCTGTTTTTTTTGCGCTCATTTACGACCTGGGGGTTTTTTTTCGCTTGTTAATGGAGCATTTTCGGATGTGTATACCCCCCTACCGCGTTTCTGGAATAAACATCATGAGGGAAACCAGAGATGAGTTGTAGAAAAATAAAGTAAAGTACAGTCCAATACAAATAGATGTATGGGTGGAACAATGAAAGTTTGAACAAGAATAGCTCAGCGATGTGAGTGAATAAGTGAAGGTCTGTAGTAGAAGCTACTGATGATAACTCATTGAAGTGCACACAAGGTGGACCCTTGGTGATCATACATAGATCACTTCTATTCAGCCCTTGTTTCCAGTGGCAGAGAGGCTTACGTAGGGTTATGCCGTTCTTTGTCTTTGCAGGCGAGTTTGATTGGCAATCGGTGAAGGCGGATCCGGGATACCGCGCAGATCATATTGATATCGGGACTATTTTTTGCCGTCTAACGCGTCAGGAGCCGCCGGACAGAGAACGACCCGTTCCGTGTGGCTTATTATTCCTATTAGGGTATAGTGGCAGGCTACACCGAAATACTGTGCTACTCGGCCAAAATTTGGTGAGTGGGAGCGCTAAAATAATGATCAGGCTCTTCGTCGGATGATTCTATATCCAATTTATTACAGTAAACTATTACCACACTGTTCTGAATAATCACGACTCTATATAGTATAGCTCCTACTCTCTACCCCGGCCTTTAATATCCCTTGCTAGTGGCACACACACACACACACAAAACTGTGGCTTTGTAGTAGTACGGTAGTGTGTATTGAATTCAAATGGTAGGACTAGAACTAGAGACGAAAATTGCCTGTGAAATCTCTGAGGTAGGCTGCATTCCCACCATACCCGGCACGCGAACAAACATTGCCCTTTCCCTCTGATTCGATTCTGCTATTATTCACTTCATTATTCGTCATGATGGAGATATAGGATCTGTTTGTTCAGCTTTTCAATCCTGTTTATTGACCAATTCAGAATTCAATTTTCGATACAGTGTCAGGGACGGCGTGATAAGTAATAATATAGAGAGTTCAAAGAAACAGACAGAGGCTGCGCTGTACTGATGATCACAAGGTCCTCATTGTACTTTGTGCTATCTCCACCCATATTCTCTTCGCGTTGAGGAGAAGTCGACTTGCAATTCGAGGCACTCTCCGGGGGCATAGACAGTCTATAATAATGATTAAGCATCTAAATGGACACATTGCATCGCCGTTGTGGGGCCGACAGCGACAGTTAGATTAACGTTGGCGGCTCCGCAGAGCCAATTCGCCTATCATCGCAGCTTGGTGGAGCCATGGATATGGTAAAAGGAACTCATGTTTGTAGCAGCCGATATCGATGGACCCGCCATCCGAAGGGCGATGCAGCAAGACTATATATCATTGCGAGATTCAAGGGACGTCTCTTCATTCATTCATTCATTCATTCATTCATTCATTCATCATCATCTTCTTCTTCCTCTTCTCATCGCATGATCAACATGAACGTTCAACTGGTCAGCAATTGGGCCCATGCGGTGCAGACTTTTGCAGTTGCTTCTCTATTCGTTGCACTTGTTGCGCTGATCCTAAACATTGAGCGCCGATTGAAGCTTTGGAAGATACCAAAGTTTGTTGCTTTCACCAATGGCGTACCAGAACATAACTTTTTTGCACAATATGCTACGCAGCTGTATCATCAGGCCTACAAAAAGGCGGGCTATCTATGACAATAGCGTGACTAACAATTGACGAGCTGACAGTTCAAAGACTCAATATATCGCGTTGCAGTAAATGGCGAACCTGAGTGCATATTATTGCCTACGAAGCTCCTACCAGAGCTGAAAAAACATCCCGACGATGTTCTGAACGTTATGGAAGCCGGAAATAAAGTGAGTGTGCTAGCTATCCAGTGGTAACATTATGTACTGAGTTTCCACAGCTTTTCGAGCTCGAATATACAAAATACAAGACTCTTGATCTTAACATGATTCACTGCATAAAAGCTAGTCTTACACCCGCACTAGGTGACTAAGAACAACGTAGTGCTGTCTGTCTCGTTGCTTACTCCATCACAGGACGCCTGAATCACGACATTACCGAGGAAATTAGTATCGCCTTTGAGAAAGAGATACCACCTTGCAAAGACTGGACCAACGTGAATGTTCACGATAAAATAGCTAACATTGTAGCTGAGGTATCTAGGCGTATGTTTGTAGGACCTGAAATATGTCGAAATCCAGAGTACCTCGATCACGCGGTCAACTTCACCACCGACTTGAATGATGCAGTTTTTGCAATCAAGCGCTGCAACTCCTGGCTTCGACCCTTTATGGAATCGCGTCTTCCCGAAATGAAACGCTTCAACGACAGAATCCGGCGCGCAACAGAGTTTTTCACGCCCATTATCCTCTCAAGAATGAAACCTGAGAACAAGTCCGACGATATGATGCAGTGGATGTTGGACTATAGTATGAGCACTGGCAAAGGGAACACTATGCATGAACATGTAAGGCGTCAGTTAGATGTCACTTTCGCGGCTATTCATACAACCACTACGACGGTTATAAACTGCCTGTATACTCTCGCCAGCATGCCCGAATATATCGCGCCACTCCAGGAGGAGGTTCGCTCTGTACGAGCAGCTCACGGTGGAGAGTTGAGTGCCCCAGCTCTGCAACATCTCGTCAAGCTCGACTCTGTCTTGAAGGAAATCGGTCGCATGTTCCCTACAACCGTTAGTAAGTCTTCTAAGTTCACTGTGACATATCATACACTAATAAACCCGCAGCGGCTTTCCAACGCATGGTCCTAATGCCCTTCACCCTATCCAACGGCCAGCAAATTCCAGCAGGCACCATGATCGAAACTTCCCTCGAAGCGCTCAATTACGACTAAAGCGTGCATTCCGACGCGGACAAATTTGACGGTTTCAGATACTACAAGGAGCGTCAATCTGCCAAGGAAGCGAGGCAGCGCAGTCGCAATTTGTCTCTTCTAACATCCGGGATTTGTACTTTGGATACGGCAAACATGCTTGCCCGGGACGCTTTTTTGCCGCAAACGAAATCAAGATTATCATGGCACAGCTGCTTTTGGATTACGAGTTCAAGATGCCTGACTATCAGATAAAGCGGTACGACCAGATCACCTATGCCAAGTTTATCACGCCGGATGCGTCGAAGACGTTGCTCATGAAGCGTATATACTAGTTACTTTTTCAATTTGTCACATGTAAGGACCAATAGAGTGACGGTCCAGTGGAAAGTACGCGGTACTATAGTAGTCCGTGCGCGGATCGGCGAAGTTAGTGGACACCCCTCTCCATAGCTGGCCTGTAGACAAAAGATCAATAGATTATAAACATCCATCATATTTGACACAAGTACATCTAACTACTGTGTCATGATACAAGATCGAGCTCAAAAGATCAAGGGGCGACCCGCAATAGAACTGGTAGAACAAAGCTAAGATCTAATCGCTGTATTCTAATGAGTAAAGAAGGTAGTCTGTCTACTCCGAAAAGAAATTCCAATATATATACCCACAGGCTGATCACGTGATACTACACCACACTACTAATCAAACTTCAGAGCCTCCAAATCAATCTCTGCTTCTCTCTTCCTGTATCTCAAAGTACTCTTCGGGTTTACCAGATAGTTAATTCCAAAGGAAGTCGGCTCAACAGTTGTTCCAGGAGCCAGTTCCCAATCATATCTGAGAAGAAGAAAACTAAGCGTGATCTTGATCTCATTGGCAGCGAAGAAGCGACCAGGGCAGGCATGCATTCCGTGGCCAAATGCTAGATGGTCTGGGCTCGTGCTTACAAAGTGTGCTTTGTTCGCAAACTCAGGCGTTTCTCGTAAGCGTAACCAACGGTAGATATCGAACTTCTCTAGGTCCTCAGTTGGGGGTAGGTTTCTCCCGTGAGTGTCGTCTACCATAACATACTGTCCCTTGAGGATAGTGATGTTCTCTTCCGCTATGTGTACATCTTTGGTTGCGACCCGGTGCATAGCCACTTCAAATACATTGTCAGTGGGATGGTTTTTGGAAAACAACGTATACAAGGACTTACACTGCTCGTTAGGCAACACTCTTTGTGCTTCCTTCATTGTGCTGTCCAACAGCTTCATGTTGTACAGCGAGGTTTTGCTCCATCCATCCTTTTTCAGGACACGGATTATTTCTTCCCGGAGGGGTTCGATTAGCTCAGGTTCTCTGGCCAAGAGTAATAAGATCTTTGACAAAAGGTCCGATGTGGTGTGGATAGCGGCAAACGATAGAGTGAGTTGTAGTGAGGCAGGATCATAGCTGATACCTTTGCATTCCTGTTCACCCCATTCGATGGCATCATTGAATTGTGGAATTGGCTTTCCTTCCCTACGTGCTTGTTCTTTCAGTAAACGACGCTCCTCGATTACGGGCCTGATCAGCTCCTGAGCGCGCCTCAGATGTCCAACAACAATTCTGCATTCTTTGGAAAAGATAGAAAGGAAGGATCGAAGAGGAAGGGGCACGAGCGTCAAATTGAATGCCGCTCGGAACATGTCCACAGTATATGCCTTTGTGATCTTAAGCCAATCTTCGTTGCGACAAAGTCTGTCGCCTAGGAAAACGCGTGACGAAAGACGTGCGATAATGTCCAGCATAGAGTCCAGAATGAGGGTTTCTTGCCAATCTACTTTAGATTAGACTATATTGATCACAAAATGATTGCCTAGACCCAAAGTCTTACCGGTGGGATTGCCCAAGGCGTGGTCAACTGCGAAGATAGCTTCAGAAGCTAGGGGCTCGGTAACAGTATCTAGACAGATGCATTATAAGCCTCGATCTATGTAAAATCTTTGATTAACATCAAACTTACTAAGTAGTTTTGTGAGTGGTTTTCTAGCAACGTTTTGTAATACTTGTCCTTGATGGTCTATGATTTCTGTAGCTGTAAATCCTGGAACATGGCCGTGGAAGTCCTGGATAATTAGCTTTTTTTTTGCTTCATAAAGATAATTGACAGAACCTACCTGCGTGGACGCTTTCGCAAAGCTTAGACCTGCTTCGTTCCGGATAGTGTTCGCAAAGCGTGCTGGAAGAACAATCATTTCTCCGTTATTGTTGATCATTCGATATGGCTTGTCGGGAAACCTCTTCGGGCATCGTCCACGATATTCATGCCGTTTTTCACAGCGTCCAACTGATTTATAGTTGTCGGAGCATACCATGCTGGAGGGTTGGCATGAGGAAGTTTGCTGTTTTTTCGACTTAGAACAAGTATTGCAATCACAGCGGCAAACAGTATCGAAGTAATGACAGGATTGAGGACAAGTGGAGGCAGGCTGGTAGGAAACAGGACAGTTGAAGACTCCAAGGTCTCCATGTTGTCAAACAACTAAAGTCGTTTAGATGGACTTGTGTAACCAAGAGGGTGTGGGTGTATCTGAAAACGCTAGACGAAGCTCGATTGAAAAATGATGAATCCAAGTGTGTGAGAACTGTGGTAAATTTCATCTATCTTTATATCAACCCAAATTATTCGGTTCGGATCGATACTGCATCCGACTCTCCTCCAAAGTTGTCATCAGTACATTACGTCTTCTGCACGTTATTTTCTCTGTGATCAAGTAGCTAAAGACTTATTCCGGAAGCCGAGATCCACTTTATTTAGTTCAAGCCCGCTTTTTTCCTAAGTCAACCGTGCACGATCGATATCTTTGGCCCAACGTGCGATCAGCAAAAAGCACTTGGGATATGATATCCCTTTCATTTGTTGTCTGTGAGACAAACTCTTATGCAACTCCTTATTTGATTCTAGTTTTGACTCAACAAAACTTAGAGTCCACCAAAATGCACCCTACGATTAATTCTTTCATCAGTGCAGGCCATACATGATGCGTCTGGAAGGATATCAGAAGTCTCTTAGCCACAGTGCCTCTGGCATCGGCTTCAAAATTTGATGTGCACACTAGGTATAGACTGTTGCAACACCCCAACAAGAATAGTAGCTAACGGGTGAGGCGCCGCTCTTCTTCCGGTTCACTATGCCTGAGAAATTAGGAGACCGTCTTGATACGAACCGGGCGGTATCTTGGATCTTCCGTGACCGATGGCTAATTAAACTCATAAGCGAAGACAGGAACAGGGTTAAATACTTGGTATGATCCACCCATAGTTACCTAGGGGTCCACATTATGCGCTTAAATGAAAACGAGTCATTATGAGTAGCTCCTACTATGCATGGTGGTAAACAAAGGTTTTGCATGTAGATACGGCGATGCACTACTTCGGATGGATCTGTCCTCGATCTATAGCGGGTGCTGGTGTAGTAATATGATGCAAAGCCAAGCAGCCAGGGAAATAGACAACGAGTTGTGTTAAAGATATTTTATTTCTTCGTATGAATACATGTTCTGATCATCAGCTATTACTTAGCAGCTAAAGAAGCAAAAAAAGCCCCTGATTCCTATTACGGCAAGTCGGGTGCAGTCGGCAGAGGCGGGCGTTTCGTGGCCCCTGTGCGGCACTAGTGCCCGTCTCCCTGTATTCCCCAGATGTGTGCGTTCCTCGTATTCATCGTATTTGCCGTGTTTACCGTATCTACTCGGAAGTGGCGTTTGCCGCTCCCGCTCCTGCCAATATCCAATTCGGAGAAGGACCAAAAGCCCAAAGCATATCAGCATGTGCATATATGCCCACATTTGCCGTTCTCATATGAATTTCAATACGCCTCGTTCAATAAGAAGACCTTGCCATCGGAAACATTGAACAGAGCCGTTAACCATTCCATAAGTCAATCCAACCGGATCAAGCCGATAGACCGAACTACACCTATACGTCCTGGCGAGTGTATTACGGCTCTGCGTCTATACTAAATAACTTGCAACGACTATTCGACTGCCGACCCGAACAGGCCTTGTGGGTCTCGAGGGGGGCTTCGTGGTACATTCATCTATGAGGGCAAGATTGACTACAAGAAGCAGGTTAGCCGACCATAGGAGCCTGTCGCATTGCTACTAGCCCATTCCTATTACGTATTGAGATTAGAGGCAGTATAAAGCCAAGAGATTACAATACATGTGTAATCTGTAGAGTGCATGAAATCGATAAGGATCAGTTTTCGTTAGGTATATCTGGTAGTAACCCGCCATCTGGTAGACAAAGTTCCAGGAACTCCAGCATGGCTTCTCTGTAACGGTTCGAGTACACACTGAACTAACATCCGAAAGGGATCCGAACATGGGCACGCACTAGCCGAGGGCAGATCTGCTGATATAAAACCCCACCTTCTCCATACCGTAGCTCGATAGATTTTTGATATCCTTTCGTACAAGGCCTATAGGTGTCTATTCGAATTAAGGCTCGTTTGATGTCCCACGCACTCCCATATGCCTCTGAGTGACACTACCGCCGATACTGATCCGAGTAGTCTTGCCTGCGCCGTTACATTCTCCTTTATTCTGTTAGTACAGCCATTCACCTACGCCTTTTTCTAGGTCTTTTATACTTACTAATAACACTTTAGAATGCGATTAAGATAATACGTATAGACAATAGCTACTATTATAATGCTGTAGTCTTATTATAAAGCTCTGACGTTGCCAACTTTCTTGCGCGTTATCGGCTTTGGTTGGATGGTGGCAGCCTATGTAGAGTCCTGGCAATTTTATCCACCAGATGCCCACTAACAGCTCATAGTCATGCAATCTAAGAGAACTACATAGTCGCCATGCCAGATATGTCTTCATAGTATACCTAAATAGAGCATCTCACGACTGCGCAGTGACTTCACGACGAATCAAGTAGAGTGGGTTTCGCTGTCAGAACAGCGTGGAAATTGATCACATGAGATGATTCATCTCGATGGACACTACTGAATCCCAGAACCACCTCCTTCCTTGAGATTCAAATTCTAAAAGGCATTTCCACAAAGTTTCGAAGACATTGTAAGAGATAGCGGAGACAATAACTGCTTTGGAAAAACCTCGCAGCACTCAGAAGTAAGTGAAGAATTTGAGTGATCGCGGAGCTATTTGCTGTTCGGTTAATTCAAGAAGTATGTCACGGTCTAGAAACGCCTCTTATGGTGCCACTGATAACCTGCTATCCCGAGACTTAAGTCTCACTGGTATACCTATTCTATGCAACAGGATCATCACTACTTACTAGCACCTCAACATAGAAGAGGTTACGAGAAAATAATTGAGACTCAAGTAGGTACAAGCTAACATTAGTCCATGACCATGTTTAGAGATATATGCATTGCGGACTTTGTACTAAATTTCAAGAACAGTTCTAGTCCTCATAACAGCAGCCTTTTTCTCGACCAGGGTTCAATTTAACCTATTATACTGAGTGAATGACGAATAGTCTTATATTGAACAGTAGCAAGGTTAAATTGCTACTATAAACGAAGCTACTAATTATGTTTCTAGATTCATGACTGTTGAAAAAGGTAGTCACTCTACACCAACCCTACTACTCAGCCAGCCCACTGTGACAACACTACCGGCTGTGCAGTGAGCTATGAAGCACAACGGCCTAATTTCACTGCGCTAAAGAGTCTACCAAGGCGTAATTCATTCAACAATAGCAACTAGAGGTCGTATAGCTATACATCGTGACATAGTCTATTACAGATCTAGCTAGCGCTTACCCAAAAGACCACCAATGACATCCGATTACGATTTAAATCGTTCCACTAAACCAACACTTATTTTACCCTTCTACCTAATTCCTTCCAAAAACCGCTAAGCGCCATCTGTTGAGTTATGTCTACCTAGCGATCCAGTTATTCCTAGCGCCGAAATAAGCATAGCATGTTGTGCCAATCGCCCAGTCGTCACCAGCTTCATCTCTGGGGCGTGAGATTAGGAGGAAAAAAAACGCATGGACAAGCATGTTATTCCAATTTGTTTGACTGGGTTCAAGCACAGAGATAGTGCCGTAGACGGAATGTATGCCTTGGAAAAAAGCTGTGCGCTCGCGAGGACAGTAATATAAGTCTGCGGGTCCTGCTTACACCACTCGTCAACTTACACAGTTAAAAGTTCAAACTTCACCACTCCCTACCACACCTTACAATAGCTGCTAAGTCACTGGTCCAATCAACTTTTTCGCCAAAATGCACTTCAACATCCTTGCAGCAGCGGCATTGCTCTCCCTTACGGGAACTAGCATGGCAAGCGATTGCAAGGTGTATGCGAATCTCTACTGTGAAAAACAGGGCGGAGCACATCCCATGGCAACTCCGTATAGGGTACTGTAAAGCTTTCTACTTCGATTGACGACTTACTGATTTTACGAAAAAAGTGTTTGCCTACAGCAGATGATTCTCGTAATACGAAGGGTCCGTCATATAACTGGTGCCGGTACATCAACGGTGGAAACCAGATGAAGTGGTATTGTGTAAGTTTCACGCTTATCTTGAAGGGAATTTAAAGTTGACGAAGATTTAGTGCGATCGATAAGTGGCTGGGCCATGGGGGAAGGGATATTGGTATTGAGGAGGGCGCAAAGGGTTGCTCTTTCCTGCGATGTAGGGTGATTCATTTCTTAGCACTCGGTGGAGAATGTCGCCGATGGCGCAAGGCGGGTATTTGGTACTTCGGATCTCTCTCCTTGATCTGACTGTGTTCAAAAGGGTGGAGTATAGCACGCGGTACTTGATATAATATTAATCCTCCTCTTTTGAAAGCAAAAAGCAAGCAGATCGTTACCAAGTCAAAACGCACCATGTATAAAGAAAATATTGAACTCTTCATAATCTGCGTATAATTCATACGCTAGCCTCACTTGGAATAGAAAATAAGTTTGAAGATTGCGTCTCCAACCATACACGCACTGCCTGCTGAGCGCGCAATGCCTGTTAGTAAGATTTTTGCACCAAATGATTACCCCAGAAACAATCACCTTATACTTAGAAGGCCGTACTTTGTTCCAGATATATCGACAACATCAGCACCTTTCCTGTACGAAGCTTTGATTCCAAGACGATGACCGACATTGATCACGCAAAGCGCCTGGTGCAGCATTAGTAAACAACAGTGAACGTCCCATCCACTATTCCATACCGCAATCATGAAAACCTAGTAGCTCCATACATCAAGGGTCAAATCAATTCAAACATAATTCTCGCATCACCACACTCAAAAACACAAACAATTCCCTGTTCTTCTTTTCACATACTCAATACATCAACTCTACACCCCATACCTAAACTCCCTAACCTTCTTCTGATAATACCACGTCGCCAGCGCGCCCGTAACCCCCAGCGCAATCGGCACTGGCGCTCGTCCCCCCGTCTTAATAATCCTCGGAACCGCCGAGCCAGCCAACATGATACTATTTCCCAGCGCGAGTTCCGTGCCGTAGTCTTGGTTTTGCTTGATGCGGTAGCCTAAGTCACGTGTCAACTTCTATTTATACTTGGAGCATCACAAAACGTCTGCGCGGCGGAGGTTGTTTAGGGAAACCTTTGCATGTCGCCGGAGTGCCAATGGGTAAGTGGTGGATATGGGGGACGTACCAGCAAAAGCGTAGCTGGCTCCCAATCCGATTCCCGCCACGAGGCTAGGTGTTGAGCGGGTTCGGAGATAGCCTGCTGTGCCTCCAACGGCCACTGCGGGTTTGTTTAGTCGATTTGCGCAACGCCGGCATGTGCGGGCTTGTGAACTTACGCAGACCTGCAAGCGTGAAAGAAGGGTGTTCTGCCATTGTTTGGTTTCTTCAATGGATTGAGAAAGATGAATGCGTAGGTGTTTTGCGGGATGAGGAGGAAATATGTATGGGCGCCGGGGTGTTGTCCTAGTGCGGGAAAGCGGCGGGATGCCGGAGTGCCAAGGATCCAGATGGCCATTTTTTTTTTGCGGCATGTTGGAGGATGACGAATTTTGGTAGTGTTTGAGTTATCATAGGGAATCTTTGAAGTATGATTGCGATTGGTTGTTTTACTAATTGTGAATAAAGAACTAATAGGTATTATGTGACAAATTCGTAGAATGGGGTATGTCCTGCAAATATTACAACCGTACAGTCTGTTGCGCCAAATAAGAAAGGTAAATCCACAATTGTGTATCACTGGCGTCTTTTGAAGGGAAAGCCGAAATAAACGCCTTGTTAAGGAAAATCGTTAAGACAACCGACTCGACAACTACGTTGAGTAGTTTCATTAGTAGCTCCGCACACTCAAATGACAACAGAGTGGCTCACGCTATACCTCACGGCTGGTGGCGCAAAATCCGAATAGTCCGGTGGCATATCGTCTCTCGTTGCAAAACTGGAGCTGCGACTGGCTTCTGAGCTTGATGGAGGCGCAATGCTGCGTGGCGCCAACATATCGGTAGCTGATCGGAATGCGCTTTCCTCCACATTGCGCGCTCGGGCATTCTCGATACCTGTGTCGCTGCCTTGGGCACAAATTTGGATTGGGACCTTGAGACTCAGACTCGAGCTGTTGTGGACTGAAAATTGCAATGTGAGAGCGTAAATGCGTGAGATTAGGCAGGAGTGGAAGGTCGGGATGAAGTTGCGTGTCATGGGTAGGGTGATGGGAACCAGGACTTGAGTCGTATAAAAGATGCCCTGATTGTAGGCGCTCGACCCCGGAAGAATGCCGTTCGCAAAAGCTTCCTCGCACTCACTGTTTGTGGAGCAGTCGCTGATGCCCGAGTCGCGTCGTAGAAAGCTTGCTGGCGGCGGGTTAGATTCAGCACCGTGCTTTGTCCATTGAGCGGATGCAATGCAGAGAGTGGAGAGTGGCAAGTATTCTGAGTAAAGGCCTTGCGATAGGTCGTATCCGAGGGTTGATCGTGTGGGCATGCATTTTCGTGCAGCTGAGGCGTAAAAGGTCGATACCTTGAGTTTTGTTGTCAGTGAGCCCAGCTTAGGCGGAAGATTGGTCTCTTCGGCTGGGTCGAAGCGGAGGATCAATTTGGCCATGGTCGTGATTAATCTACCCTCTGTTGACCGGGCGCCTGGAATAACAAGAGGTGACGGTTGGACGGTTCTGGCGGATAGCTTTCCTAGCTTTCCTTTGAAGAGCCCCTTCTTTACAGTCCTCTCCTGTCTCTGTCGGTAATCCGGACTGTTGTCAATATTGAGAGGTGGTTGCTCGGGAAATGCGGGCTTGACGCGAACCTTTTTGATCTTCTCAGCAAGCACAGAAATGCCTTCAGATCCGCGGATGTGGGCAATCTTGACTTGGATGCTGTAGGTGATCTTGGACATATCTGGCGCTAAATCATCGAGTAACGTACTGCCGAAACCAGCAAGGTCGGCATCTCCGATACTGGGTGGGAGCTGTAGGTGTGTGTCGCGGATGTGGTCAGAGACAACGTCGTGTGAGCAGGCTCTTGGTAGCAATTGCGATGGGACGGTGAAGGTAAACGGGATCTGATATGCTCTGCCCGCCTCGAAGACTCTTGGATCTGGGAAGATGGATTTGTCTATAGGCTGTCTAAGAGTCAAGAACCGGTGCTTCGCCTCTGTCCGCCCCGTCATAGTCGGCGTAGACGTCATCCTATCCACGTATACTTGAGTGGTTCCTGGGACTGTCAGCTACGAAATCGTTCAGTCTAGAAATGCGATGCTCACATACCAATGAAGCTAATGTCAATATCCTCGAAGCGCGTGTCGTGTTGCGCAGTAATCGTTACAGTGCCGTCAATAGTATCCATGGAGGAGTAGCTCATGACAAATTTGGATTGGTGGTCTCTGTCTGCGTGAAGATTGATATCGATGGTGGGCTGTCCAAGCATCGTCATGTTGCGTGCTTTGTAGCCGATCTGGTTGCCCAAAGTGTGCATTCTATCTTGGTGGACGACTGCGGACGTGATTGAGGAGGATGGCATGTTGAGGGTATCGCGCACGCCTTGAAGCGCGCCAGCCAAGGTATCAAAAAGCCACTGCCAAACGAACAAAGAAAACCTCCCGGGGAACGGGTCGCAGGCTGATGCGGAGAAGGTGGAAACTGGGGTAGTGCAGATAGACAATGATTTCAGGCAAGACTTGGACTTTGCGGTTGCATGTGAAGATAAGGACGTAGCAATAGTTTCGGGCTTGGCTAGGGGACTGGGCCCAAGACGATCTTATACAGTTTGTGCAAATGCAGCTTGGCTTGACTCACCCCAGAAGGGCGCATGCATGTGCTGGGTAGACTGACGTGCTCTGCCATAGGATACGCGGGGGAGTCACCCATCACCAACGCCGACAGCCTCTACTATTCCGATGGCGCTGCACGCTATGCCCAAAAGGGGCCCGCAGGTTTGGCAATTTTCCACACGCCCATGGACAGAAGCGTGCTAAGTGCGCCGCCCTGAAGAAGGGTCTGGGCGACATGTCTGTGAATTTTGCTGTTGCGGACCACGGCGAGTGGATACGCAGTGACGCTGGGTCGTTGCAAATTTTCGACGTTAAGCCGTTAAATGGTAAAAGGCAATTAGAGCATGTTTCAACAGGCACTCAACAATCGGAGGCGCCCGAAGCTGGTTTGCCAGGACAAAATCTTTGTCGCGGTGAGGGCTGGCCAGGCATGCAGGTCGATGCCCACATGGAGGGTTGCTACTCAAGCGTAGGGCGTGTGGGCACCAAATGTGCAAGGGGGCCAGCCCATTAATCAGCACAACGCGCTCGCTCTGTTTGTAACCGCTCAGCTCCTTCGGAATACTCTACTTTGGCTATTCCGAACCGACTCATCACCCATCCACCGCTCACGCCTCGTGTTTTCCGGCGGACAATCTTCGCGTGTGGTATGGCGACTGCCGATGCTTATTAGCAAATGGGCTGGGGGTTATCGCGAGTGCCTTTTGTTGTTTGGGTCTGGTTCAGCACGACATTTTGTGGTCAAGCAAAGCCAATTCCGAAGCGGTGGCCCTACAATGAATGGGTAATTAGTGCCGAAGGAAGGGGGGGGGGGGGGAGGGGAGGTGCAGCCCACGTCATGCGAAATTCTGCGAGCGCAATCCACCATCATCAACGCGTACCTGACAGGAAGCGTGTTGCATATGTACATACACTGACAGGCACATGTCCCGATTGTGCGAGTAGAATGACGATTGGGGCCCGCCGCTTACTCACTAAGCTGCCATACCTTCGGTCTTGACGGCACACTCAGGCCTCTCAAACAAAGCAAAGCAGAATGGCTACAGCCAGTAGCCCTGCCAGTGCACCATTCGCAGAGAACCTGCCTACCCCGCCCGCCTCTTCTGCAGCGCCGTCACAGCACCCCTCGCCGCTGCCACAGCCGCGGAAGCACCCCCTCAAACCTGGTGGCCCCAGAGAATCGGATTTGATCAGATACCTGGATCATGGCATCAACAGCATACAGAAACGTGTGGACAACCGCATGACCAACCGCAAGCTCAAGCCCGAGGCTGGGGAAGAGCAGGGATATAGCGCGTTCTGGGAGGTGGCACGCGACCTGGATGGCTTGGTAGACGTCGTGTGGGTGTCGGCATCTCGTAAGCAGCAGCATGGTGCGGTCGGTGTAACAGGTACTGACGCGCGCCACACGCAGCGAACCTCCAGATTCCCTATTTGCTCAACATTGCCGTTCTAACCGCTGAATTCCTTCCTCTGTTCACTTCAACAACGCGCTCCACCCAGGCCACCTTTCGCCTCGTCTCAAAGCTTGACTATGCCTTCTCCTCACTACTGACTGGCCACGACCTTGCTACAGGCGAGCTGTTACCTGGCTTTGAAAATGGCAGAACAGTTACAACCACGGACAAGGTCCGCTTGAAGGGCATTGTAGATCGCACCCGCCTGACTGTCGTTCGTGTTATGAGTGGAGAAAGTGTCGTCGGGGATGACCAAGACGTGGGCGAGGCTATGGATACAGATAATGGGCAAGAAGTAGAGCCGCGGGGCCACGATGGAACTGTCACCTTTGAAGGCTTTGAAAACAATACTGACGAAGAAGAAGAGGATGACGAGTGGGAGGAGCGTGGTATAGCCACTATCTATGAAAAAACAATAGGCGAGTTGGGCGACGTCCTTGGTGGTCCCCCAATTGGTATTATCACAGACGATTGGGCTAGCAAAGGAGCCGATCAGCAAAGAAGCGGCGGTGGCTTCGTAGAGTCTGACATTGACTTTGACTAGGCCGACATATGGCACGTCGATTATTTCTTCGTCTTCTGAGCTTATGGCACGCCAGTGCAGGCGTGATTGCTGGAGCTGGGCAGCTTGAAGATCTTTGCCATGCTACTCAGCTGTTCCTTGTCTAATCCCCTCTTGTGTTTTCAGTCCGCATGCTGTCTTGATTCCACGCACTTCCAGGTATTGTCTCACTCCACTCTTTTTTCTTTATTCTTTCAAATAGCCAAAAGCCTTGTCGTGATGAAGATTTGGCGGTGCAGGAGCAGTGGCCCCTGAATACGGCTGTGGCCAGGAATTGTTTGTGTCGGGCTAGAAGAGTGCATTCAAAGTTGACGGGACAAGCCGACCGGCGGTGAATGACAGGGAAGGAGCGTTTGAGGGTGCCTACCCGATCTGGCAGTTCACGATATAAGCCACGCGACAAAGCCCGACTACGCTCAACCACGCCCGACACATCCCAGATGGTATACGCGTGCACAATTCCGGTTGTGAGAAATCTTTCCCTTTCCTAATACTATTATCTATACTGTCTTTTGCTCCATATCCTGATACACGAAATATTCTATCGCCGCACCACAAACATGCCTACCTACCTGGCACGCGGCGTGTCCACACGCCTAGGCACCATGCCACTTGCAGGCACCATTTCTGAGCATATTGTACTACGAAGGGGCGAGGCAGCCAAGCAGCAGTCAGACGCTGCTGAGAAACAGCTGCAGAACAGCAGGCTGCTCAAGGAGGTGTCCGTACCTTTCCCAGGTGACGAAAAACAACACCGTTTAAACTGGCTGGGAAACGCGCCCTTTGTGCAGGTACAAGCTGGCTGGGATGCTTTCGACGAAGAATGCGCAGAGACAACAAGGGCGACTACGGGTACTTCACTCCACCTTATAACAATGCCAAAGCTAATCTTTACCTCTTAGGCGTTCTGTCCTCTCAAGAATCCAAAGCACTTGTTCTTCATGTCAATCTTTCAGACAGAACATACGTATCAGGTCTCCACGATCACAAAACATCACTCAAGATCGAAGTCTTCTTCAACGGGCAGCTGAACAGTTGCTGGTTTATGGCTACGCACGACGTCAGGACTGGCGTCAAAGGACACCATCAGATCTTTGCTGGCATTAGGGTCAATTTCCTTGCTGAGCGGCCATGGATAATCCTCCCGCCTGGGATAGAGCCAGGAGTGGGCCTCAGAACGCACCATGAGCCTATATCAGTATCGCAGCGATGGCAGGATATTTGCCGCGCCTTCAAAAATGAAGCAAATGAGAGGGGTGTCAACGAACAAGGGGAAATTCCTCCAACCGCCACATTTCTAGAGGCGCATGCAGCTATGCAGATGCCAGATAAGGTCCGAAATATGCAGAAGCCAGGGGGAAAAGTTTTCGGCACAATCGACGTTGTCATCACCGCTGGGAAGGGCAAGAAACTCACGAGTGGTGTAGGCTACCTAAAGGCGCCGAAACGGATGTTTGACGAGAACTTTCCACTTGTGAAACAAAGCGATGGCGCGGCCGCAGATGCACAAATAGTTGAGACTCGACAAACTGAAAGCGACGATGAGCCCCAAAGCATCCAGCCTGGCTATAATGGTTTCGTCGCGATTACAGAGGCCGAATACAACCAAGGATATAGCTTGTCAACACAGGAAAAGTCGTTGAGCGCAGATAGACCTGGCATACCAACTGCTTCCGATTTTGCTCCATATAGCGGAATTCCGGACAACCTACAGCACATCCAAGGACAGAGTATGTCGAGCGATCTGAGCAATCAACCATGTCAACTGAATACTGCATCATATTTTGGTCCGCTCCAACATCTACCCTTCAGTTTTCCCGATTCAAACCAACCTCTCTTGATGGGTCGTACGCAAGATTTCAGCATCGTGTCTAATCGATTTACACCTAGTGCATCTGCACCACCGTATCTCTTACCGGATCAGCCTTTTCGGTGCTTCAATGACGGGACATCTCCGCTTCTACACGGAAACCTCACAGAAGCTGGCCATGAATATTCAAGAACACCTCGAAACGTGATCCCTGTTCCATTCTCGTCGCAACAAGTCCCCGGCCTTCGCGAGCAAGGAGCTGTTGAATTACCACACGTGCCAGTTCCTCCACCGAACAGCTACCTGGAATGGCCAGCGCCACCCATAGGGCTATACTCTGTACCTAAGAAGCCAAAACGAAGCATCTCCGCACGGAAGGACACTCTTTCGGCGAGGGTGAAAAAAGATAGCCGCGATATTCTGCTTACAAGGTTGGTGATTCTGGGACACAATAAGACCATTCTAGTTGATCACAAGTGGGACCCACCAAAGCGCATCACAGTGAGATCGGGAAGGCCAGTATGTCCCGAGCCTCAACTCGGCCATCCAGCGAGCATGAATGAATGCCTTGAATCGTCAAAGTCCAGGGACACATCTGCCAGCATCTGCAAACCAGAGAAAATTGCAGTCAACATGAATACGTCAGCGCCCCCATCATCCGAGAATTCCAGCATGGATGTGTCTCTTAAAGGAATTCCCCACATATACCAATCTCGAGATGAGGTGATTATAGGAGAGGATGAGTCAACTGATCTTTGCCGTAAGCCTGACACATTGCAGTTGAGCGATACTCGTATCTTCGATCACTCAGAGAAGGACTTTGTTCTTTCCACAAAGTACAATCGTGATCGTTGCGCTTCACGAGGCAGTAACATGTTTGCGGTTCAAAGTTCCGAAACAAACCCGCCTTTGTTTGGGAGACCAGAAGAGATGTTTTGCGAAGCATCCCTTCTCTCTAGCCTGCATACCACCCCTAATATTGGTTTAGAGTCTATGGAGCACAAGCTTCAGTCTGAACAGACTAACCCAATTACCCTAGTTCCTATCCGGCCAGCGGATAGTTCAAACAAGCACGTAATCCTACCGAGTCTCGACTGTTCTCACGGAGCGTTGTTTCCAACAGTCTCAAATTCGACGACCAAAGCAACTCCGTCTTCAAAGGGCAGAAAGCGTAAAGCTTCCAATGGCCCCATCACCAAGTGGTCACGCAATCGTACTTCCTTGAAGACAGACGGCAATCCCTCGCTAAATCAGAACTGCGTTATTACATATGCAGAGAACAAGGACGAGGAAAATGATCAAGGTGTTTTCAGGCAAGTACGGAGTGAAAGATGTGGGGTATTTCAGGAAGACTACGTCGTCTTTGCGGCACGTTTCTTTGTAGGGGAAAAGGCGAGCATGGACAAAGAGTAAGAGACGTGTCACAGCAGAAAGAATCATTGGAGACTATGTGCAAATGCATGAGGAGAAAAAGCGATATGAATGGCGTCAAGGATCTAGTGATGACAGGTATGAGGTTTGATGATGGAAACTTTGCTGCTCTATCAAGGGAGAGATGGATGCATTTGCTGGTTTTTTTACGCTCCACTACGATACCCCCAGTCCGGCAATAGCCTAAGAATAGTTGCGCTTGTGTAAGTAGGTACACGAAGACAAAAGCCAGGATACCCGGGACGATGCATTATTGCGCAATGGAACCTCTGTTATCGTGAAGCAGCGGGTCAGGGATACAAGGGGTGTCGCGTGATGGCGCACGCCATACTTACTATCAGCTGTCAACTAATGCCTCCGCTGTCCCCTCTTCGGTTCTGACCATCTCTTTGTCTAAACTACACCGCGTCGCAGCGCATCCCCATGTCCATACGTATGAACGGGTCGGTCAGTGGTGACTAGGCCATATCTTTTGTGCAGTCAGTTGTGCAACATGCAACCAAGTTGGGACGTCACAGCCACGACATTTGTCGGCCCTTTCCAGCTCCCAACCCCGCATCACAAGAACAAAGTGATAAACTCTGGTTGGCCAATCTTGACAGAGCTGCACCCCTGACTGGGAAACGAGCGCCTTGGGAGGCACTAAATTACAGGTAAGTTCCGGCCAAGCCGTGTTGTCAGTATCGGCCTGCAGATATGAGACTTGGTTTTTTGTCAGATGAGGTTGTCGCTGAGGCAGTGCTCTTTCTCTCTCAATCTCTCCTCCCTCATCACGCATCGCCTTCTTCAGGGTTGCGCGCTGGGTTATGAATACAGCTGCCAAGTTTGCTGCGCCAGAGGTACTCTAGCCATACAAGACGCCGATAGAGGGGCACGGCGTACTCCCGGTCGACAAGTGCGCGACGGATGATATGCATGAGGCCCGAACAGTCAAGGTCGGACATCCAACTGCATACTCGAACCAGCGCCTGTACAAGTCGTATTCCGGATCACTGGTATTGCCTCCTTTTTAAAGCGTGTGTAAGATCCTGGATAGCGCGTCATTATGTCGAGCAATAGCACAGAGACGAAGGAGCCATCAGGTCCAAGAGGCGGCACGCTCATTGTCGCCATCATTGTGCCCTCGGTTCTAATTATTCTCCTGATCGTCCTCATCATTGTGTCAGTCTCTCGTCCGCGCGCTGCATGTCAAAGTTGCACGTCTGAGCTAACAAGCAGCAATCGACGCAGAGGTTTTCTCCTCCCACGACTGGCCCGCGAAGAACGACGCGTGCGCGAGAACGGTTGGCAGACGCGAAAAGAAGAGCTGGAAAATCGGGTCAAGGCACAGTGTTTTTCTGAGTGGGCCGCCGGCCAAAAGGAAAAAAGGTCTGGTGCGCCTCAAATGTCAGATGCGCTATGGTGAGTTTTTTAATTGCTGGCGACAGTGGCGCATCGTGAACTCATTTTGGCGGCAGTGCTATTTGTCTCGACGACTTCGCCGACGATTCACAGGTTCGAGGACTCGAATGCGCGCATGCGTTCCACTCACACTGCCTGGACGAATGGTATACAAAGTACAATGAATACTGTCCGCTGTGCCATGGTCCGATAATCCCCGGGGCTCAACTACCGAAGAAGAAAGCACGAGAAGTAGGCGAGCCGACGATTCCGGTGATTCTCATGGTCTGAGAGAAGACGGCATGAAGGCAACTTGACGCTGGTAGAGTGTCAATGTGGAGTCGCATGCAGAACAACCTGTAGCCGCAAATGGACGAGACTAAAAACAGACATGGGGCGCCACGCAGGCCGCTCTAATCGCTCGGGATAGACGGGAGATCTCCAACGGGGCAGGTAAATTTTGTCCTGATCAACGGGCTGCGAGCAAGTGGGTCAAGCCAAAGGGCTGCCAGGACCGAGGCAAATGTTCAGCGCCAATGAGAGAATGGTGTCCATGACAGCGTATCCATGACCGCACTCGACATGTATTATGTGCACATATGGACGACATGCTAGCTGAGATGACAACTGATCAACGAGTAGTGGTGCTGCTGGTACTCTACATGTGTACACTACTTAGTACCAAGCCGGGCCTGGTAGCGTAGGTGGATTAGTGTATCCGGCACATCAACGGCTCCCGGTGCCGCCGGTAGTAGCATGGCCTTCACTACTCTAGACCTTGCACGGTCCAATACCAAGTGTGTACGTATACAGCACATAGTATACTTATAACCAGTATGCCGAGAATGTTGCGAGAGAGGCCGCTGTGCTCTTGGCTCGAAGCGAGGAGCCACAGAGCGCGTACCGGGGAAGACGCATTGGGCAGTGGGCAGTGGGCGGGGCTCAGCCAAATGTCACGCCACATTTCTGGTGGTCTGATCATCAACCGCCATCCAGGCCCGGCCAGTCTCTCAGCTGCACTGCACGGCGCTGCACTGTTCTGCACTGCTCTGCTGCTGAGACGCCCGTTTGAGCCTTCTGACCCCGACACCCTTTTTGTTTTCCCTTCTCGTCCACCGACACACGTCCACGCCCTGCAACCCCCGATTCCTAGCCGGACTTCCCCCCTAGTCGCACCACCCAGAACCTCTACCACGGGCCTGCAAACCACCTGCAACCACTGCCAAGTCTCTGTGTTTGGTCTTACTACCCACCATCCCGGACACCTGCTCCCCTCGGGCTCAATCTCGGGGTTCCCTTCTTCACACTGCTCAAGCCCTTCTGCCCTTCCTCCTCTCCCACTAATCTCCCCAAGAGGCTTGCTGTTGCGTCTTTCTTCCCTAGGCCTCGACCAAAAACTAAAGGGAGTGGCCGCGCTTATATCCTCGTCCCCCACCTAGTCCTGATCCTGCACGTCGCTGGCTAGTCTCATCTGGCGGCTTGGCCATAGCACCCTCGAGCCATTGTATCTCCTGATCAACGCGTGAGCTCTTCCGTGCCACAACCCACCCACCGACAATCACCATGGCTCTCAATTGGGACGCATTCCTCAATACTGACGGTTTCAACCTGCCGAACAACCAATGGTCCGATTCTTTACCACCGACTGCTGCCCCTCGCGCCTCTCAAATGCCCAAGTCTACCACCACCGACACGTCAGGCTCTTCACCTGAGGACCTCAACAACTTTGACTCTCTCATCGGTGCTTCATCAGCCGATCCCTACTTTGACGACTCGCTTTTCTTGTCCAACGACTACTTCCTCGGCGATCTCGACGTCCTCAAGCCCTTTGGCAATACTGCTGGGGGCAAGTCGACAACGGAGTCATCTCCTGAGCCCACGACAAGTGGTAATAACCCCGCAGCACAGGCACCCGTGTCGCTGGCGAACGGGTTCGACCAATCATCCTACATGTCTCCCGCCCAAAGGCTGGCACTCCAACGTGCCAACACGTTTCCTAACCCCACATACGAGTCCATGTTCCCCAATAACATCGACTCGGGCTTCGTTGAAGACCTTACCTTTCCAGATGGTCCCAAGGGCCTATCAGTTGCCGCAAAGCCTGCAGTGGAAAGAAACCAATCCTCGACAACGACGAACACTACTTCGAAGCGAACCAAGAACAAGCCAGATATCCTTTCTGCATGCTGGACCTCACCCCTGTGTCCCAATCATGACCAAGATGGACCACCACCCAACCCATCAACATGTGGCGGCGGATGTGCGCCCTTCTTGTTCGCAGACCAAGACAACCTACCAAGCATCAGTGATTTGCTTGCTGAGCCTCAAGAAGTCATAGCCGAAGATGGCATAGTAGAGATTCAGCCTAGGCCCAAGAAGCGATCCGAGAGTGATGCATCCGCTAATGGCTTCTCTACTCGACAATTCGAGAGCAAGGAGACGACTTCATCACCGACTGAAGATCGTCACAGGACCAAGAGCGAGACTACAGAGGATACTTCCACCAAGGAGTCGCCTCAAGCCGATGACGGAAAGCCAAAGTCTCGTCGGCGACTACCACACAACCAGGTCGAGCGCAAGTACCGTGAATCACTCAACACCCAGCTCGACTCTCTAAAGAGGGTTGTGCCTTCACTACAACAGAACCCTCGGGCGTGCGATAGCGCTGACATTGAAGACCTACCCGCCCCTTCGAAGCCCAGCAAAGCCGTCATTCTGGCCTCAGCAACCGCCTACATCAAGCAAATGGAAAGAGAGAAGAAGAGTCTTGCTGATGAGAATCAACTTCTCCGCACAAGAGTGAAGGCTCTACAAGCCCTTGTCAAATGCGACGACTGCAGTTTGATGCAGTACGTCATGGACCTGAAGATCAAACAAGGGGTGGCTTAGAGAAGACCCCATTTACTTTTCCACCCCCCAACTCACTCAAACAAATATCTGAGAAACCGGCATTTTTTGTAAAAATCAGCATGGGATATAATGGTGTTTTTTTGAAGATTTTCCCTCAAATCTCAAATCTTAACCTAGATTTTCCTATCTCTTTCTCTCACGAGTTCTGAACCAAACATGGGGTGGGGGGCAAATAGCCAATTTGGAGGCGTGGTCCTGACTCTTCTTTATTTGGGCAACACACTCCCGATTTTGCTGCGATGTCTTTTCTACTCTATCTCTCTCTTTTCATGGATGAATGCACATATGGTGCTTACATGTAACGATTATGGCGTTTGAAGGGTTACTGGGGAATTAAAAAGCGCTCGCTTTGGCGATGACGCTCATGGCGTTTTTCTTGGGAAGGAGGGTTTCCTTTTGATTGTAGTTGAGTTGAACGGATGTAGAGGGGGTAGCTTCAACAGAATATATGATTGTACGCCCGTTTATGGATTTCTTGCATCGTGTCGTGTGAGTAGGTGGGTGATTGTACTGAAGGTGAGCTTTTTTTTCCATTCATACTATCATTACTTTGACTCATTACCCTAGTATTATTACTATTATCACAACTTTCTTTTTTTTTCAAACACCAAAACCACGAAACGCCTGTCATTTATATATCATACTGATCCTCCCCTTTACGCCTTCACATCATCCACCCCCTCCATCGTGATTCTGGGTCTCACGTACCCATCCATTTCTACACCCCTTTCATTAGCCTTCTTTTCACTGAACCCTTCCTTTACCTCATTATGGATAGAGGGAGACAACTCACGCATACTACACTGTACATATCCCACCGGCCAAACGGGGCCATCCCATCTATCCCACCCTTGCTCATACGACGTTATCGATGCCTTTTCAAGCTCGAACGCTGCTTCGTCTGCGGTGAGGAGGGATGGGGTTGCAAGGGGCGTCGACATGTTGCTGGTTGAGAGGGGAAAGTAGGAGTAGGGGTCGTATAGCATGTATTCGAAATTGATATAGAGATATATTATTGAACTTTCGCAAGGTAGAATGGTTTGTTTGGAGAAATGTGAGGGGACGGATGTGGTGGAGAGGTGGGTTTATATGTAGCAGTAAGTATGAGAAGTAGAAGGAGGACGAGGTGTAGTATGGAGGCAAAGTGGTGAGATCCAGAGCTTAGTTGGAGTGTCCCTGCGTCTGGATAATTCATGGCTAACACTCGGAAAATCAGAACTGTATCTCCAGATACCTATTTTTTCTTCTCTGCCGTCCCTGGAATTCGCTTTTCCCGTCTTCCGCGTGCCCTGCGCATGCATGTAAGCTGCGTCGGGAGGGCCCGGTGTGGTACGGGGTAGCGCGGGTGGAGAGATATGTGGCGTGATAGGGGGTTGGTTCTCGGAAGTATCCGGTCGCGCCACCACGTGTCTGGATTCGGGTGCGGCTTCTGGATTTGTATGCGGCATATGGTTTAATCTAGGTACACGTGTGTAGTTGAGTGTTTTCTTGGAATGTGGGGTGGGAGGTATCACACCATGTTGCTGTCGTGATGTTGCTTGCGTTTGTGAACATGGAGGGGGATGGTTTATATATATGAAGCCCTTGGAAATACTAGAAGTTTATTATCTCCATCTACAAAACCACCATTTGTATCAAAGACATCGGTTACCAACAGTTACATATCTACTTCATCATTACTGCGAGCGCCGCGATCAAACCAGACTACAACGCCAAAACAAACATACCATCCGACAAAAAACCGATTCCACCACACCATACAGCACGCATGTCGTTCTTCCCAATCATACCTTCGACATCACTCCACAGCTCCATCCTCGCTCTCCCGCCACCCCACCACGACCACAACCACAACCACGACCAAACCCCCACCCACCACGCCATCCACATGGACCACCTCCCATCCCTCCTCTCCCACCTCCTCGCACCCGTATCACACACGCAATGCACATCCTCAATGCCTTGCTCAACACCCCCACCTCTTAGCGAGTCTCACCCACATCAAGAGGAGCGTAAAGAAAGGGAAACACACATAATCCGCCTCGCCGAAGAAGAAGAGCTCGCACGCCTACAGCATGGAGAGCAAGACGGTACGCCGTTGTGTCGCGAGGAAGGGATAGCGACGTGGCATCAACATCAGCATCAGTATCAGCATCAACATCTCGAGAGGAACGATTCGATGGAAGCACAGAAGAAGAGTAGGAGGGGGAGTTTGGAGTGGTTGGCGGGTGTTATTAAGGAGAGGAAGGGGCATGCATGAGGAGATTCAAATCAAGTTTTTCTTTTTCTTTTTCGGGGAAACTGGAAGTCAGGATGACAAGGGTGATGAGGGAGGAAGGAAGGAATACCAGGTTCGATTTAAGATGGATAGGAGAGATACCCAGATGGGAAGGAAAGGAAGAACAGAGTGGTGGTTCTTCAAACTTTTATTTTTATTTTTTATAGCTAGTTAGTTGGAGTGAATTGAGTTTAAATGTGAAACGTCATGTCTAATTTCAGGTGGAGTTTCAACAAATGGCTTCTTGTAAATTTTGTGAAAATCTGGGATTCGAATAGTTCAGCGGGACTTTTATTCCCTAGTTTTTTTTTTCGGAAAATACCTCGACGATGAGTAGGAGAAGCATTATCGAGTCATTTGCATTGTTCATGGCAAGTGCAAGATTTTATCATATAGCTTTTTTTCCCGATATATCAAAAGCTGTACATGAGGATGGGATGGAAACGAAGGTGAGCGGTTGAGGTATGGTGGTACTGGGTACAAGATTGAGTGTGCAGATTAGGTGGGTATACGGGTTTTATGGATTATGAAGCCGCATGGGAGGAGGTGACGGATGTGATGAATGACTTGCGATATTTTGGGTGTCGAAAGATGAGTGCGAAGGCGGTGGTGGTTTTGTAGTATGGTGGTCCTGGGAGTTGGGAAGGGGAGATGAAGCGCAAGGCCTGGTCTTACGAAGGCTGGTTGGCTACAAAGCTCTGTGTATGCATTTCTGTATTCTAGAAGTTGATGGCTCCAAAAGGAAGTAAGACTCGAAGAGTTATTGACAGTTCGTACAGAGCATCTCGAGTCTGTACTAAAAGTCCAGCGATAATGATTGACCAGTTTACACCAATGCTTCTGCTCAAAACTTTAATACCTTGCCCTCCTCTACTTCCCTAGTCAGCATAATATTCCCTAAACTCCCCAACACCAAAACCTATTCCAAGAAATACACCGAGCAAAGCAATATATTTCTCGATTACGGTAAGTAACCTCTTACGGCTACAATGTGCCACCGACTAGCTCCTTGGCAGCAAATGTGTCACTGGCGACCGCTGATTGGCCGACTATTCTCTAGAACTCATGCTTAAAAGACTTCCGAGTACACGAACGATTCACCGCATGCACAAACGTCGCAAACCACCATGAACACAGCAGAGCACGGTGCATTCCAGCATGGCAAGAGCGCGGGGATAAAAGACGGAGAAGATGTTGAGAAAGCTGGAGACGCGCAGGTTATCGCAGGTAAGCATGGCAGTTTAGTCGATCCTACGAACTGAGAATTTATTCCTGTCGGCAGGACACGATGGTGAACAGAGGGACCTTCCGCCATTGAAGGCGCTGTCCTTCCTAGATCGATTCCTTGTCGTCTGGATTGTACTTGCTATGGGAATTGGGATTGCGCTTGGGAATACAGTCGATTCTATAGGACCTGCGTTGCAAAAAGGCGAGTTCGTGGGTGTCAGTATACCCATAGGTATGTGTAATCCATAAAAGCGAGTCAGGTCGACTTAATGCTGATGTACTCACAGCAATTGGACTGCTCGTCATGATGTACCCGATCCTCTGTAAGGTCCGCTACGAAACGCTGCATCTGCTCTTCAACTCCAAAGAACTCTGGATCCAAATCGCAGTCTCATTTGTCTTGAACTGGATCATCGCCCCACTATTCATGGTCGGCCTTGCCTGGGCGTTTCTGCCAGACCGCCAGGATCTGCGCGAGGGGCTAATCTTCGTGGGCATTGCGAGATGCATTGCCATGGTACTCATCTGGACTGATCTCGCACAGGGCGATGGCGACTACTGCGCAGTTCTTGTCGCCTTCAACTCGATACTGCAAATTATCCTGTTTGCGCCTTTCGCCGTATTCTACATCCAGGTTGTCAGCCATGGCGAAAAGACGGCCGTCTCATACCAAGGCGTTGCGAAGAGTGTTGGGGTATTCCTTGGTATACCCCTCGGAGCAGCAGTCGTCACTCGGCTGGCTTTAAGGACACTACTTGGAGAAGAACGATACCAACGGCGCTTCATCCGATACATCGCACCGTTCTCCCTCATTGGCTTGATCTACACCATCATCGTCCTCTTTGCAAGCCAGGGCGCGCACGTTGTCCGACAGATCACCGACGTTCTTCGTGTTTGCGCACCGCTACTCATCTACTTCCTAGTCATCTTCACAAGCACAGTTTGGTTTTGCTGGAAGATGGGCTTTGGGTACAAGGTCAGCTGTACGCAAAGTTTTACTGCTGCAAGCAATAACTTTGAACTCGCTATCGCGGTAGTGGTAGCCGTGTATGGCGCTGGCAGTGGACAAGCTCTGGCAAGTACCGTCGGACCTCTGATTGAAGTCCCGGTCCTTGTACTGCTTGTGTACGTCTTGAAGTGGATCCGGGCGAGATGGCAATGGGCCTAGAAGGCGTGGCATTGTCCTATCAAATGCATGTCGGTCAGCATGAGATTAGCTTCGGACCTAAGGCCACGACTCGAGCCAGAAATGGAAACCGAAATGCAGGTATGAGGGCGGATCGTCCGGAAATGGTCTTGGTCCGACAGGTGCCTGCTTTCAAGGGCAGTGACATCTTGTCATGGATTCCTCGCGAGTCCATGACGGGCATGACCCGGAAAGGACTTGGTGCGATTGTAGCTAGTCATATCTGGGATGGGATGGCTGTGACAGGATGGCAAAGTAGCGCGAACTGTGTTTATAGGTTCACTGTGGATGCCAAGCGCTCTTAAGAGTTGCGCTATTCTCTCGAAGCCATAGTGTGCCACGACTTAATGTTTAGTTTGCTGCAAACCATTATTTCGGGACAAAAAACAAGGAGCATAGTGAATATGTGATTTGCAAACAGAGAGTAGAGCCGGTTGTCTAGTGCGCACGGAGAAGATACCTTACTCACTTACAGTGCTGTCGCTTAACAAACACCACAGTCCCTAGTCGCATGTAATTTTGCGACCGATCTTAGCACATGACCAGCGCGCAAGCAAGGGTACGACTTCTGTGCAAAACCCCACAAGGAGGGACCTTCCACCCACACGGACCATGCGGCTTACCACACCGAAGCCACAGAAGAGGGTAAATCCAGAACCGATGGGCAGGCGGTGAGTACCAGACGCGATCTTATCAACTTGACAGTGATCAACCGGTGGCTCATACAGCAGTAGGGCCTATCGATCGTGCAGGATTCTGCCCACCCCGTACCCGTCTGAATGTAAGTAAGTACAAGGCTGACAACAGGCAGTCTCCCGCGGGGTCAAATGTGTGGATTCTAGTCATTGAACGGTGTATCGGCGGCGCCGCAAGATAAACTCTACCAAAAAGCGCTTATTCCCCTGATGACACATGGCCGTTCTGTCAGAGATGTCGAGTCGCCGTCCGCGGGGATCGATCTTGACGATGTCGTGGTAGTTTGACTGGACGTCATAGCAGTCGACTCATCTGGTATGTGTGTAGCGAGTTTGCTGCTCCAGTACAAGCTTGATAGATAATCCTCTCTACAAATCAGCCCATTGGCCCTGTGAATTGTGCGATAGGCGTGACATGGCGTAGTTTTTTATCTGTTTTGGCAGAAGAACGATGCTGGTGGGTTGCCTTACGGGCACAAAGCTGAAAAGCTCCATCTCCATGTCAATGCATTTGATATTTGTGCCCCACAGTTCTACTACTTACATACATACTATATACTACTCAGTACACACACACGTACATGGGCAGTTGCACAAATGGAGCACGCATGTCGTGCACACGTATGCCGAACGACTTTGTACCGTAGCAGAGGGCCAATTTTGTCAAGTTGTTACGTGGTGGCAGGCTTGGCGATAGCCGCGAAGGTACGGTTGCAAGTAACCGTAGCACGGGGTGGATCGCTTTGCAACTATCCCTGCGCATCCTGAGGCCACACAGGTTCGGAGATTTGGTGGCTCTGTAAAATGCTGGACATGACTCCCAGATCCTAAACCTAGCCATTCGTGGTTTATCGCAAGAGAGACAATGCCATGTACTGGGTTCATGGCGACTGCACGCCCATGTACGTGTAATTCGGTGGCTGCGTATGCTCCACACAGCCGTGCCGCAATGCAGCAGCATATGCATGTGTTGGCTTGCAGTCGTCGTGGTAATTGCAGTCTCAAAGCGGAGTGTCCGTAGGGCGCAAGCTTGCTGTGGCGCCTCGCATTTATGACGCGCCAGTGGTGTTATTGGCTAGAGCTAGGGCTGGGTACGGCGTAAAGTCGACAGTTGGCGAAGCCAGCATCTGCTTACTCAGACTCGACCTTTGGGGATGGTGCATATGTTGCTGCAGCGAAAACTTTGGACAAGCGGTCCGCAACGTCGAAGGGGGAAACCGCAGTAAGCGCGTGGACATGTAGGCTGAGGCCGAGAATGGTTCCGTGTGTGGACAAAGATTAGACATGACGTAGAGAAGGACCGCATTCGGGCAGGTGTTTGCGAGGTGGAGAGACGCTCTCTCCATGGGCGTGTTTGTTTCGTCGATGGTGATAGCCGAGCCATGGCGTGGTCAGCGACGAACGCACACGTCGCTCTTAACGGCGGGCAATATAGCTGGAACACGAGTGTAAAGGCTGAAACTGGAGCTGGAGTGCGCCAGGAGGCGGGCAGGGCCTCGGCTATCATGCCCTCGTTCCCGTCTCAGGAGTGTCAGATGTGTGCGCCCCGCATGCACTCTCGAGTGCAGTCGACGAATGCTATGGCTCCAAACAGCGCCTTGCAGCGGAGACCCACGTGCCTGGTGCCAATGGGGACAGGCATCTGCGGCGGCGTTGGCTGTCAAACAGGCACCATGGGTTCAGCTGGCTGGCACGGCAGATGGCATAGCCACTGCTGCCCGTCTGTTGTTTCGAGAAGGGCGGACGGGCAGTTCTGGAGCCAGCAGTGGTGGTGTTCATGCACTTGGGCCGGCCGGCGGCGCGCCAGTCGCACTTTGCCCTCCCAGCCTTGTGGAGCACCCGGTACAGCGGTTCGACCAGGCTAGCAACGACCGTGTTTCAATCTGGCCTTGCCCGGCTTGCGGACTACCTGTGCCTGTGTGTGCCTGCGTGCCTGTGTGCCTGCGTGCCTGTGCCTGCGTGCTCGCACTCGTCAGTCTCGCGCTCCCCGCATCCTTGTCGCCCGACACTACCTCAGCCTGAAGTCTTGCTCTCCAATCTTGCAGCCGTCCCTTGCAACGTTGCATCGGTCTGGCACAATGCTGCTGTTCGGTCGAGAGCTGAAACGGCTCCCTTCTGTCCCATCTACAGGGACGGTCGCACCTCGCTACCGCCCCCGGCAGGACCTGGATCGCCGCCGCTGACCAACAAGCACAAAAACAACTAACAACATGCTGCACTCATGCTGCAACTGCTGCTGCTGGCTCCCACGGCGGCTGGGCGTAGCAGCACATGTACGTCGAGAGAGTGGGCCGCTACCCCCTAAACACCCCCCCTGCAGAGAATTGTTGACCCTTAACTGCGCTCGACCATGGCACTGGATACTGGGCGCATGGTCGCCGTCTAGCTGCTCATAGTATCCAGTTCGTCGCCGTCGAAAATCTCTCCATGCGGCGCAGCTGAGGGGACGGCAGCTAAGAGCCAGTAACATGTATGATCCTAGGCGAACCGCCCTTCTGGGAGCGCAGTCGACTCTAGCACCGCCCATCGGCGCATCGACTATGACCCGTGTCGCCGATTGCATGAGCATAGCTTGGCCAATCCCACACACGGGGCTTTGGTACTAAATTTGTCAGCCAAGCAGAATGCTCAGCTTGCGTGCATCGACAAAAGAACGTCGATATGTTGCTGTTTGGGTGCAAAGGCGATGTTGCTTACTATACCGTGCGGCAGAGATCTGCGCCTGTGCCCATGACATCGGTCGCTAGCGAGGTCTCGTCATCTCTACTTACACAAGCAGGCCAGGACGCTCATGCTAACCGCGCCCGCGACAGCCCACCTGCTGTATAAGCTTGGTAGGGTAAGAATATATGTTGGTACCTTATTCCCCTAGCCGTAGAATTATAGTACATATATGGATACGAACAAACATTAGATGTTGTGCTCGCAGAGCAAAGCTTGTACGTTGCTTGTTGACAAAAAGGTGGGACTCCAACGGCAGACCCCCCCTTGTGTAACCCTTCCTGTACCGAATGACGACACGGGTAGCGGAACGGCGCGCGGCGCTGCAACAGAAAAGTGCATCCATGAAGTGGTCGTGGCCGTGCATGGCAATGCGTGCCTTGGGCAGGCACTGTTGACTAGGGACTTTTGTGCGTAATGAGGCCGGGTCGAGGGAGCTAGCGGGCATAGTTGCTCCGCAGGGGCATACATGAGGACCGGAAAACGCGCCTGAAGGAGAGAGGGCATAGAGTTGCGTATAGCGCGCCTCAGGATGCAGAGGACTAGACCAGGCAGAAGTGGCATCTCGCGTAAGCAACATGGTGATTGAGGTGCTACTGGGGACTGCGGAGATTATCCTTCCGCGCCGTATGACCCGGGCTACTAGCCATGTCGGGCTTTGTTGCAAAAGCGTCACTTGTGCCGAGTATGTAGTATACCAGAGTGGTGATGGGTGGGATACGGGAGCAGAGGGTGCAGGGCGGCCATAAAGGGAGGGGAGGGGGTGCGCGCCCGACGGCAACACCGGTTGGGACAAGCAGTATGATTCGCGCCAGAAGGTGCCATGGTTACCCGGAAGGGCCCAAAGGGGGCAGACGACAAGCACGCAGAAGCAACAGGACGTGGAGCTGGCGTGCAGCACACATGGTAAAATGCAAGAAGGGACGGTGAATCTTGCGGCACCCCATTCGTTGGAGTGGAGCATGGTACGGGATTCCGCGCAGCAGTCTTACCGCTGCATTGGGCGTGCAAGGCCAATGCGAGGCAGGGCGGGCGCAGCATACTAGAAGGGCCGCCGCCTGTGCAGGCAGGTCGGCTGGCGGTGGTGTGTGTGCGTGTGCGTGTGCGTGTGTGGAGGCCCATGGCTGGCGGAGAGGGGCGGGCAATAGGGCAACAAGGGCAACAGGGCAGTAGTAGTAGTAGTAGTAGTAGTAGTAGTAGTAGTAGTAGTAGCAGCGTGGTGGACGACGAGACGCGTCGCGTGGCTCCTTCACGGTGCTTTGGGGGGGGGGGGAGCGAGTGCAGCAGAGGATGCGATGGCCCTGTGTCATGCGCGCCATTGACTGCATCTGACGGCGACGGCGACGATGACGACGACGACACCGCTACTCTAGAATACTATTTGGAAGGTGGGAGAGGACTAGGCGTAGTAGTATAGTAGTAGTAATAGTAGTAGTAATAGTAGTAGTAGTAGTAGCAGTAGTAGCAACAGCAGCAGCAAGTAGGCGTGGGCGTAGTAGTAAGTAGTCGTCGTCGCGGTGGAGCAGCGCTGGCAGGCAAGTGCTCGTCGACTCTCCGGGGAGGGCTCACAGGGCCATAGTGTCAGTGCACGGGTCCACTTCCGAGCGCGAGATCCCGCCACTATGGTAGCCGGAAAAGGCTATCCTCTGTTGGGTCCAGCTCCGAGCGTGTAGCGGGCTGCGTGCTGTCGTAGTGCCATGGACAGGCCACCTAATTAATAGCTGGCCTGTTAATGGCCTATGGCGCGGATGGGTCCCAGAGGTGCAAAGATGCAGATGGGTGGACCCGCCCTCGGACTGCCTCTTGCATTCATGCCGGCACGCCTGTCTGTGGTCGACCAGCCCCAGCGTCAGCGCCCGTTTCGCTTTTAAATACAGCACCCATCGCTCCTCGCTCTCGCCCTAGAGATTGAGTCTGAGATCCCGGCCTCTGACCCTCCTACCTGCCCGTCGACACGACCCTGACGACATCTACCACGACCGCCTTGACGACCACCACGCCCACGACCCAGCCAGCCCCCCAAGAACCCACCGCGCTCCCTCTCCCTCTTCTCGCCCGCCACTCAATCGCCTTCCCACTCATTGCGCCCCCTCCTCCTCCCCTCTGCTCTGATTACCCGTCTGTAGCACCACCCCGCCGTCCGCAGCGACACGTGAAGCGAGAAGTGGCCTTTTGTCCCATGATCAGCGCGGACGCGGCGACCAAACGAGAAACCGCCCTAATTCCTGCAGCAATATACCGGCAGCCACCACCCTTCTAGCCAATCCACCCACCAACCTCAGCTCCTCCCGCCCCTGAGGCTGCTCAGCGACCGCCGTTCGCTCCAATGATCACGATGACATCGAATGGGTGAGTGTACCGCCTTCTCCCCGCTCCGTGCAACCCTCCCCAATTTCCCGGCGGCAATGCACCCTGCACTGGCCCAAGCCAAGCTACCCTGCCAGACGGCTAACCCGTGCTTTTCCACCCACCACAGATTGCCCGTGCCCGCTCAGAACAGCAACTACATGGAAAATGGCCGCTGGTATCATGGCTTCCGGAGAGGGCTCTACATGTACCCATGCGACGAGGTAGGCACCCGCCAAACAAACCCCCCACCATCACCACCGTCCACCCTGCCCGCTTCCTTTATGCTGATGCGACACTACAGCCAGAAAAGGATCGCATGGACATCTACCACCAGTTTTTCGCCGTAGCACGGAGAGGCCAGCTGCATCAGGCTCCCGTGCCTTCAGAGCCACATCTGCAGCCCCGCATCCTCGATGTAGGCTGTGGGACGGGCATCTGGGCAATTGACATGGCCGAGTAAGTTTTGGGTTCCGCAGCCTGCAATTTGCGTCCTACAAGGCTAACCACGACGGTAACAGCAAGTACCTAAACGCCGAGGTGCGCCCAATCTAGATCCGACGCATTGCTGCCAGACAACTGACGTGACTGCTGCAGGTCCTAGGATTAGATCTGGTCAACATCCAGCCCGAGAAGTATGTTCCGTCACAATCAAGCTGCTTGCTTCCGAGCCCGACACTGACGAATCTGCCTAGAATCCCCCCGAACCTGCGGTTCCGTGTACCACGCGATTACGAGAGCCCCTGGACGCTGGGCGAGGATTCGTGGGATCTGATCCATCTGCGGATGGCTTGCGGCAGCGTCGAGAGCTGGCCGGAGCTGTACCAAAAAATCTACTCGTATGCACCATTGTCGCGTTGCTTGCGACTTCGTTTTCTTCACATGCTGACGGGTGTCCAGTCACCTCAAACCAGGCTCGGGCTGGATAGAGCACATTGAAATCGACATGGAGCCCCGCTGCGACGATCACACGCTCCCTCCCGACAGCATGCTCCGCAAGTGGTATGGTTGGCTGGCCGATGCCACGCAACGAGCTTTCCGCCCCATCGCATACGAACATCGCACTCGGCAGCTCCTGCAGGCCGCCGGCTTCATCGATATCCAGGAGACTGTGATTCGCGTGCCCTACAACACATGGCCCAATGACCCGCACCAGAAGGATATTGGCAGGTGGTACAACCTGGGCTTGACCGAGGGCCTGGAGGCGCTAACCTTTGCACCTCTGACCAGAGTCTACCATTGGGACCTCAATGCCCACGTACGGCCAATCGTCGAGGGCGTGCGCAGGGAGCTCTGCAACCGGAAAATCCATGCGTACAACAACATGTAAGTAGCACGCCCGCTCCCGTCGCACCAATTGTTTGATGTTACTGGGTCGATGCTGATAGCTTGCTCTGCAGCCACATTTGGACTGCCCGTCGGCCTCAGCAATAGAAGCGGGCACGACGCTTGCAGCGGTACGTTGACGGATGGTATGGCCAGCGGTGTGTGTATGTGTGTGTGTATGCCTAGAAATGCACATTTCGGTGACACCACAACCCGCGCCAGGCAGCACCGCCTAGTCTGGAGCCAAAGCCCCGGAAGTTCTACGCAGCGCCCCGACGCACCCACGCCCCGTTACGCCTAAACGTTATTGTTTTCTTCTTTTAGTGCTTTCTGGATGTTGTGCATTCGGCAAAACATTCTTTGCTTCCCTTTGGCCGAGGGAACCTCAAGGCCGGGCCGACGAAGCCGTTTGAGCGAACCGGTAAACATGGGGGAGTTTTCCGCCCTCGTTGTTTGCCATGTCACATTGTTACGAACTATGCAGTTTGCCTGCATGACGTCTTTTTACTATCTACCTCCCCATGATGCATGATGCGCATGGGAAAAACTGGAGTTTGTTCACCTTTTCCCCTCTATTTTTTTATTTCCTTGTTTGCGGCGACTACCCGAGTCTGGCGTTACGGCATGCTTAAGAATATGATACCTCGGTTTGCTTATGACCCAAAATTCATGTCGTAGTAGTGTATTTGTCGAGCTTGGGCCGGCAGTCTGAAGGTTTCTAGCGTGGGTGTGTTTGGCATGCCTGGCGGCAAAGTGGCTCGGCATGACGGTATAGGCGGATGTTGGGCCGAACCCGGTTTCAACGTTTGGGGTCCTTTTTTTTTCTATGGTTCTTCAGCTCGTTGACGAGCGTAGTCATGTTTTAATTAGCGGGCGACGGGGATGACGGATGTTTCCGACTTGGACACGGATAAGGCAGCATACAAGACAGATATATAAGTATATATTGATAATAGCTGACCATCTAGTGGAGTTGAGTTTGTTCTAGAGTGATTCTGACAGTGGGCTGGCGTGTGCATGGGCAGAGGGGATTTGGGACCCAGGTTAGCGCGGAGGTGGACCTAGGCGTGGTGTGCATGTGCCTGCCACGCGTCGTTACCGAGTGGATGGATGTTTCAGGAGCCATGGCATGAGGGCTCGAGGTAAGTTGGGCGCGTAGGGTTTCAAGTGTAGCAGCGGTGCCGTGGTGGGCATAGGCCAGGATGGCGGACCGATGCCATGGCATGGAGAGTGCAAGCGAGCTGCATGACGGCAAACAGGTGTCTGCTAGGCAATGCTGCACGATGGAACTGACATGCAAGCAAGATCTCCGAGACGGGAATGACTCTTGCACCGACAGCCACGCCAAGGGGAGCAGGTTTATCGAGAGCAAGGGCTATGGATGGGTGGATTGCAAATTTGTAGAGTATGTATTATATACTAGATGGGCGTGGTATAGGGCAGAGAGTGGTGAAGTTGTTTTGGCGATCCGGCGCTGTGGGTCGGACGAGGCTTCTCCCGTCGCCCGCGCCTCCCTTCCCGCGCGAACGAAGGAACAGACACAGACACACACACGAGATCTGTTTTTTTTTTTAAAAAAAAAAAAAAGAAGAAACAAGGTCGTGCAGGAATGCGCGGCGTGTTTCGCGCGCGCCTCTTTGAGTTGGCAACGCACACGCACACATAGACACAGATACAGACACCAACACCGACACACACGCGCACACGCACATGCACATACACAGCCCTCTCCGTCTCTGGTTGCAATGGCGTTGGCAGACACTGGCATTCACTCTGGGTTGCAATCATGCGTCACGCCCGCCATAGCTGCTGCTAGCATAGTACGGGTGACATGGAGAGGTCACGCATGACATGGGCGTGGATTGCCCCGCCAGCAGCCCGCCAGCGATTAGCCGGGCCTTCTTCGGACATCCCCCAAGCCTATAGAGTCAACACCGAGCCAGCGATCGTCGAGCCCTTGTATTCTGTGTGGGCGACGCGTTGGCGACCGGGCCGGGAGACATCGGCAGACCATCCCCACGGAGATGGCATGCCCACCTTCTGACCGCCACTCTGTCCTGCTGGGCCTCCGCCTCCGACTCTCGTTGCTTTTGCGCAGAAGCGTGCCCTAAACACCTCGGATCACACAAACTCCATGCTCCCGCCCTTCTACACCACCGGTGTGACTTGCCAACACACAAAATGCCCATGTCTACCTGCTGCCACTGACCATGGCCTCCAACCCACCCCCCTCAGCTGCCGTACCAGCCCAGAGGTTCGGCCGTCGACCAGCCCACCCCACGGTGCCACTGCCCTGCCTGTCCTGTCCAGCCGCTCTTGCCTTACCACCCTGTCGGATAAACTTTGTCCACGCGCATCGCATCATCGCGTCCTTCCAAATACTTTCATCAACCTAAGTAGACTACTGCAACGACGTATCAACGCCCACCGCTTGTCTTGGGAACTAGACCTCCGGCCGCTCCTACCGCGCAACCGCACAACACGTCTTGTAGCCGCCTGGTAAGTTTGCTCCTCTTCTCCTCTTGCCCTCCCCCGCGCCCAAATGATGACAAAGCTGGGGCCAGAAGAGCTCCTCTCCCCGGCTGCTTTGTGCAGCTGTGGATTGCAGGAGCCATGCTTTCAAACCCAGCAATTCTACATCTTCTCAACTTACCTGATACCATACCCCGCTACACTACTCGTTTCTGGCATTCTGTCATACATGACAAAGAACTCACTATCACTTAGTCAGGACCCGCTTTCGCCTCCAAACGACCGGCGCTACCAACAAGGCCATGGCAAGGGTGCTATCCAGGCTTGGAAGCTGGGGGGCATTTGTCCAAAACTAGTCATGGAACAGGCCTTGGGACCCCTTCTTCCATAACCATCACCTAACCCGTTCTTGAACTAGGGAGTCCCATGGACAAGTTTAACATGTCTGGCAAAGGTCCGCTTTGGCGACCACTCTTCGGTCGGCCCTACTCTCATGCCACTGGGGTATGTACAGATTACCCTCTCTTCTTTTTCTATGTCCAAGACGGCTTGTTTCTAGCCCCGGGAATAGTAAGTGTCCACCTTTCAAGTCTCCGGCAGATCCCGGGGTTTTATCCATGGCAATCGCGTGTCTCGCGTTTTAGTAATGCTTGTGAGCCGGTCCCATATAGTTCGTATTCTACGGGACCTAGTGCTGTGCATCTTCTAGTCTATTCTTCTAGCGTGTCTTGCCGAATTCCTTCGGTGTGTAGTGTAATTCCCTCTTGCCACCCACTAGTCTCTGACATATTCGCTCTCGTAGTCATGAGTTATTGGTCATGTTGATTTGTTGATAGGTCTGCTCATTGGATTTAGTTTCCTCCACAAAGCGTGAGCAAATTCACTAGCGTTGCTGTAGACTGCCTGTCGACACGAGGGCATAATGGTGAGGTCACCAAGTTGGTTTGCTACAGAATGTACTTCTCTGTGGCAGGTGTAGCATGTTCTCAATTGCTATACTGGAAAACAAGCGAAGGTGCCTTCCACTCTACTTCCCCACCCATACTCTGATATACTACTAGATATTGGTCCTATATATGTGTGTGAAGGCTATGTCGTACGGTTGTGACTGCTCATGTCCATTCATGTGCTATTTCTAGAAGCCATGTAACCATATGAGTAACGTATTGAGATACCACCATCGCAACTGCTTGCCCACAGCAAAGCAGCAGCTTCCCTTGCTGCCACCTGCCTCACGCATCATACTTTAGGCAAGAGCATCTCAATATCAGTCAGACTACTTCTACCCAGCCAACTCTTTCCATCTCTCCAAATCCCCAGTATCTGCATCATCATCGTCATCATCACACCATAACACTGCATCTTTACCCCAAACACCATTGTTCTTGTTCACCACCATTGAAGCTATCAACGCATCACCATCATGGTCGCCCCATTAGTACAACCTCACCCTACGCCCTCCGCAGACCTAGTCACCACAGAACATAAAGAGCCTAGCTCTTCGCACTCCGCTGCAGAGCTGCTCATGCATCTTCTGCACCTCATATCCAGCATCATCGTCTTTGGCATTGTCATGCTTTCCATGCAAAAGTACACGCATACGGGGCTTAAAACGTTTTGGGCTATGTTGGTAAGATATCTCCATCCTCCCCCCTTCCCCCCTCTTGCCTTCTCTGCTTCTTCCTCCCACCATTCCACCCCAGTGCTTGGTCTCTCAAGCTAACCTCTAAACAACAGGCCGCTGTCGACATCGTCGTCTGCACCTTCACCCTCTACCGCACCTTCCTCAGATCCTCGACGCCCGACCTCAGCATCCCCATGTTTATCCTGTCAAGTTTGTGGTTCACAGCCCTCGTACTTTCTGCCGTCGAATACGCGCAGAGTATGTGTGGCGTGTTTGGGCATGGGGTGTGGGAGAGCTGTCCGACGAAGAGGGCGCATATGGCGTTTGAGGCGATTGCTTTGTGAGTGCATCCGCGTGTTTGATTGTGCTTTTTGCGTGAGTGTGAGACTGATACGCGGGTAGCTTATTGAGCTTTGGGACTATGGTGATGGAGTTTGGGAGGTGGATGGTGCGGCGGATTAGGAATTGGAGGGGAAAGAAGGGGGATGTGGAGGTTATTGATGGGAGTGAGAAGGGTGTGGGGAGTGCGGTGGTTACGCCAAGGACATCGTTTACGGCTGTTTGAGGGTGCTGGGAGTGTGGGTTAAAGGGCAGGTGATTAAGGGAGGAGCTGAGTACGATACGGAGATGGAGTTTGAACGATGGCATGGCTCTTGTCAACGGACGTGGTAGGGTGCTGCAGTGGTTTTCTATTTCTTTTTTCTTCTCGTATTGTTTTATCATGGGTTGAAGGGCTGGACCTTCCATGTCACTGACCAAACCATTGGTATTGGCTTATTCTCCTAGATTGTGTTGATCATATTCCAATTCTCCTGTTTCTTCCTCTTCCATTGTGTGTTCGTCTCTGGTGCTAGGTGCTGAGCTGAAAACAGTCATTATTGCCAGTAAATATACATGTGATACCTCCAACAACCACATTAATATCTCTATTTTTTTTCCACAACTTTACCTTTGTACAGTAAATTCCCCTCAAATCCACCCCCTCTCCAAAAACTTTGTCGGAATCTCCACCGTCTTCGCCCGCATATACTCCATCGCATTCTTCCCCAACGTATCAATCTCCGAACTAGCATTATACCCCCGATCCAACTGCTCATGCAACAAAAAATGCACCGCCCAAATCCCCTCAATCTCAAACCGATCTATCCTCCCTCCCTTGTACTCTTCCGGTCCCAACAATGCCTTTATCCGATCAATAGTAAGGAATGAGCGTAGCCAATCCCACTCATCCTCACGTCTGACGAAAAACCCACAATTGCAGTCCGCAGCCTTATCCCCAGAGCGCCCCGCCACAATCGCACCTAGCGGCGCTTGAGCCGTCGGACCAAAAGAAGTCAGGTCAAGGGGGCCAGAGGTCTCGTACGAAACCTGCTGGCGCGGGTACTCGCTCGTAACCTTTGGCGCCTCAAGCTCTTTGACAGTGCGCTCGCCAAACAAACTATGCACGCGCAACCAAAGGTGCGTCTGCGGCAGCAACGCGACCCAGTATTCATAGTACGGTTTCGGAACCACTTGCCGCAAGTCGTTGGTTAAAGAGAGGCCAGGCGCGCATTGCAGGAAGACTTCGAGACACCATCTGTTGAATGCATCGGGAACGTCTGGGCGCACGAGGTCGGCGTCGCGGGTTTGCGCGAAGATGCGGAAGTCGACTGTGGAGGCGTCGAGGGAGGTGGGGTTGGGTTGGGAGGATCCGATGGCGTGGAAGCGGAGGGTTGTGAAGCGGGAGGTATTTTTGCCCATTGCTTTGTGCATCTGTTAGGATATATGTAATGGTGGAGGGAAAAGAAAAAGGCAAGTTACCATATCGTATTTGATCCTCCGTCACTTTACATTTCTCCGCAATGTCTAGACCGGCCATGTACATGTGCCATTCGCACTGCCAGCCTGCCGGGGCAGTGATGCCGATTTTCGTGGTGGGAGGGGGAGGTAGGCCTTTTACGCCTGTGACGCGGACGACGTCTTCGTCGATTTGCTGCATGCGGACGTGAGTGAGGTCGGCGGTGACGTCGCAGTTGTAGTAGAGGGGGCCTTGGATTTCGTAGAGCAGTTGCGAGGTGCATGTTCCGATTGTTACGCAGCCTTTTTTTTAGTTAGTTAGTTAAATGAGATATGTTTCTGAGAAGGGGGTGGGGGGATAGAGTGAGGTTTACCGCCGCTGTTTTTTTCCTTTGCAATGTTGAAGGTTCCGTCGTGTTCGACCTCGGCGATTGGGAAACCCATGTTAACATGTTTTCCCGTTTTGATAAGATCTTTGAACATGGAGTAGTATCCTCCGCAAACGTAGCTTGAGCATTCGATCAAATGCCCTGCTACCAGGGCTCCGGCAAGTTCATCGAACTGATCGTTTCGCCAGTCGTGCCACCACCTGTATTCTCTCAGCTCAGTCACCCCTTTCCCCCTCCATCAAATCAAGCCAAAGAAAAAGAAAGAGAGTATAGAAACTTACGCAGCAGCCCCAACAACCGGCGCAGCATCCGCCACCCGTCCCGCAATAACAATATCCGCGCCCCCTCTCAAGGCCTCTGCAATACACAATCCCCCCAGATACGCCTGGGCGCACACAGGCTCCATACCCCACTCCTCCAACTTCTTCCCATGCATCAAACTCTCAAACTGCTCTCCATCTTTAATCAGACTCTGTACCTGCTCCGTCACATCATCGCCTTCTATCCATGCGACTTTCAAGTGACTGGCGTCGTGTTTCGCAAGCAAATCGACAACGACCTCAGCGAGCAGCTGGGTATCAGAAGCGCCGGCGTTGACGGCGAGTTTAGTTTTGTTGCGGACGAGATGGGGGATTGCTGGTTCGAAGCATTGGAGAAAGGTATCCGCGTACATTGCTGTTTTCATGCGGTCTTCGAGCGTTTGGGTTCCGTTTGTGGTGGTGGTGGTGGTGGGCTTTGATGATTTTTGGTTTTTTACTTTGCCGCTGCCGTGCAGGGTCATTGTCATTTCGGAGAGCCAGTCGCCTGCCTAGCGGGTTAGTTCATAAACTTTTTTTTAAAAGAAGAAGAAGAAGAGGGTTTCTGGAGAGGTTGTGGTACCCATTACTACGTCGACGTCTGGGTCACTGGCCATTCGCGTTATGGCGGCTGAGCGGTCGGTGAAGCCGCCTGAGCAGCCTGCGATGCGTATGGCGCGTTTACGGGTGGTGGAGGGTGACATTTTGAGGCGCTTTGGGTTTGGGGGTATAGTTTCCTCAGAATAGGCTGGTTCAGTCATGGGTGAAATAATTCGTTGGAAAGTATCTGGTAAATGAGAACGACAGGCGTTTGACGGTTATATACCGAGTCCTGTGGTATATGCAAGGCAACCCACGCCCATCTTACAAGCTATTACATTTGAGACTGGCCAATGACGGCCTTTTACTCATAGAGATTTCGATGTCTCATCGCCGTGTCCTGGAATGCATTGCGGATAATAATTCACGATGGAAGACGATTTCCCGACTACGGCAGCGGGGTTGCGGGGAAGACGGGGAATGTTGCACGACCTTCGAAGTACGAGACTGCTTCCATTGCAGTGTTGCTTTGACATTATGAAATTTGTATATCAGGTGGGAATGATGTGGAAATGGATTTCTTTCTCTACATCGAACCTAGTCATGGAGCAACATCATACCCGTGGGAACGCAAGAGGAAAGCGAACTGCACACGGAGTTGGAGATGGTGAGATCCTGAGATGTAAACATGACTCGTGCTCTCGTTTATTGAAGGTTGACCTGAATCGATGACATCCCATTGTCACTAGCGTAGACCCTTCGGTTCGTACCATTTGATAGTCCGGGGCCCGGGGTAATATGCGGGAGTCTTAGGTAAGTGTTCCTTTTAACTAACTAACTAATATTCTTTCGCAGCTGCGATGGCCAACGCTCTCAGTCATCTACCAGTGTATCTTCCTGTCCATTTTCATCAGCTTCGGTTTCATATTTGTCTTCCAACTAGGCTTCAACTCTCACGTCACCGTTACCTTTTTTTTTGCACGGCTTCGAAAGATTGCAAGCCGCTAAACATAGTAGATAGACCAAAAAAGGACCCTCTTTTTAGGGTCAGGCAAACTCCTGGACATTGCCATTAAAGCCAAGGTACAAAGTATTCAGCTAGACTGGGGATAGAATGCACACTACAGTTGTCCAGACATTGCTGGCATAAGAGGTTTCGAAGTTAAGAGGCTGTCAAGTTTGGGATGCATATCTAACGAAGCAATACGGTGGTGTAAATATGTCGTATGCAGGCATGCTAAGCCGCTAGAATTGCAATCTCATACATAATAATCTACCGTCGCTAAGCCCCTAGTAACAAAAACCTTGAGATGGATCACGGTATCTTTATGGTAAGTCATTTGACAGTTACCGTTAGGCCGGCTTTGCGAGAAGGCATAAGGTGTAGGGATGCGTAGCAGTTCGAGCCCCCAATGTACCTAGCGGACCGGCCAATGGCAGGTCCTATCTCTAGCGCTTGCAGCCATGGCGCTGGACGACTGCACCTCAGCCTGTTCATCAGCCTGCTAGAGTCGCCATGAGGCTGAGCAGTAGCGAACATCTGCCTGCACGGCGGCGTCAGGCCTTGTCAACCATCACTCTCCCATCATACTCTCCCATCATACTCTCCCATCATACTCTCCCATCATAACCGCTACGGATGGCCCAGCTTCCCCGGCTGTCTCACGAGGAATACACTGTAGGATGGGTGTGCGCACTCCCGGTCGAGCTGGCGGCGGCGCAGGAAATGCTGGACGAAGTGCACGAAGACCATGAGCGCAATGGCAACGATGAGAACCTATACTCCCTAGGATCGATTGCTGGGCACAATGTTGCGATTGTATGCCTGCCGGCGGGATGTATTGGTAATAACCCTGCGGCGGTTGTGGCGACGCAGATGAAGGCTACATTCAAGGGAATTCGATTTGGACTTATGGTCGGTATTGGCGGAGGAGTGCCCAGCGCCGCAGCGGACATCCGGCTTGGGGATGTCGTGGTTAGCCAGCCTGATAAGACGTTCGGCGGGGTGGTGCAATATGACGCTGGGAAGGCGACGACGAGCGGGTTCGAGCGGACAGGATCGCTTAACGCGCCACCGAAGGTGCTGCTTAACGCGGTTGCAATAGTGAAAGCAAATGAATTCCTGGGTAAGACTAGGATGTTAGAGTATATGAGGAAGCTGGAGGGCACCACCCCTAAGTTCCAGCGCAGCAAGGCAGGGCCCGACGTCTTATTCGACGCGGGGTACGACCACGAGGATGGGCGGACGTGCGAAGGATGCAAGACAGATCACCACAAAGCTCGGGAGCCGCGCGATGAGGAGGTAGTGTCTCACTACGGGACGATTGCGTCGGGGAATCAGGTGATAAAGAACGCGACAGAGCGAGACAAGGTCAGCGCGGAGCTTGGTGGGGTGCTCTGCTTCGAGATGGAGGCGGCTGGTCTAATGAACAGCTTCCCCTGCCTCGTTATCCGTGGCATCTGTGACTATGCCGACTCGCACAAGAATAAGAGATGGCAGCCATACGCGGCGGGAATCGCGGCGGCGTATGCAAAGGATGTGCTTTCCGTGATCCCGCCAGCTGCCGTAGCGAAGACTCGAACAGCGGAAGAGGCGGTTCAGAGCGTACGGAGTTAGTGTAGTCATTCTGTTTCCTGTATTGCAGCAAAGCTAATAGTGAGATAGAGAAAGTAATCTACTCCATTCCATTCCTCCCCAACAAGTCCTTCGTTGGGCGAAAGACTGAGCTCGACGAGCTAACGCAGAAACTCATGGTCGACGAGGCGTGCTACATGATGTCGATTGTCGGGCTCGGTGGGACAGGCAAGACACAGGTGGCGCTCCGGTTCGCGTACATGGTGAAGGAGCGCTGGCCTGATATGTCTGTCTTCTGGATGCCTGCGCTGAGTATGGAGACGTTTGAGCAGGCATGCGCTGAAATAGTACGGCTGCTCGGGGTACCTAAGGTGGCCGATGGCGAGGACGATGTGAAAGAGCAGTTCAAGTGGCATCTGGGCACGGCGCGGGCAGGGAAGTGGCTGTTGATCGTTGACAACGCTGACGATGCAGACATTGTTTTCGGCGGTGCTCAATCGAAGGGCATTGTTGACTACTTGCCACGGAACGAAGAGGGCGTGACCTTGTTCACCACACGTACGCTAGACGTAGCAGTGAAGCTGACGGGCAGCCATGTACTAGAGCTTGGTGCCATGGACCGACAAGACGCAACTGCCTTTTTGACCAAATCGCTGATCAACAAGGAGCTCCTCAGCGATAGTGTCGCCACGACAGACTTATTGGATGAGCTAGTGTGCCTACCTCTGGCCATCGCACAGGCAGCTGCTTACCTTAACGGGAACAGGATATCTATCCGAGGGTACTTACGGCTACTACACAGTACCGAGCTAGACCTTGTTAAGCTTATGAGCAGAGAGTTCCGTAATGACGCCCAGTACAAAGGCACGGCAAACGCAGTAGCTACAACGTGGGTGGTGACGTTTAGTCAGATCCGCGCACGCGATAAGGTAGCTGTGAAACTTTTGTCTTTTATGTCGTGCATCGAGTGGAAAGCGATACCGCGGTCTATTCTGCCGAGAGTGCGGTCCAGAGTGCGGATGACAGACGCTATTGGCACGCTCTGTGCATATTCTTTTCTAACCAGACGAGAGAACGAAGAGGTGTATGACATCCATCGATTAGTACATCTGGCAACTCGGATCTGGGTCAGGCAGTACGGCGACACGAGAAGGGTAGTAGAGAAGGGTATCAGACATGTAGCCCGCATTTTTCCCCGGGACGACTATGAGAACCGGATAAAATGGAGGGCGTATTTGCCACATGCGCTGCGGCTGCTTGAAGACAACCAAGACTCTTCGATGGAAGAGAGGTCGCAGCTGTGTCTCTTAGTAGGAAAATGCCTGTATGTTGACGGAAGATTCCAAGAAGCAGTGAGATGGCTTAAGGAGTCGTATGAGCAGAGGAAGACACTCGAAAAGCGCGATCCGAAGCGGCTACAGGCGCAGTATGAGCTCGCCACAGCATATGAGGCTAACGGACAGGTTAGGAAAGCAGTTAGGCTGCTAGAGCATGCTGTCGGCATACGTACCAAAGTGCTCGCAGAAGACCATCATGATCGACTATCGTCGCAGCATGAGCTCGCAAGAGCGTACCTTACCAGTGGACAGGTTAAGAAAGCAGTTAGGCTGCTAGAGCACGTTGTTGGCATACGTAACAAAGTGCTCGCAGAAGACCATCCCAGCCGACTAGCGTCGCAGTATGAGCTTGCAGGAGCGTACGAGGCCAACAGACAGGTTAAGAAAGCAGTCGGGCTGCTAGAATATATTAATAGGATAGAAGCAGAAGTGCTCGCAGAAGACCATCCTGATCGACTGGCGTCGCAGCATGAGCTCGCACGAGCATACATCGCCAGCAGACAGGTTAGGGAGGCGATCGAGCTGCTAGAATATGTGGTTAGGACAAAAGGAGAAGTTGTCACAGAAGAGCATCCCGATCGACTAGCGTCGCAGCGTGAGCTCGCGCGAGCATACCACGCCAACGGACAGGTCAAGAAGGGCATCGAGCTGCTAGAACATGTGGTTAGGATAGAACAGAGGGTCCACAGATCCGATCATCCCGATCGACTCGCATCTGAGAGGGTCCTGGAATCATGGAAGCCTGATTAGTAGCCGAGCTAATTTTGAATGGATTTGTTTTTGTCTTAATTACACTTTTCCGCATATGCATTTTGCAAGGGCGTTGGTAGCGTGTGATAGAATTACCTCATGTTTGATAGTTGTTGTATTGACTGATACGGGCTATGTCAAGTGGGTAGAGATAGTATTTTTGACTCCAAAATAGTGCAGTAGTCAATTACGAAGAAATTAAGGAAGCTTCTTTAGCACTAAATCTTAAAAACCCCTTCCTACAAGTTAGAAAATCGAAAGAAAATTAATTTTACGACTAAAGTAGTCTTCAATACCTCGGAGTTACTTTTAATTCGAGAGAGGGAGAGATTTAAACTCTTAGCCTTGCGGATTCCTTGGCATTGTGGTAAAAGAGTTTTGGTATCTGGAAGAAAACTCACTACGCCACCCCTCCGTAGTTGCCTTCATTCCCTTTTTCCGTCTACACATTTTGCACCTCGGCCGCGCATCTACAATATTGAAAAAAAATGTGTTCCATGATCTGTATGATTCATTTCGCATACCCATCTATTAAGCACCTAGATACTTTGTATCATCATTAGAACTTGGCATCGTAAAAGAAAAGATACAAGCAGTCTATGTAATGGCCTTCCCGAAAAACTTTCTGCAACTAAACAACGCCATTAGGTTTTTAGTCATTATTGACAAGTTGTGTCATATTATGCATCCATGTCGGGACTACTGGCGCAGCTCAAGACAAGAGCGTTCAAATAAAAAACCCCGTACATGCATTTGCGCCTTTACTCCTTTTGTGTACACCGCGTGCACATGCATTTCATATCCCACCCGTGATGTCACTTTTCCCCCTTGGAGTTGAAATGTACAATTTTTGGAACATGAAGCTGTCTTGCTTCTAATAAGAGAAGGAATGGAAGCTGTTGCGCTTTCCACTGAGGGTAAAGAAAATGGTGGGCTTTGCTGACGAAGTTGACGCTGCTTGAGTGTTGATGATTTTTCGGAACAGGTATTCTGGATCCGAATTTACTAGTGCCTTGCAGACGGCACGCGACAGGGGGGGTCCACTCGGCAGATGGAATGAGCCCTAACCAGCATCGCCTCTCGTAATTGATGACTGATCAATACCTCAAAGCTTCATGGAAACTCCGTTGCGATATCGGTAATACCGGTGATTTCAGTGCAGCGCTGCTAGTTGCCATCGATTCAGAAGCATTCGTCCTCGTTTCAGGCTGAAGTTGGGATCCGACGACCCTGAGGGAAATACGCAGCCCCTTCTTTTTCAACACATCCACTAAGCTCTGTATTTGAATAGTAAACTTGGTGGCAGCATCCAGAAAATGCTCGTAATCAGCGTCGCTCAACGACGCCTGTGCCAAGTCCACTTCGATTGCAATTTCGGTTCGCGCCGTCTGGATGATACCGAGCGCCTCGATGGCACTACAAAACCGCTGCTCTTCAATCTTCCGGTTATCGGGTAACAAAAAGGCGAAGAGAAGAGGCTGAATCTGTATCTGTAACCGTCGAGCATAGACGGCTGGGGTCATGCCAAAACCAAAGCCATCCGTGCTGAGAAATGGCTCAAGCAGGCACATCTCGTGATGAGCAAACTTGAAAGTGCGTGTCCAATAATAGCACTCTAACATCTCCCGTGCAAGATTGGAGTCCCAGCCTTTTTTGCTCAAACAGGCTGAAACAGGGTCTTCGATCCATCGGTACGAGTATTGGCCGCAAGGTTCTCGGATCAGGTGAGTGAAGCGGTACGTCCTGCCCAAGGCAGCGCGGCGCACAATTACTTCGTTGTCATAGCTTCCTTCAAGGCAGAAAATGTATATGCGATTTCGGAGCTCACGTGGCAAACGTGAGAATATGTTCATAACACTGCTGTCTCTACTAGAGGGACTGGCCCTCCTGTCTATGCTTCTGGTAGGTCAGCATCAGCCAGAGTATTCAAATGTTGTCTTGCTCTCACTGTTTTTCAGATTGAATTGGAAGGGAATCGTTATTCGTTGATGCGTGTGACTCGTGCATGTTGTTCCGTCGGAGCATAGTCACCGATGATAATATGCTCGCACACCCTTCCTAACGCGGCCGTTGATAGATGCCGTCCTTTCTCTGTAAGCCAAGGCAAACCGTTCAGAATTCGCACCACCCCTTCTACCCAGCCCACAGTGAGAGCTGGCGGCGACGCATAATTAAGTAAATTTTGGGAGGTGAGCCTCACGCCAGATCACGGGAAGCACTAACCTGCAAAGAATGCCTTTTCGCGAGTGGTTTTCCAACACATTTGCGCCTAGTCGAAGCCCTGGAACGCAGTAATCCCGATTAGGAAAGCATTGCGCGAAGCACGGATACTACGGAAGCCCGAGAACAAGGCTGATCCTACACAGATTACGCTCTGCTTGACAGTGCGGAATTCACAGTGGCACCGAAAACCCCATCCAAGAGGGCCCGAAACAGTCCAAGACTTTTATCGATGTCTTGACCTTCCATATGGCGTGGTCTACTCGGTCGCCCCAACCTCGGTACTACGAAGGGAGTATTTTATTTTTGGTCCAAGTGGCCCCAGCATGCCAGTGTTAGCCAAAACTGGTTTGCGAATACGATGAATGCTAGTGTAAAGTAAGGCCACATGTTTGCGTATACTCAACGTCTTATCCACGCCACCAACTGCCTGCATGTAGCTAGTAGCATTATCGCTATATCACGTGGTAGTACCCCACACTCCTAGGCCCTGGCTTACAGGCTGCAGGCAGCATGCATCCGATCTGTCATCACTCTCCAAACCTTACAACATTGATTCGATACCATCTCAAAGAAGAAATGTGCATTCCCCTCAAGCACCTATCATTACCGCCTCTGCTCACCTCTCTACAATCCCGACTATGCTACACCGCCCCGCGGCACTGCGCATGTACAGCTCCCCCCCCCTCACCAGCACGAATCCAGACACATACTGACGATTCAAGGGCCAATAAACCCGAAACTCATTGTCAGTGGGCATAAGCACTCGATCTAGTAACATACCATCTGACACAGCATACTATGGTTGCGCTGTAAGTATGCAGGTGAGAAAGCGCTATTCTAGGTTCCTATTCGGGCCCTCCGGGGACCGCTCCAACATATGGTCTAGTGCAAATTTTTCCTCGAGCAGACGAGTAGTAATCCAGACTGGATAACGAGAGAAAAAAATCTCACAATGTCGTGGCGTGGCTGCTAGTGGGAACGGTTGGCCACGGGCGAAATTTACGACTACAATGTGGCGATCGTCAGATTGTGTTGTGGTTGTTGATGATGACCATAATGCAGCTACTATAGGTATGGGTGGGGAGCTGCCTGTATCAAGCTACCTGCCTACCATATCGGCACACCGATGTCTTTTACGTTTACCCGATGAGCCCTTGAGCGTCTCCTGAATTCCATGGATGCTTTCTGCATCTCCTAGCCTTTCCCATGACCCTTGGTTCCGCATCGCTGGCGTGACGCGGGCAATGGCTTTGGGAAGACATGTCGTTTGTATAGCAAGATGCATACGTACTAAACGCTTCGGCCCGTGAACCGCCAACTTGGCATTGAGGCTGCTGATCCTGTGCTGGAGTGACGAGTACGTACAAGCGACATGGGACTGTTGGAGACGGCCTCTTGAACATTTCGTGCTCTAGTCATATCATGATTTCATGCGCATTGACCGCATATCTGATCGATGGGGCATCTTCCCGTTGCCTTTTGGGTGCGTTGTCGATTTCCAAATGCCGGCTCTTCCTCTGGCCGCCTTACTCTTGTGACGCTCAGTTTAGCCTGTGTTGGTTTTTTAACCCTCATTTTTGTTGCATATTCGGTTTTCAGGCGCCCGTAATCAACAGTCGGCGACCCCCACGAACAAATAGTGTGTGGCTGCGCAGATGTGTTGGTTCAGCTGATAAGTAAGCTGTGGTGGGGTCATGGGGGCGGAAAGATCCATCTCTTGACCGATGAGATGGTTGATTTGTACGACGACGTTGGATTATACGAACGAGTCCACATACCAGGGCTGTGTGATTGAGATCGATGACTACTAAATGACGCATCAGATCTTTGCATAGGTGTCATTGAATATTCAAAGGTAAGGGCTAAAACTTCAATCGACCCACTTGCAGCCGCCATTGGCCAGCACTTTGTAACAAGATGAGATTTTCTAGGCAGAAGTGGACGCCGTATACGCTAAAAATCTTATGTCCCAGGGCAATGAGATACATTTGGGGCCTACACAGCCCTATCATGGCTTTTTGCTGCACTCCTATTCATCAATGGCGCAAAGCTAAGAATTGCAGACGCGGTTCCTGGACCTCGTTGGACACAAATTCAGGCAGAACCAACCTCGCAATGGATACGATACGGTCGTTTCGGCAGTGCCATGTGCTATGCAAATGTCCCGGGACCTATCAAGAGCTTAAGAGACCATATCCCAATCGTGTTGATAGTGGCGCATCACCAATCCTATTCCAGTGACGCTCAAGGCTGCCAATGCCCGGACATGACTCTTTCACCATAGCGAACTGAACTCTGAAGTCCGATGATAGCATACCACGATCCTGCGTAGGAGTATTGGGAATCTAGAAGCATGAGTGGATAGAATACCCTATTTACCGGATCCTAGGCTAAGGCACTAAACGGCGCCTTGAGAAGCCACGATGTAGGGGCCAAAGAGTAGGAAAATAATCAGAACAGATGTACGATATATGAAAAAGGTACCAGGCTTACTATGTCAATCATATGATCACCCAGTTCCATCAGCACCTAAATCATCACATCTTACGCCTGTCTTCAACGATCGGTATGACACGCAGTAGCAACAACGATGGTGTGTACATTACTGGCCTAGGCCACCAGTACCCCGAGCATGCAATCAGGCAGGAGGATTTTGAGGGATTCCTTCAGCGTCTATATCCTGAGCACGTCTCTTCACCAGCGTCAGTACAGTTCAGAACCCCAAGCACATCTTCTCACGTATACAGTGTGCAAAAGCTTATTGGCTTCAACACAAAGACACAAATATCTTCCCGTCCAACAGTCTTTGATCACACCAAATGGACCCAAAAAGACGCCACGCCACCAACTCTCGGCTCGATATCTCATGACTTTCGTACCGTAGGCGTCACTCTCGCCGCGTCTGCATGTAAAAAGGCCATACAGGAAGCCAGACTCGAGTCACATGAGATTACACACATTGTTGCCGTGACATGCACCAACTCTGATAACCCAGGCTACGACCTCTTTGTGTGCGAGAAACTTGGCCTGGGGCCAGACGTCCAGCGGGTTCTCGTACAGGGCGTGGGCTGCGCAGGAGGTTTGTCGGCATTGCGAGCAGCAGCTGACATTGCAGCCGCTGCATCGCTCAAGAGGCGAAAGGCGCGAGTCCTTGTTATCGCATGCGAAATTTGTAGTCTCTTCTTTCGGGCAGAGATACAAAACATCTTGCAAGGGGGGGATGAGACGCTGCGCATAGCACCCGCATTATTCTCTGATGGTGCTGCCGCACTGGTAGTGTGCAACGAGCTTGCATTGGCTCCATCTCAAGCCCCTGTTTACCAATTGAGGGAATGGGCAAGTATGGTGGCGCCGGGGACGTCTAGCTTCATGTCATATAATTTTGGGAAAAACGGTTGGTACAATGTACTCTCTACGTGACCACTGATAAACTGACTCCGATATCAGGCTTGATAGCTACCATTACGAAAGATGTTCCCAAAGCAGCAATCAGTGCTATCGCACCGATTTTCCAACAACTCTGCAACACATCCAACGGCGCTATTAGTAATAGAGTACCGTTGCCCCAGATGCCAGCAGACTTTGATTGGGCAATTCATCCCGGGGGTGCTGCCATATTGCACGGCGCGAAAGACTCTCTCGGTCTTACTAACGACCACATCAGAGCCTCACTCGACGTCTACAAGCGCTATGGCAACTCTTCGAGCGCATCCGTACTCGTCGTACTCGACAACATGAGACACCTGGGTCCGGGTAGAGACGACGTGGCTGCTGTTAGCTTTGGGCCAGGGTTGACAGTGGAAATGTGCATGATGACGCGATGCCGCAGCTCAAATCTCCGTATGTCAGTTCATCGACGTCAGAGAGCGTCTTCGTTTTGGGCAGCGCTGCAATCGAGATTTTCGAGGAAGGATGCAATACATCATCGGGGATGATGGAAAATGTAAGTTAGTTGTTCATACTGTGGAATTATGTATCCCTAGTTGGATGTTGTATATATCGCTATTTTCCAACAAACAAAAGTAACATGGCAAACGAATCGGCAATCACGACATCGCTCTCAACAACAAACATGAATGCGATGTATTCACAGTAACTACTATACAAACATACACATGATAGTCCCGAGAGAAAGTGCGATGTTGCATGGAATCTCGTAGAATTGATCCGCACAATTGTGGATCGCGATGCGGAATCGGGCCCGGACCCGCGGACAATGCCGAGTCCGGGAGATGGACACTACTAGTACTACTGATTGGATCTCCCGCGCAAACCAATGACAATGTTGAACAATTCGCACAACAAGGCGCATCAAGAAACGCACTTGAACCCCCTCTTTCCCCTTCTTTTTCTTCCTCCTTCCACATCAAAAAAAAGATTGGGCAGCAGCATGGAAAAGAGTCTGGCAGCAGACCCAACTCAGCAGCGCGATACACCCGAGAACCAGCAATACAAAGCAGCTTGCTACGCGGAAAACCCTGCATTTCAACATAGCGATGGCAAAGGCGCTACGAAGATATCGCGACGGAAATGGTCATCGTGGTTCACACAACGGGGATTCGATCCCCCTTTTCTCCTCAAATATAGAAGCTCTGACACTTTTATCATTGGGACTGTGACTTTGGCTGTCTTCACTGTAAGTCATCATCATCACCATCATCATCACTACCACTGCTACATCCAAATCTCAAATCTACACTATTGCATAGCGGTAAAACTAATTCAGATACCATGTACAAAGGACATGTTCCTCTACGGCGTCATCGTGCCCGTGATCCCCTTCGCCATCTCGTCGCGCAGCCACGTGGACGAAGATCGAGTGCAGTACTGGGTCTCCGTCCTCGTGGCCGTATACGGGGCGTCTCTTCTTGCGTTTTCACCCGTGTGCGGATGGCTTGCTGACCGCGGGTCGTCCCGGCGCATGCCGCTTCTTGTGGGTTTGCTTGTTTTGCTGGGATCCACAGTGTTGCTGAATCTTGGCAATTCGATTGGGGTGCTGATTACTGGGCGCGTGTTGCAAGGGGCTTCAGCGGCTGTGGTGTAAGAAGCTTTTTGTTTTGTTTTTCTCTCTCTTATTCTTTGGTGCGAGAGGGTTAGGTGACTGACCATGTTGCAGATGGGTTGTTGGGCTTGCGTTGTTGGCTGATACCGTGCCCCAGGATCAGCTTGCCACAGCATCCGGATGGCTGTCGACAGGTATGTCACTGGGTATGTTGATATCTCCGCTTCTGGGGGGTATTGTGTATGATCACGCTGGCTACAATGCTGTTTTCAGCATGAGTTACGCACTAATCGGGTTGGACATAATTCTTCGACTACTCCTTGTGGAAAAGAAGGTGGCGGTAAGATGGGATGCCAGTGCGATAGGACGCCGACCAGTCGAGGCGCATGACAGCCTAGGTGAAGACGCTACACTACAAATTGAGGGATCAGATGCTACTAAAACACCAGCCCAGTCGGAACCAAGCCAGCTCGAAATGCAGCGGCAAGGACCGCCTCGACGGCGGCTGCGGGATCGCCTTCCTCCCGTTGTATCACTGCTCTACTCCCGACGCTTACTTGCCTCGCTGTTCTGCGCACTCATTCAGGCGATCTTGCTGACGGCATTCGACTCAGTTCTTGCTATTCACGCTGCAAAGACCTTCAACTGGACAGCAACGGGTGCGGCACTGTTGTTTCTTCCCATTGCCATTCCGAGTTTTCTCGCGCCATTGTGGGGCTGGCTGTGCGACAAGTACGGCGGACGATACCTTGTCATCATCGGGTTCTTATGCGGCTGTCCGCCGCTGGTGTGCTTGCGTTTTGTCACGGAGAATACCATCAGGGACAAGGTACTTCTATGTGCATTGTTAGCAATCGTAGGTCTCTTCATTGGCATGACGTTTGCGCCCGTCATGGCTGAGATTTCAGCCGTGGCGGAAGCAAAGGAGAGGAAGTTGATTGCAAGCGGACGGCCTGGATTTGGAAAAGGCGGTGCATTTGCTCAAGCCTATGCATTGTTCAATATGGCGTTTGCTGGAGGCTCTATGGCCGGGCCTTTGCTAGCTGGGTTCATTGTTGAAGCACATGGGTGGGTGACCATGGCAGCGGTACTGGGAGGACTATCTGCTGTGGCCGCAGTACCTGGATTTCTGTGGTTAGGCGGTTGGATCGGCGGGAAGCTGTAAGTTTCGTGGTGAAAAAATGTACGTATACTGGACGTGTGTATGAATTGTATAGTATGTCAGAGCATGCTGGTACCATGCATTAGTTGAAGCAGGCATTCTCAGCCTTCAAAAAAAAAGTATTGTTCTACTTTTGACAGCACTATAGCATACTGCCAGGCCAAGTCCGAGGCAGAGACTCGTGGCTGCGGCGCTCATGTCCGGACTAACACCAGCGCATGTGAATCCGGGGGATTGATGACAGATTGGGTTGCGGGCCTTTCCCGTCGGCCGGTTGGCTCGCATGCAATAGAACCATCACACGACCGGTGATGATTGACGTTGAAAAGTGGCATCTGGTCACATGGCGGCTAGTCTGGGGGCATAATGGGGAATTGTGGGGTGCCTCGCCCCGGCCACCCGCTATACTCTGACTGCTAACCGGCTTTGTTCAGGGTCCAAGCAGACTACACAACTGACCGCCGTGCGGCAACGGCAAACTACTCACGGCCTCAGGCTGCGACAGACCACTTCTGCATTACTATAGGCCAGGGTAGAGATCAGATGACGGAGCGGAAACTAGCCCGCGCCCTTGCGCCAAGCCGAGGCCCATGGCAAATGTACCTCGATGACGACCTTGACATTGTCATTCGCGACATCAAAAACGCCATGGAACTCCCAAGACTCGGCTTTGTCGGTGGTCAGGTCGGAGGCCGAGCGATGATGTGCTCGTATTGACTCGGCACATGTGCTACAGTGAAACCCCGATTCTAGCGTACCGGTGCGTGTGTTCTCGGCAAAGAGAACAAGTGCATGTCAACATCACGTGCCGACAACCCTGTCTGAACTTGCACGGCCGTGTGACTGCATCACCGTTGAAAGCAGGGTGAAGGTATAGTTCATGTACATACTTACTGTGTACGTCTGCCGCCAAGTGTCGCTTGCAGGCATCACATGCTACGTCACCACCCACTGCTGCCCTACTCACACTGCGCGAAATCCCCATACTGTGCCCAAAGGGGCATTTGTCATGGATGCTCCGGCTTTCACTCTCATCATCCCGACCCGTAGCCAATCATGTCGCAAGCTCACGGGCTGATTCAGACATCTCCACTCCGCACAGACTCGAGTAGCAAGAGACCTGCCTATTCTGCTCCCCAAGACTCTCCCCGCTCACTTGCCATCGTCATGTGCAGTCCAGGACTACAGCCATTATAGTTCCCGCGAGCGAACCATGGTCCCTATTGCAACGACCTGGCTGGGTATGTTGGCATTTCTTTGTATGCTGACGCTCAGATTCAGTATAAAAGTGACCTCTATGACTGCGTCTTGAGCTCTCTACTCTGCAACTCATCCTGGCAACACAACCTGAGAGCAATATTATTTCTGCAACATGATTCTCACCAAACTCTTTTCGACCTTGTCGCTATGCGCCGCTGTCCTGGCTGCTCCTGCGTAAGTGATGCACTGGTAGCATCACTGCCAGAATAAACATCACATCGTGTCCCTGCTGACTTTTCCTTTAGCCAGCAGAAGCGTGCAGTCGGCTTCAACTGGGGATCTGAGAAGATCCGCGGCGTAAACATTGGTGGATGGTTGGTCCTGGAGCCGTAAGTGACATGGATTGTTTCGTGCTTTGCGACATCCGCTGACCTCCTTCCACAGTTGGATCACCCCATCAATCTTCGACAACGCAAACAGAGGCCGTCCGCAAAACGATATTGTTGACGGTAAGATGCATAACTTTCATGCTGAAACTGATGCTAATAACGCGCAGAGTATACATTGGGAGAAAAGCTTGGCAGTCAGAATGCCCTCAACATCCTTCGTAACCATTGGGATACTTTTGTTACATGGCAAGACTTCAACAAAATCAAGCAGTCTGGCTTCAACGTTGTCCGTATCCCCGTTGGCTACTGGGCATACGACACCTTTGGCTCGCCCTATGTCAGTGGAGCAGCTGTCTACATTGATGCTGCCATCGACTGGGCTCGCAGCGTAGGCTTGAAGATTGTCATTGATCTTCACGGTGTACCTGGATCCCAGAACGGGTTTGACAACTCTGGCCAACGCATGGAGCGCCCCACGTGGCAGCAAGGCGACACCATCCGAAGGACCCTTCAAGTTTTGCGCACAATCTCCCAGAAGTACGCACAGAAGAGCTACCAGGACGTCATCATCGGTATCCAACTACTCAACGAGCCCGCACTTTACAACGGTCTTAGTCGTGATGTTCTTGCGCAGTTCTATCGCGACGGCTACGGCCAAGTACGCGAGGTTTCCGACACCCCAGTCATCATCTCCGACGGCTTCACTGCGCCAAACTCCTGGAACGGCTTCCTCGCACCCTCAGATGCCAATGCCCGGAACGTAGCCATTGACAACCACCAGTACCAAGTATTCGATTCTGACCTGCTCAAACTGTCGCCCGCTGGACACGCCCAGCAGGCCTGCAGGAACACTGGCGCATATGGTGGTGCAGACAAGTGGACCTTTGGTATGTTCAAGAAGATGCGATACAATGAACTCTTACTGACTTGTATGTGTTGTAGTTGGAGAATGGACTTCCGCCATGACGTAAGCATGACCCTTTCACACAACAAAAAAAGCACACAAACTAACTGCCGACAGGGACTGCGCACGTTACTTGAACGGTTACGGCCGTGGTGCCCGCTACGATGGTACCTACTTGGGCAACCTTAAGTTGGGCGAGTGCGGCTGGCGAAACGACCTAGCGCAGTGGCCCGCCTCGTACAAGGACGATTCCAGGCGCTACATCGAGGCCCAGATCCGCGCTTTTGAGTCGACGACCCAGGGCTGGTTTTGGTGGAACTTCAAGACCGAGGGTGCGGCTGAGTGGGATGCTTTCAGGCTCATCGACGCTGGTGTCTTCCCCGCCATCAGGAACGGACAGGTTGAGTACAAGTTTGGTGCCGCCTGCTAGAAACATGGCTCGACAACTGGTTCGAAGTTTTACTTGTTGCTCTCTAGAGGGGGCTAGACGGGCTGAACGCAGTGGCAAAGGAGAAGCAAGCAGGTATGTGCAATTGCATAGAGGGGGCCTGGCTTTCATTGTTCAGTTTGATTAATGACTTACGATGATTTTGGATAACGAAGTACACGATAGCAATGAGATTTTTTTTCCATACACTTTTTATGCAAGCACAAGATAAGCGCTGGGGAGAAGGGGCAGGTACATAATTATGCAATTGTGACCAGCGGATAGTGGCTAGAAGCAAAAAGTAAACTAAGCATGGGGGGTGCTGTAACACCCAGTCCAGCACTTAGTATCGTACCACACTTTACATATACTATCCCACTCCTGACACGCTCATGACCTGTGCCAATGCGCAAAAGCTGGATCCTCCACACCTCGCCATTGCACTAGTTCATTAACTGTATCTCCGTGTATACACACACCCGAACAATCGGCCCCAGAATCTTCTTCCCCAGATCCCCAGTAGCAACCCACCCGCCTCCACAATTTTCGCATACAAGTGCGACCGGCGGCAGAACAAGCGCCGAAGGATAGCCAACACCCAAGAGTTTGCCGTTGCCGTTGCGTGGTGTTAAGCCTGATTGCGGGTGCCCAGCGCTGCAGGCCAAGCGTTTGTGGCTGCGCCTGTGCCGACGAACATGGGGGGGGAGAGCTGGAGTTACTACAGGTCGCTCTGGCCACAGGTAGCACGACTAGCAGTGCGGGGAAAACGCGGAGGGCTGGGGGAGGGAGCTGAAGCAATGTATGCCAATGCTTGCCAAGTTTTTGTGATAGGGAATTGGGAAACGCAGCGAGGGACCGGTGTGTTCAAATATGTGGGTTGCACATTTGCCCCCCCTTCCCACCGTCCAGCTATATAGTACTTTGATCTTCCCCCAGCTTCCCACCTCTTGTTTTTTCTTCTCTTCTACTACTGCTGCTACTCTATTTTTCCCTCTAATCCCCAATTTTCTTCGAAGTAAATTGGAAGGATTGGAAAGAGGTTAAGCAACTATGGCAGAGAAACAACACCCACCTGTCGAGCCCACCGACGAAAAACCAGCAATCATATCGCACATTGACGACAAGTCTGAAATCGGGACTGAGAAACATGCATCGGCAGCTGCAGATTACACGGGTGCGGAGCGCAAGAGTGATCCAGAGGAGATTGCGTTGGTGAAGAAGATCGATTGGAGACTCATGGTACGTCCCCTTACCCTCTATCTTGCTTTTCCAGCGCAAAAAACCGGAGGAGAAAGTATACTAATCCCGAGTGCAAAAACAGCCAACACTAATGGTCATGTACTTCCTCAACTACGTCGATCGCAACGCAATCGCGCAGGCACGACTGAATAATCTCGAGGAGGACCTGGGTATGACGGGCGTACAGTTTAATACTTGTGTTAGCATGTTAGTAATCCCCCCTCCCCCTTCCTCATAACACCTCTCCGCCTCCGTGAAGGAAAAACGAAAAGGAAACGGAATACTGATGATGAAAATTAGTCTCTTCGTCGGCTACGTCCTCATGCAAATCCCCTCCAACATGCTCATCACTCGCATCAAACCCGGCATTTACATGAGCAGCTGGATGTTCATCTGGGCCATCGTCTCCGCATGCACCGCACTCGTCCAGAACTTTGGAGGTTTGGTTGCGTGTCGGTTTTTTCTGGGGATTACTGAGGCACCGTAAGCCTTCCCACGCTTTGTTATGTGAATTGCTCCGTTCTGACAGTAAGCTAGGTTCTACCCAGGAGCTACGTATATGCTTTCAATCTTCTACACAAGGAGAGAAGTAGCAACGCGGATTGCGTTGTTGTACTGCGCGCAGATTCTAGCGACGGGGTTGAGCGGGTTGATTGCTGCGGGTGTGTTCCAGATGGATGGGCTGAGGGGGATTGCGGGATGGAGGTGGTTGTTTATTATGTAAGTTCTCCCCGTCTTTTCTTCGTTTTGTATACGTTGGAAATGGGGGTTATTAACAGATAGGTAGTGAGGGCGCGGTAACGGCTTTCGTGGCCATCTTCGGCTTCTTTATGCTGCCTAATACGCCACTGACGACGCGCTGGTTATCTCCGCGCGAGAGAGAATTGGCACATGCACGTATGGAGCGTGACCGCATTGGCGATTCTACGGAGGATGTGAGCATGATGGATGGACTTAAGCAGGCATGCAGGGACCCGCGGACGTGGCTCTTCTGCTTGATGCAGAATTTCCATCTCAGCGCTTGCTCGTTCAATTCTTTCTTCCCGACGTAAGTCCTACTTCTTCCCCTCTCCTCACGAAAAAGAAACCGTTTTTCTGACGGCAATACTCTAGCGTCGTCAAAACCCTCGGCTTCAGCACCACAATCACCCTTGTCCTTACCTGCCCACCTTTCCTCTTTGCAGGCGCAGCCGGTATCGCCACGGGCTGGAGCTCCGGTCGCATGCACGAACGCACTTGGCACATTACCTGCGGTCTGCTCGTCGCAGTCGTGGGTTTCGTCATTGCCGCCAGCACACTCAACACAGCTGGACGGTACATTGCCTGCTTCATCTTCCCCGTCGGCGCCTACTCTGTTAATTCTGTCATTATCGGATGGGCTTCTTCGACACTCAGCCAGACAAAGGAGAAGAAAGCTGTAAGTTTCTATATCCCTCTTTTCTTCGCCTTTTTTTTTTTGGATATGCATCCAACTAACTGATGCTTAGGTTGTACTTGCCATGACAAACGTCGGAGGCCAAATTGGTTACATCTACGGTGCCTATCTCTGGCCTGAGACAGATAAGCCGCGGTATGGCATCGGATTTGGTGCATCCGCAGGCTTTGCGCTACTTTCTATTGTGTGTGCGTGGATTATCCGCGCTATGCTTATCAAGGAGAATAAGAGATTGAGGCAGTCGACGAATGAGCGGATTATGTTGTACGGATACTGAGACCGGAAGGCGGTTGATTGGAGAGTTAGTCTTACAATTGAATGATGTTTTGGATTTTCTGCAAATAACAGAATACATGTCATTAGTAAACATGCGAAACTTAATTTGAACGACTGTCGTGTGATGAGCACTGTCATCAGCCTTTTCTTTACCAATTGTTTGATGCAACAAAAACCAGAAACCTAAGGTCCTAGATTCTCAATCACCAGCCAAACTAGCTGATCTTGATTTCCCTCCTCAATACTCCTCGTGTCAACCGCTCCCGCTTTGCCCTTTCGGGTCGCATTCCTAGCCTCGCGCCACTCCTTCCTCGCCTCACGCCACTCCTTTCTCGCCGCCAGTTTCTCCTTTCTCAACCCCTTCCTCTTCTCCTTGTACGCCTTCTTCTGCTCCTTCCACTCCTTGCTCTTCTTCGCTTTGCCCTTGCCTTTTGCACCGGAAGCCGCGCGGAGCTCCCTCTTGCGCTGGCGATGCTGCTTCTTTAGTTCGCGACTGCGTTTCTTCACGTCACGCATCGCAGCGCGTTTAGACTGTTTGGCTGCGAGTCTGCTCGCGAGTTTCTGCTTGTCTTGTTCGAGCTTGTTGATGGCAGAGGCACGTTCACGTGATATCTCTTCAGGCGTCTTGGTGCCTTTTGCGGCGCTTTCTGCAGCCTTTTCTTCGATAGAGTGTAGTCGTTTGGAAAAGGTGCTTTCGGCATCATAAAACTCTTCATCGTCTGAGTCGCTGTCGGAATCAGAGTCGGAGCTATCTGAGGAGAGCGAGGATGCGTCCGAGTCCGAGTCCGAGTCCGAGTCGTCCACATACTTTTCCTTGCCCTTCCCCTTTTCCCTCTCTACGTAATCTGTTTGAATCTTGTGATCACCAGGTACGATACCAGTTTCTTGACCAGACGGAAGCTGATATGATGGCGGTCGATCATCGTGTGCCTGCCCATAGGTGGTAGGCCTAGGAATGCCCTGCTGTCGGGAGTTGCTGCCGCTCGCCGTTCGTCCAATATCTGTGCCCAATCTGCTCGCACGCTGTCCAAATTGCATTCCCAAATCGCCCATCATCTTGCCAAACTCCTCTCCAATCTTTCCAATCTCTTTGCCTACTTCTGCCCATTCTTTGCCAATGGAGTAGTCCCCTTGTCGTGATGGCCCCGCTGCACCACAGTGTCCACGACCGCGCCTGAAATGCGGCCCATTTCCAGCGCCGCCAAAAGGCCCTCGACCTGGACGCCCAAAGGGTGCATTACCAAAGCCACCAAGCGGTGCATTGCCAGATGCTCCAAATAGTCCACGCCCTGGTGCGCCAAACGGTGACCAATTTCCTACCGGGCCGCCAGGTTGCTGGCCATGCCCGTAATGAGCTTCTTCCGATGTTGTCGGAACTGAATGTGGTGGGTCGTCGTATGTGTTTACAGGAGCTGTTTGACGAGAGAAGCGTTCGCCCATTTCGTGCAGCTTGTACATGTGCTCACTTGGCGATGGCAGCTTCTCGGTATTTAGCGGCTCGATCCATGGAGTCAATCTTTGCGCGCGTGTAGCAGCAGATCTAGGCTCTTCTAAGAGACGGCTAGTAACTGCAGCCCGTTGCCCTGGTCCTGAAGGAATAGGCAGAGTTGCAAGAATCGCTGCTTCACTGCGGAATGACACTCTCAAGCCCCGTGGAGCAAAAAACGCCTCATTGGCTCCTCTGATATACTGACTGACAAGGCTCGAAGATTCGTTTCCGTAGGTTGATTCACGTAGTAGATCAGCGGCTGTTGTGTTGGTCGATCTGAGCAGGACATTGAGACCACGCAAGAAGTTCAAGAATTGGTCTGGGTCGACCCCATGTCCATGCAGTGTTTGGGTGTATGCGCACAGGAACTGCTCATGCTCCCCAGAAGGCCTACCAGAACCTCCCTCGCCAGGGATAGCAATGATCCTATTTAGATGTGGCGCATAGCGTGCAGCGGGATTGGGTTGGTGGCGAGTAAACTCCAAAGCCTGGGTAAGCATAGCAGAAGCTAAGTCATTGGGAGTCTGAGGTGAACGGAACTCGCTACCCATGCGCCCAACTGGGATGTTCTCTGTGGAGCTGACCTGCTGGACGGGAACACTGGTGGCCTTGTCGCTCCTATGGTTTGCATAGTCTGGAGCATGTTCCTGTTCACTCGCGGGGTCCGTCTGCTCTCCTCTGATTCTGTACTCCCAAATCTCAAGCTCATTGGGTCCTTCGTTATGGGTAATTCGATGGGCTTCGATTTGGTTTGGATCTACAGGGGCAATGCCACTGCGTGCATCGTGAAAAGCCTGATGTCTCGCGTCATCGTAGGATGGTGGCAGGTCATCATATTGGGGGCCTCCTGGGCTATGTGTAGGCGTGGGCTCAAATTCATTATCTGAAGAATCGGCAACAGATGTAGCGCTCGGGGTGAATACCACGTTCGACTGGGACGATACGGATGGAGGGGATGGGTGTGATGGCAAGTTTGGATCGGCGTGGTATGAAGGGGGCCCAGCCATGACGAATTATGTAATGATGTTTGCAGGAGCAAATTCGAGAAGGATGGAGACTCTGAATGATGAAGCTGGCCCTATACGTCTAATATGCCTGATGTTGGTAGGACATGCACAGCCGTCAAACTGCTGCCTTGAGATGAGGGCACCGTCCAATTGCAACGTGGAAATGGACTCTGATCCCGGGCTGAGCAGTCAGTTAGCCAGACAAAGCAATTTGATTTGTTGAGAAGATGGTGTCATTACGAGGCCGCAAGAGTACATGCGCAGCAGCATCGCTTGCACTTGTGTTCATAATACTACTAGGTGGGCTGTGAAGCGGGGCAGAGCGCCACACCGCGCGTTGATGCGTCCAGGTGGCGGTGTAGCCAGAACTTTGGTTGAACCGCATGGTCACCGATTGCGATCACGGCGGGCCGTTGGACAGTGCACGTATACGTACGGCACACGTGCGTGTAATAGTACTGAAAGTGGAAGATTACTTTTCTGTGCGAGCGAGTGAGAAGCCAGAACATAGGCGGTACGGGATCGTACCGGCCCTATACTAAAACCTGGTAATGCAATGCCACGGTGTATGACCCCACTCGCGGTGTCGAAGATGGTATCACGACATCGATACTCCCTGAATGTTGCTTTGCAAACCTTTGCCTATTCGATTCTCTGCATCAAACTCACCATATGCGTGCTGCATCCTGCGCATACTATCTGCGGTGAAACGTAACCAAAAGAAGCGTAAAGAAACCAAAACAACGGCAGTACACTGTACATACTACATACATAACGCTGAAACACTAGCAACATGGGGAAAAGTGGCACAGTTGCCGTCATAGGACTAGGTGAGATGGTATCCCGCGGTCTGTACCAAGAATCCTACTGACTCGGCTACGTAGGACCAGCGGGCCTTGTAGCGCTGAAGAATCTCAAGGAGGAAGGGTTTGAAGCTGTCGGATTCGATCGAAATAGCTACATCGGAGGGTTATGGCAGTATTCAACAGAGGAGCAGACGTCGGTGATGGAGTCCACCATGGTCAACTTCTCCAAGGAGCGCATGTGCTTCACGGACTTTCCGTTTCCCGACCATATTGCCTCGCATCCTACTGCAGCCCAGGTGCAGCAGTACCTGGTAGCCTACGCCGCCCACTTCCAGCTCGAAGCCTCGATTCGGCTCAATACCCACATTGCCCCGATTACGTTTGACCAAGAACGACAAAAGTGGATCGTACAGGTCCAAGGGGAGGATACACAATACTTTGACAAGGTAGTCATAGCTACTGGCGGCATGGTTAGCAAGGCACATATGCCAACGGTCGAGGGCATGGGCAAGTTTGCTGGTATAAGTATACACTCGCAAGCATTTAAGCGACCAAGCGACTATAAGGGGAGGAGAGTCATGGTCGTCGGGTTTAGCAACAGCGCGGCAGATACAGCAACCCAACTGGCTGGCATTGCAGATAAAGTTTACATTGCGCACCGTCATGGGGCAAGAGTTGTAGGTCCACCTTGGCATGCCTGGGGCCGAGAAGATCTTTGGACTAACCGTATCATGACAGCTACCACGACACATCAACGGCGTCGCCATAGACCATACACACAGCCTTCGTCTCTTCAAGTTCCAAAGCCTCATGACCAAGTACTTTCCAAAGTTCAGTGATAAGCCGTTCGATAGGTTGATCAAGAGAATACAAGACAAGAGTTTTCATGTTCGCCCCGAATGGCGATTCGAGCCGGCGGGCAAGGTACCCATCGTATCCGACAGCCTAGTTCCCTGCCTAGAAGAAGGCAGTGTTTCATCTGTTGCAGGGGTAAAGCGAATTGTGTCAGAGACAAAGGTAGAGCTCGACGACGGAAGCAGCATCGATGTCGATGTCATAGTTTGGTGCACAGGGTACAAGTCCGACTTTAGCATTATTGAACCAAAGTTTGATCCCACGTGTCGTCCACAGCGGTGGCTGGATGCACCCGGGTCAAACGGCAAGTCGCTATTTCGGCTCTACCACAACGTCTTTTCAGTGGAGAAACCAGATAGTCTGGCGTTCCTAGGAAACGTGCAGATAACAATTGCGAATTTCCAGCAGTTTGACCTGGCCACCATGGCCATTGCGCAGGTTTGGGCAAACAAGTCACAGCTACCCCCTCGCGACGCGATGATTGCTACAGTAGAAAAGGAGCACGAATGGCTCATTGACCTGGCACGGCGCACCCCAAACGTATCACCAGGTCACTGCAATATGGGTGTGTGGATACGAGCCATGGACCATCTCGCCGGGACAGGAGTCAATGAGTATCTGGGCTACGGGCCCAAGGGCTGGGGGTTCCGGCTCAGAGAGCCAAAGTACAGCAACCTCTTGACGGGAGGCATCTGGAGCCCACACATCCACCGTGTTTTCGATGGCAAGAGGAAGCGTTGGGATGGTGCCAAGGAGACGATCATCCAGACCAACAGGAGAGTTCGCGAGTCGAAGCGGACAAAGGGGGGAGCTGCTTGAGCCCGCTGCGCTCGCAGATTATGTAATTTCGTTGGTGCATGAGGCGAAGCTGTATATATTAAGTAGTACCAGTTGTATGTGCATAATAGTAGTAAGTTGGGTGTGGTTCTTGTTCGCGAAGATGCTAGGGAGTGCTCGAATGTTCCTTTCTGGACAGCTTCCCCACCATGACGCGATGGTCCGCGGCGAACGAGGCAGGCAGACAGCGACTCTGACCACCACGCTAGAATGGTCTCATACGGTATAACTCTTCCAACATTGCCATCAAGACACGACACGACACGACTTTGTATTCGTTCGCATAACTAGTGGAAATCTGACAAGCGTGGCGGTCATTACACAAGGTCGCAGCTTGGCCAATCACAGCACAGACTTCTGGGCAACGCATCTGGCGCACAGCGCAACAGACATATCATTTCGATTTGTTTCCACGCGCAACCCCGCAAAACATTGAAACACATCAATTTCCCCCAAGACTGATAGACGCTTCTTGTCTGTCGCCTGTCCGAAGAAAAACAACACCATCGCCGACCGACACACACGAACAGTCGAATTGCCTGGGAAACACGCAACAACCATATCCAACATGGCGACACAGACACTGCACGGCTCCTGTGCATGCGGACGGAACCGCTATGTAATTGAGATACCAGCACAGCAAGTGCGCCAAGCCGAGCTGAGATACGACAATACTCCAGCATCGCGTAAGTACTAGATATATGCATGCCTGCTACACGCGGGCATGCTCCGAACCATCACAGTGTTGTCGCTAACAAAGCCTGATAACTACAGGATACCATGCTGCCAACCCTCTTACTCTCTGGCTGCGCGTGCCTTTGCCATGGTACACATCGGCTACATTCGCCCAATTCCCCGACGAGACACGACTGAGTATCAAGCGCAACTTCGAATCTCCCTTTGCATCCCACACCCGCCGCCAGTTCTGCGGATACTGCGGCACCCAGCTGTCATCGTGGAATGAGCGCACACGCGATGAGGCCGAACACATCTCCCTGACAGTCGGCAGCCTGTTGGACGAGGACCAGGAACTGCTGGGCGACCTCGGCTTCATCCCCAGCAGTGACAGTAGCGACGACGAGGGCATGTCATCCGCTGCCCCCTCCCGTCCAACCTCTTCGCGCACCGTCGTCCGCTCGGATCCCCAGTCTCGCGGCGCTCCCTGGTTCGAGGAGATTGTACGCAACACTCGCCTTGGACGCTTCAAGCAGCAGCGCGGTGCACACACGGACAGCGGCGTCCACGTCGAATGGGAAGTCACGGAATGGACTGAAGGCGATGGCCTCGATCTCGACGACGAGGGTAGCGCCACGCCCAGCAAGCGCAAGATTGGCGACATCGATGACGCTGAAGACATGGAGATGCGCACCGCGTAAAATCTCGCCTTCTTTCATTTTCACCTACGGTATGACTTTGACTTGACATTCACAACGACAATAGATTTGGCGCCGCTCACGCCTCACGGGACGAGACAATTAGTAATCATCGGTCCTCTGGCAGGGCGACATGGGCTTGGAGTTTGCAGGTGCGTTCTTTTGTGTATACCATTATGTGAATACAGTATGGCGCATGTCACTCTGCCCTGTTTGTAACATGACCATTTCCTTCTCAGATGCATGAATCTATTCACTTTCCTTCATTCCAATTCTTGCATGCACACCTCATCTCTTGAGTCCAATTTCATCGCACCACCAATATGTCTTCACTTCTTTTTGGCATCTAGGCCTTTGGCATTGGACATGCCGTCTTGGAAAGCCAATCAAACCCATCCGAGCGTAAGAGGGACACGCGGGGGTGGCTCGGCACGAATGTCTCTCGCTAGCGCACAGCGACTCACAACTTCATTGACAACACGGTGCATCGTTGCATAGAGACGAGTGAACGCTGCTCAGACTCTTGTGGAAAGAGATCTCATAGGTTGACAAGATGGCTTCGTTGTCCAGGCGCCTCTTTGTTCAACATTCGCAGTGGGAGGCCTTGCTAATATATCATGAACATTACTTATCTCGCCTTACTTCATTCTGTTATTCGACCAGCCTCTGCATCGAAAAAGAAGCGCTTCCATTCTCCCGGGTATGGAGCACAAGTCCCACTCATTGGTTCCCACATGGTTTGTACCTGCAACACACAAGGGTTGATTATCTACACCCTGGGATCGACTATCTGCACCCTGCAATGTTCCCGGCATAGTCCGTTTTCTTATCAGTCCCGGGCAACATAACACGATTAGTCTCACCAACCCGCATGCGTCGTTCCACTCCCTGGCTTCAATGCCGACATAGATTTTTCTCTAGTATGGATGTGCTCCTCGGGTATCGTCCTAACCTGGCCGCTTTTTCTGCCGTCATTCTTGGAGCATGCCAGCATTATATGGGGCGTAAATGCAACAGCATCTAGCTGCTGCTGCCACTATCAGATTGCTTAGCATATGTATTTACGTGAAGGGGTCATAAGTGTTTTGCAATCTGATAGATAGACGCGTCCGGGTCCACTGCCTTCAGTGCCGCCGGTGAATATCGAAGAGCACAAGGACGAACTTTTTGCTTTTTCCTTTCATCCTACACAGCCAGTGTTGCCTGCCTGCCGGCCGACCATCAGCATGGATTTGGAGAAGAAATTGTCGTCAGAAAAGCCAGTGTCAGTGGACGTGGATGAGGCAGCAGGTGTAACTGAGGTGTTGAACGCCTCTGGACACAAGCAAGAACTTGAGCGCAACTTTAGTTTGCTCAATCTCTGCGCGATTGGTATCACAACTGGCAATGTTTGGGCTGCGTTGGGAGGCTCCATTGTATATTGATCCTGTCTCCTTTCTCTAAAAGTTCCAAACCCGCGAATTCTGCTGACTTGCCTTAGGTGATTGCGCTCTACAATGGCGGTCCTGCTGGCGTCATTTACGAGTTCATTACTGTATCATGCTTCTACTTCATGATTGCGGCATGCATTGCAGAAATGGCATCTTCTATTCCTTCCTCGGCAGGCGTATATCACTGGGCGAGTGTAACAGGCGGTGTGAAATTCGGCAAGGTTATAGGTTTCTATGCTGGATGGTACGTACAGTGGAAAATACCAGACGGGGGAGAAGTTAACTCGCCCCAGGTGGAATGTGTTGGGCTGGATCTTTGGCACAGCATCCATAACCTCAATCCTCTCGACCCAGATCATTTCCATGTACGGCCTATTCCACTCAGGTTATGCCTATGAGCGCTGGCACGTTTTCATCGTGTATCTCATCATAACTTGGCTTTCTTGCGCCATCGTCATGTTCGCAAATCGCGCCCTCCCGAAACTGACCAACATCGGCCTCTTCTTCATCCTCATGGGTGTCTTCATCACCATCATGGTATGCGCAATCATGCCAAGCCAGACGGGCAAAGGATACGCGAGCAGCGAGTTTGTATGGCAACAATGGTCGAATCAAACAGGTTGGAGCAGTGACGGCTTCGTCTTTTGTGCGGGAATGCTGAATGGAGCTTTTGCCGTTGGTACACCGTGAGTACACCACCTTGCTTACATTTCCTTGACATGCTAACAATCTTCTCACAGCGACTGCGTATCCCATCTCGCCGAAGAGCTTCCCCGCCCACGCACCAACATACCCAAAGCAATCCTCGCCCAATACACAGTCGGCTTCATAACCGCCTTCCTCTACCTCGTCGCAATCTTCTACTCAGTAAACGACCTCGACACCCTCTTCTCTAACCCCTGGCCCTTCCCCCTCGCCGAACTCTACCGCCAAGCCACAAACTCGCACGGCGGCTCCCTCGGCCTCCTCATTGTCATCTTCCTCCCCACCTTTTGCACAAATATCGGCTGCTACATCACTAGTGGCCGCATGCTCTGGACCCTCGGCCGCGACGACGCTACACCTTTCAGCCACTGGGTTGGCAAAGTCGACGCAAAATGGGAGAACCCATTCAACGCAACGCTAGCTTGCGGGCTCATCAACACCGTCCTAGGCTGCATCTACATCGGCAGCAGCACCGCCTTCAACGCCTTCGTCGGCTCTTTTAGCATACTCTGCTCCCTCTCCTACCTCGCCTTCCTCGTCCCTAACATCCTCTCCCGCCGCAAACGCGTAGTCAAGGGCCCTTTTACAATGTCCGACCCTGTATTTTATACCGTAGCTTGTCTGGCGAGCTCGTACATGGTTGTTTGGATCCCAATCTACTGTTTCCCGTTTGCGAAGCCGTTTAATTATACCACCATGAATTATACGAGTGCGTTGACGGGTGGGGTGACGATTTTGCTGGGCGGCTGGTATTTGTGGATTAGGAACAAGGGGTATGTGGGGCCGAGGCGGTTGGTGGAGAGTTTGCAGAATGGAGAGGTGCCGGGGTTGGAGGGGGATGAGAAGATGTGATGGGAATTGAAATGGGGTAGGGTTTGAGGAAAATGGAGAGTTGTGTTCTTGATGATATTTTGTAGCTGTTGCTTTAATCTGACTCTTGATTATACAAAGGTTAATGCGGCTTTTGGATCCGGTGTCCGATGAATGTCTATCACTAGGCATATAAAGCAAGGAATCCGTAGATCGGGAATACATATCCAGAACATTTAGCAAGGCAATTAGTGATTCAATAAGGCGGATGAAGAGCAATGTAGTTGACATAACCTCTCTGGATTAAAGTTTTGGCACACTATCCCGGAATATAGCTCCAGCTGGTATCTGCCGATGAGCTTTACGAGGATATGTTTGAACTCCACAGTGCTGTTTGTATTGATCGCCGATGAAATGGGTATAATTATATCAGGAATAGCATACCGTTTAGCCTGCAATGCAGTTCAAAGGACTTTTCGGCTGAGTCTTTTCCGTTTTCTAACGGAAACGAGATGAATCTCGCATATAGCTAGGAAGGCTGTGGTTTTGTACAAGGAGGTTGGTGCGATTATGAGTAGCCAAGCACTCGTGATGCTTCTTCAGCGAACACTTGATATTTTTTTTAAGAATTGTTACCACTAGGAATTACCAAGAACAAGCGCATTCAAAGACACTTCTAAAAAAAATGATGTCTCTATTCCATCTACCAGCACACGAGATGTACAAGATGCTAGCAAACAAAACTCCCAAAAATTCTACACCCCATACACATCCTCATCGAAAAACACCAACACCGCTTCACTCCCCCTCACACTAACCACTCCATCTTCGACAACCTCAATATCCATCTCCCCCACCACCTCCCCCTGCGGAAACGACTGCCCCGCCCACGTCGTCACCTTACTATCCTTACTATCCACAAACGGCGCCGTCATCCTCTTCACCCTCACAACCCCCTTACCCTCCTCCTCCTCATCCTCCAGTACACCCTCCAACCCAACCTTGACCGTAAAATCCCCCGTAGAATTAGCATAGTACGGATTCATATTCACCAGCGCAACCTTCGCCACCTTATCTGCCACATAAAACGCATACGCCGCAAACCGTTCTCCGTCCACCCCCTCGGGCGCCTCAAGCGCCCTCACTTGCGTCCCAGCCACCGCAAACGCCTCCGCCATGAACAGCTGTGCGAGGAACGACGGAAGCGTCCGCGCAGGCCCCCTAAGCTCGCTATCCCGTGGATAAAGCATCGAATACGTGCTAAATCCGGGACTCCCATTTTTGCCGGGCGTATTAACCTGCTCGTTAGACTGCAGCGCAAGCGTAGCACCCTGGTGCAGGAACGTCGAAGTCGCATTTCGTGTAGCGTACAGCAATTCAGAGTCTACGACCCAGAGGGCCTGGGCGAATGTGTCGGTGACGTTGGGGGCGCCGGAACACGAGACTGAGTTGAATTCACCAATGTTCCAGCTGCTGTTTGCATTTAGGGCAGCAAGGGCGGACGGGTAGATTTCCGAGTCGCAGTAGCGGGTCAGCTCGGTGTGGTTGAGGATGTTTTTGATGGTGGCGAGGACGGCGCGCTTGGGGTCGCAGGTCGAGAAGGCGTAGGAGTGGATGGAGTAAGTGTCAACTTGGTGGGCGGAGTTTATACCTGCGGGAATGAGGGCGGCGGGGCGGACTTCGAGGCCTGACTTGTCGGTTGTGGCGGAGGAGGCCCACCAGCGGTCTTGGGGGAGGGCTGAGGTGTTTAGAGTGTTTACTGCTGTGTCTATGCTCGCAGTGTATTCCTTCCATTGCTTCACGTAAGCTTGGGTAGAAAGATTCCATCGGTTCCTGTTGTAGTTGGTGGGTTCGTTGCCGAGTTCAAGGTAGGCGACCTTGTCGGGTTGATATGTCAATGATGCGACAGCCAGGCCCGTGGCAATATCTAGACTTTCGTTGCCAAAGTTGAGCGTAGATACGAACTTCGTTCCTTCGGGAAAATTGGACCAGCTCTTGTAGTATCCAGGTCCGACTGTCGTCCGCCAAACTCCCCCAGCTGGGCTAGTCGTACGCACCACGTCGCCCCCCTTAGGATCAAATATCATACTGTCCATGGTGATGCCGCCAGGACGTATGACTGGATGCCCTCCATGCTCATGAATTCTGTCCAGTGCCTTGAATGTAAGCTGATTCGGATTGGTAGCATTTCCGAAAAAGTCGACCCAGAATGCAGGCTCGAAGGAGAATGAAGCAAAAGAATTTGTGTGTGGAATTGAAGCCCCTGCTGCCGTCTTTGGAATAATCAAACTCGAAGTCTGTGTATTGTCCTTGGTAGGTAATGTGTAGGCAGTGGTTACTGCAATTGAGACGGCAGCAATCCTCAGGTAGGCCATGGCGAGAATGCGTAAACTTGGATTACGTTGTCCTTCTCGTTGCGACAATGTAGTAAAGACATTATGGCAATTGTTATACTTTGTACCCGTACACAGAAGACATAACGTCACAGCAATACAATAGTATTGCTGTTTACCGAAACGGGCGATATCATGCCGACGGCCGTGAAATACCCCATTACGCCGGCGTCGACACGGAAAAATTAGTCGCGGATTTAAGGTGAGAAAGCGATGCTGTGGGGGAGCCCGTGGGGAAGGCTAGTGGATCGTCACGGCTGGCTTTTTCGCGGGGAACAGACATGATCATACCATCGGGTAGGTAGCTGAATTCAGCATCGTCATCTTGGCAACAATGCCAGTTTGCCTGGAACCTGTATGCACTGGTGAAAATGATACCCTAAGATGTGACGTAGCCATAGAGACTACATACACCCTAGTGTTGGTCCTCCGCTAATCCAAATCGTCATTTCCTCCGTCTGCACAGCAATGCCGCATCCCTGATCCGTTAGATGTGCGTTGCATTAATGTATGTCGCAGGACATTGCCGAATACGGGATTTCATCGACGCCTGATGAGCCTTATACCATGTTGCTGCGTTGGCGCTATTACTAATGGTTGCTCTAGAACACATTGGCTTTCACGTGTGTGTGCGCGCGCATCCATGATACTGATTTGCGGAGATCTCTCCGAGAGCATGCTTGACATGCGAACGAATAACTTCTATTGCTGACGATCCAATAGCCATGTGTAGATCGCCGTTAATTGCTAGTCGATGTCTATGTCCATTCCCAAGTTTACTTTGTTCCCTGCGCGCCATGAGGAGCCCCAGTTCTTCTCTTCATCATAACTTCTCCCATTGCATTTCTGACTTCCCTCTCCTGATGCACCACGTTCTGTACCATGTACTTCTTTAGCGCTTCCCTCAGCTCGCTCTTTGCCCTTTCGTTATCCCTATAGGGTACGCTTTCTAATTCCAAGAGCCTATTCACGTCCTTGTTGTTCTCGGCGACAAATTGCCCCAGGCGGTCAAGCTGCTTGTGTATCGCGTCCTCGCTATTGTCGGTAGGCTTTGAACTCTGCGGATCGTCGCGATAGAGTGGCATGAGGAGAGCAAGAAATTGGGTGAGAGATATAGCAGTCTTCTTCATAACGGCAATGACTTGGAACGGGAGATATGCGGGCCGGAGGTTCGTGGATGTAACAAGCGGGTTTAGGTACTTGGTGAGCAACGCAGGGTGATCGGGACGCAGAGCGGTGCGCACTTCAAAAGTTGCGACAGCGAGAAGACCCACGTAGCGCCAGTGTGCACCATCCCTTAGAAAGCCAAGGGCATTTGCGCCCATTAAGAAAATAAGCAGGCCGATGTAAGTCACGTACGTAGACACTAGTGACCTGTCAATGTACTCCTTGATGGTCAAGCAGTCTTGGCACTGCCTGAGGATATCTGGGCCAAAGCGGTCATATGCGAAGCGCTTCACGGGATCCAGGACGATATCCCGCGCGTGCTTTAAATGCACATAGTAGTTGTTGGCGAGTTCCTGGTCTACATTTGGTCCAATCTTATCCGGATGAAACTTGATTGTCAACCTCCTGAAGCGCGAGTTTATACCACCTTCGTCAACATCGACGGGCACGCCGAGATCGTTGTACGCATTGCTGGAACGCTGCAGGTTGAAATCGACTTCGTAGATGGTAAAGGCAAAGTACGCCGCGTAGACGGCTATGAGGATATTGCGGCGATGTTTGTTGAAGCGCGGGGTGCCGGGTTGTGGTTTAGGGTCACCGGCACGAATGAAGATGCCGTAAAGGACCGTTTGTATCCATCCTGCAGCCTATGTCGCGTTAGATACTGTTCCATCTGGGGTCAAACGGGTTGGACTAACAAGGGGTATGAGAAGCTGCCACACTAGGAAGGGTAGGATCGCATCGAGCGATAGAGTGTCCCTGGCCATTCTCTGGTTACAAGCTGAGTGACATGAAGCAGGAAGAGTGCGCACTACATGGAAAGACAGGTGGCATTGGCGTCGATCGGAACGGGTTCCGAACCAAACTATGCAAAGGCACGTGCGCGTGGCAAACAGAACACCGCAAAGTTACAATCAGACAGAGTAGTTAGTACATTTATCATGGACGAAAATGTTGTGATAGACTACTTCACAAAAATCACGATCACATTTCAACAGTAGAAAGATTCAACAAGAGAAGACTATGGTATTCAAGTACGTATTCGACGTTTAGTCGATCTATGGTATAATGCAATGCGACGCAAACAATTGCAACATATTAAAAAGAAAAAGCCTACATGCTGGAGAGCATGCAGCTCAACAACTGTCTGCATAAAGAATCCTGAAGCCTGGAATTGGTTGGCGACTCAGCGCCGGGTATATTTTCTACTAGACATAACGCATATATGCATCGGCTTGCCGATTTTCATAGCGCACGCAGCGCGCTCATTCGCATTCATTGCGACCAGCGCTCACATACTCGCTTTAGCAGAAATGAGATTTTACGCTTGTCCGGTAGTCTGAGGCATAAGCTCCTCATCCTGTCGGCGTTTCTCCTTGAGAGATCCTGCAGCAGATCGGTTCTCGACATCACTGTCGGAAATGTCATACTGACGTACAGCCTCGGCGATCTGGGCTTCGTCCATCTTGGGCAACTGCTTGGCGGCTTGGACATAGCTCATCTTCTCAGTAAAGCCCTTGGCGAAGATGAGGTCAATTTCTTCAAGGGATCGTCCGGCAGTCTCGGGGTAGAAGAAGTAAATAATGGGAATAAAGGAAGCGTTGAGCGCAGCGAAGAAGAGATAGGTGCCCCATCCAATGCTGGTGATGAGCACAGGAGTGATCATGACGATGAAGAAGTTCCACAACCAGTTGTTGATGGTGGAGAAAGCGTTGGCCTTCTGGCGGGTCTTGAGAGGGTTGATTTCGGCAGGGTATAACCAGGGCAGAGGCAGCCAGGTGACACCGAAGAATGCAATGTAGACGAAGAGACCGACAGCGGCACCGGGGGCAGAGACGGTCTTGTCAATCAAGCATGCAAAGGTGAGAACCATGGCAAGCATCTGGCCGACGGTACCGATGAGATAAAGCTTGCGGCGACCTACACGCTCAACGAAGAAGAAAGAAGTCGAAGCGAAGGCGGCGTAGACAACCATGTTGACACCTCCCAATAGAAGGGCAAGGTTGTGGTCGGTGCCCAGAGCGTCCTGGCAGAGAATTGGGAAGTAGTAGATGACGGCGTTGCATCCAGACAGTTGTTGCATGAATTGTCCAGAGGCACCGAGAAGAGCACGGCGGAAGTGCTGCGTCTTTCCTCCAGTGAGGAGGGCCTTGGTGGGAACCTTGCCACCACCGCCAGAAGCGTTGACAGCATCACGAATGATCTGCATCTGGATGAGAACCTCTGGGTCGTCACGAGGAACGCCATTCAAACCGGCCAAGACAGTAGCAGCTTCATCTTCGCGGTGATGGTTGAGCAGCCAGCGAGGAGATTCGGGAAGCGAGGTCATCATGATGATGACAACAAAGGCGAAGACACACTGGAAGGCAATGGGGAATCTCCAAGTGAAGTCGTCAGGGCCGTAGAGACAACCATAGTCAATCCAGTAGGCGATGAGCGTGCCAATGGCAACCATGGAGCCTTCAATACAGATGACCTTTCCGCGGTTCTTGGCCTTGCAGCACCTGATGGGTGGTTAGAGTCTAGATGGAGAAGATGGACAAAATATGGGACACAACTTACTCAGCCTGGTAGGTAGGAATAGTCGAGGTGTTAATACCGTTTCCAACACCTGTGATGCATCGTCCGACGATGAACTGGGCAGTGGCGCCGCCATTAGGAGGGACGCAAGCAATTTGGATAATGACACCAATGATCATGACAAAGGCACCGAGGAAGATGCTCTTGCGGCGACCGAGCTTATCTCCAAAGACGAAGATGAAGCAAGCACCGAGGAAACAACCGACAGCGTAGATGGAGACGACGAAACCTTCGTAGGTAGAGTCACCCTTGACCTGGGGGAAAGCGGATTGGAAGGCCGGGGCGGAGATGATGCCACTCATGACACCCTGATCATAACCGAAGAGCAGAAAGTCTGTTACGGCAACAATGGTGACGAGGACCTGAAGCATGCGGCCTGACTGGCCCCAGTAGGTGGGCACACCATGTTCGCTCTCTTTGATACGTGGAGGCATGTTTGCGGTGTATCAATGGACAGCTGGAGGAAAGTGAGGAGATGCTGGGGAGGTGGGCAAGCTGGGGAGAAGGGTAGAGCTTTAAATGATGATCCCCAAGAGTAGTACCAGGGTCCTCGGCAAAAACGTGGTGCAGCATGTACGGCCTTGGTCCACTAAAAGCGACGCTACCAAGATGCTGTCTGACGCGTGGAGAAGACTAGATAACGGATTTTTTCAACATCTTGGCCTTGGCTGTTGTTGTAATAACGCCAGGCGTGCAGGCTGGCGGAAGAGGCGCAAATAAACTGTGGAGATGCAAGGAGCCTAACAGGGTCTGTCTGTGGAGCCTGACTGGCTGGGGCCAATCTTGGAGAAGGGCGGAGGACGCTTGCAGTGCAACAAGCGCGCTCGGCATAGGCTGCTTCTCGTCTTAGGCCCGAGGTTGCCTCCACATTACGTCACGGGTACAAGCATCGGGAGAGTGGTTGAGTAGGGATGCGAAGTGAAGACGGGCGGAACGTCTGACTTTTTGCCAACCGTTGCAAAGCGGGCGGAGGGAAGACATGGGCCAAGGAACGGTTTGCAGGCAGACGGCCACGCCGAGTCGTCGGTGTAGCCATACACATGGTCGCGGGGAGGTTGATGGGCTGGCAGTAGACTACCAAGACGCAGGGACTAGGGGATGCTCGCCAGCAGTCGTTCATGGGGGCGGGCGTGTAGAGCAACGATAGCACAGGCACAGGTGCAGACTCGGGCAACATGCCGCAAGTGAGGAGGTAGCGTCCTGAGATTTTTTTTTTGCTTAGAGGCACAGCGGCCATGTCAACATGCGTGCGCCTGACGTCATGCATCGGCGGAAGACAGTCTTCACATGCAGGGTCTGACCAACCGTGCGCATGCGGCTCTGCAGCTTCTTCGCCTTGGCCGCTGATCTTGACTAACAAGGCTCGCAAATGTGGAGCTTGAACGCACCATGGCTGCAGCCGTGACGAGCAACGCTGCCATGCACACGGGCGGATGCGCTGCCCAAGACGTGTGTGACGGAGAGTGCAGCACCGCCACTAACCGCCTCGGGCACAAACCGCTGCGCTGACGACTGCCGGTCGGGAACTCGTCGTGCCTTTCGGGGAGCCCTGTCCAGACGGCTCGTTGTTGTGTGGTTAGAATAGGTGTAGCAGTATGATGTTGATTGATGAGCGGTCGCTAGTTTTTTTCCCCGATCCCCAGACTTGCACCCCAAGATATTTTTTTTTCGAACGACGTCACTGCGCCGCAGTCGTCACCGCAAGGCAGCACACATTTCGTCAGAAGATGAGGGTGAGGAAGAAGAAATGGCCCCCATCCTGCCAATGCGGGATAAGTTGCCAATGGCAAATGCTTAGCAGACGGTTGATGAGTGTGTCGGCCCAGCGGTTTGCGGGGATGAGGCTTCGACAAGCATATGTTGATCCGGCCCGTCCCAAAGAGGAAGGTCCGGATCGCTTGGCACGCTCCCATCTCAACTGCAGCACGCACCCTCCAGGATAGCGACGCATGCAGACGCGATGCACAATAAACAAAACAACAGCGAAAGTAGCAGGCGCGTATGTGAGCGCATGTGAAGACGGAAGGCCCGAACCATACGGTCACCTGCCGCCCGTCTACCCCGTCTTCCCCACGGTCCGGCAGGCCAACTCGGCTCCGTCTCCAGTTCCTCATCGATACTTTGCCGCAGACAACAGACATGTCCCCCAACAATACCACCCACACGGAACACACGGCTCTCATCTCTTGTGCTAACACACGCTAAACACACCTAATAAAGCAGAAACCCACTTGGGCTGCCTCCACGAGCCGCTACGCACACGTGTCCCTGCCAAGCATCATACCATCTGGAGTACGAGGACCGCAAACATGTAATTTGCAGTGTCGGTGCTTCCGCCTCTTGCAGAATGTAGAATGTCCTTATGATCATCACAATCACGCTTGCTTTTGCATGACAGGCCGGCCCGTGGCCTTGAATATCAGGGTCTGCCCAGTGCCCGCCAATCACCACCGCGCCATACACTGCGCCGTCAATCCCCTCTCTACCAGCTGCTTCGTTCCAATACCACTCGCATGTCCTTCTGACACCTTGTTCCAGGACACTGGAACTGGGGGAACGACCATGGGCGCGCGCGAAGCCTGTTTGCGCCCCATCTCCGCCAATCTCCAACCTTTGTCGTTAGCACTCGATGCGAGAGCTAGGGTGGACTATCTGACCCACGCCAGTTCCCCTCCTGCACTCTCGGCATTGGCATTGCGCCGTGCCTATACATATACGCGGCCCATTCAACGCACTCAATTCCATCCCTGGCTTTTCATGTGCTCGCTATATTTCGCGCAATCCCAAGCCCAACCCCCGGTTCCCAAGACTTTGGCAAAGTCCGGTAAATCCATCAGGAGTACAAAACCTTCTGTATGTGGAGCACCCACAGTCTCCACATTCTACTGCTCTGGCAGTCATGTGTCCCACCATCGTACTTGCCAAGTTGTGCTCCACTATGCACATCGCCCTCCATCGTAACCGAAAAACGGTCGACTGGCAGTCAACCGACAGCCGTCACTTTTGAGGGTCTCACAATCTCCTCATACTTTCTGTAGCCAGTTTTGTCTACCTTGTTAAGTAGCTGTCTTCCCCGTATTGCTAACACACCTTATGTTGCACTCATATCACTCCAAGCATCCTCTTCCCAGTTCTGTCTATACCATCTTCATATTAACCATCACGCTCAGGTTCCGCTACCATATCTTCCCAGTACCATTCCTCGTTCTGGAACACACCAAGTTGGAGAAACGTCTCTCATCTCACAGCCACCTCACCACTGTACTTGGCCCTGCCGTGTTTTCCTCGTCGCCAAGACCCCATTGTCAATGTATCACGGCCAGAGTGTTCATACGCCCAGCATAGTCATGCTTTCGCTCATACCATTAGCATTCGGTTCTCCTGCGATTAGTATCTGCCGGAATGGCCTCCATCGAATAGCATCTGCCACATCTCATCCTTGCAACCTCGTATGCTTAGTCAGTCGGCGCATAACAATACTCTTGGTTACATGGGTCTTAAACTTTTACACTTCGTTGCTTTTCAAGCTGGAGCCAGGGTTAGCCCAAATATAATCCGTTACGCTGATCTCATAGCAAACACGGCTCTTTACATGCTAAACTGAAGCTCAAACTAGTCTGCCATCTAAATGCCCTAGATGCATTGCACAAGACTCTCTAGTTCTTTGTTTCTTATATGCATAAATACTAGACTTGTCAAACACCGTTGGTATAATGTACTAAAGAGGGTCATGGAATAATTATGCTAGGCGCCGGCGTTTAGACTTGACGAGATGAATCAAGTCGCGAGCGCAGCAACTAGTTTAGAATGCGGGGAAGGTTTGTCGTACGATGATTAGTAGGTGCCAAGAAGATACAGGATGCTGACATCTGGGCAGTCACTACGCTGTAGCCTCCTATAGCGTGTATAGAGTGACCGTGCAACACCGCAATCGACACACCTTTTTGTCATCTAGCGTACCTTATTCCTTAGGCAGCACATTACGCTCTTGTTTAGTTTCCACGTGGTTGAGATAATATGAGGCGCCTTAAAAATCACCTCCCTTGTCTTTCTACCTTGATCGAGATGCAGCAAAATACGATCTCGAATCCTTCTCCCAAGGAGTCTAGTCTGGGCCTTTACACTACATGTCACACCAGAATTCTGCCATTGCCGTCGGAGAATTTATTCCATTTACCGAACAGCAACCAGGACATGTTGGGTACATGACTCGAGAGCAGCCACTCACAAGCCACCTCAACTTCTTTGTTAGTCTCAGAAGTGAGTCTAGCAAAAATCGCAAACAATTCGTACTGGACCAGGTGCAATTCTCCGGTTGCAAACGGGCCTTTACGATAGCGTCGACCAAATGCCAAGATTTGCTTGGTGAACCCAAGCCGGCCATGCAGACGCATCCGGTGACAGAATGCAATGTTAAGTGTAGATCCAGTGAAATCGCACGACGTCTCAGGTGTCGACGCATGAAACCTCAGACGGCCGGTCACGGAAGTTTTTCTTCTGTATTTTTCCTCCACTCGAGACGAAACTTGTTCTGTTTGCGTCATGTGTTTTTTGTTCATGGCATACCACGAGCTTACGTTGAGCGAGCAAGCTCAACCTAGACATGCAACTCATGGCCAACACTATCTATCCGCCAACCTGAGAGTGAGCAGTGGGGAGACGAGAACTGGACTGAGCAGCGGGAGCACGGCAACCGCGGGATTAACATCAAGGTCCACTCGTTTGTGGCGTCGGTCCGGCCCATGTTCTACAGGGATACCCGGAGTAGGCTCGAGTTTGGACATGTATTTGAGTTTGTGTGCTCGAACATAAATGTTTTTACAGATGATTTCTGGTAAAGAAGAGATCCCATTGGCCCATGAGGCTGTCAGAAATGCAGTTGTAGTGATATAATACCATGAATGCTACACCAAGTCCGAGGAAAGATTCCAACACTATGCCTTGTCTTCCAGGGGGATGCTTGCGTAGATACGGCAGCATGGCTGATACCAAGAAGCGTAGCAAGAAGGTGCAAAGAAAATGGGCTTGCCCAGCGTAGCCGCGGGAGCCAATGGCCAGCAAACTTCGGGTCAGATATCGGCAGTACCTGTATGTCTTGCAGGGTGTTTGTGTTTGAGACTCTGGTTGTGGCTGATTTTAGGTGATTACCTTGGGCCCCGGCGCCCGGGACAAGTACGTCGGGCTTCGGGGCCAGCATGAAGCTCGCACAAGCTGTCACACGTACTGAACAGGCCGTGAACGACACCAGAATGCGCTCGAGGGCAGCCTCACCGCCCATTCGCGCCCAGCTGCCATCCATCGGAATGGAGAGTCCGATGAGTGTTTCGGCGGCGCGGCGATCGATGCGTGCCGCCAACGCCATGCGCTCCGTGCATCAGCTGTGTACATGGATTGCCTGCTGTATACTGCCTCTGCTGCCGTCGTACATACGTGTCGCTGATATGAGGCCACAAGTCGGATGAGGCATGGGAAAGAAGGTTGAGTGCAAGAGGGGGAGACGAAAACCACAGGCTGACATTCGGGCCTTAGCGCCATGAACGCATAGGGTCCGGATTGGCAAATGCGGGTCCAATCGGTTCTTTGAAGAACTTTGTATGGCTCCGTTGCAAGCCACAACCAGTGGTCGACACGGAGAACGCCAGAGAGGCACTCGACATGTGCGCCTCGTTCAACTCTAGAAGCCTGTCGCCCTAGCTGCATAACGTCTGCCATCCTGAAACGCTGTCTTTTGCTACGGGGCGCCGCGGGGTATTCTTAGTCTCGCACGCCCTCGAGCCTTCAAAACCACACTGACGCACTCCCCCAACTCACAGAGTACACAAAGCTCGCTCTGCCGCCCGTCATCTTTTCGCCGGCCTCTGGATGACTATGCAGCACCGGTCCCGGATTCTCAATCGACTCTGGCTGCGACTCAATGGCGAACAGCAAGTAAGTAGTAGTAGTAGTAGTAGTAGTAGTAGTAGTAGTAGTAGTAGTAGTGGCTGCGCGACACTTCCACTACCCCCCGGCAGACTGACTGACCATGCCCAGGTATGAATATGTGCGCTTGTTTGAGCAACCCGACATCCTCCTGGCCAACACATGGATTGTCGTGCGAATCGACGGCCGTGGCTTTTCAAAGTATGTCCTTAATCTATTCATCTTCCTTTTCTCCGTTACAGCCGTGTCCTTTCTCGCGCTGCTAGTAGTTTGCGTCCGCCAGTGTATGCAGGTACCCGTCACCTGGTGCATGAACGGATAATGTTGCCTCAGGCCATACTCTCGGCTATTATACAACACCAAGCAGTCCTCGCTGATACCATGCCACTAGGTTCACGACCAAATATAATTTCATCAAACCCAATGACAAGAATGGCACTGATGTCATGAACGCCGCGGCTAAGGCTGTCATGCAAGAAATACCCGACCTTGTCATGGCATTCGGCAACAGCGATGAGTACAGGTGCGTCCTCCCCGCCTTATTGGCCTGCGCCGCGTTTGAGGGAGATTGAGGGCTCCCGTAGGGCTTAAGCTAGCCCGCCTTTTCTTTCTCTACATGGTCAACGTCCGCGTTTCACAAGCCCGCTCAGCTGACGTGGGCCGTAGTTTCGTCTTTCACAAGGACTGTACCTTATTTGAGCGAAGAGCAAGGTATGCATGCACCACCATTGGCCCAATCGCGTTTTACCGCTACTTCCTATTCCATTGCTGACCCGTCTGTAGCAAGTTGACTACGACAATCGTCTCGACTTTCACTTCTTACTATGTCTATTCTTGGGCCAAATACTTTCCGCAAAAGCCACTCACGCCCCCACTGCCCTCTTTTGACGGCCGCGCCGTCTGCTACCCAAGTGATACCAATCTCCGCGACTACATGAGCTGGCGCCAAGTTGATTGTAAGTAAAACGCCACACCGTTGTTCCTACCATATGCAGTTTGGCCCCTGTAATTTCTCAAAATTCATTGCAAATGTTCCGGTGGGTCTAATGGAAATCCAGGTCACATCAACAATTTATACAATACCACATTCTGGGCTCTTGTGCAGCAGGGCGGTATGGGTCCTCGTGAAGCTGAAGAAAGACTAAAAGGGACGGTATCATCCGATAAAAACGAAATCCTGTTCAAGGAGTTTGGAATCAACTACAACAACGAGCCAAACTGCTTCAGGAAGGGGACCGTGTTATACCGAGACGTAAGTCATTCTAACCTCCAGTCGATGTCTTGAATAATAGCACCTGACATTGGCAGTTCTTCCCTCCAATATCGCCTGAAGAGTTGCCAACGCCCATGATTTCGGAGTTCCCTACACCACCCCTCGCTCAACCAAAACCCAGGAGGGTGTCGAAAGATCAACTGTCTAAATCTATCGAAAAGACTGTAACTACTTTGCCAGAGTTGGATACTTCTGTGGCATTGCCAGATTCCTGCTCGCGTCCAACATTTCTCTCAACTACATCGACTCCCTCGCCCCCACCATCACCGCCACACATGGCGAGGGCAGCATTTCCCAACCCGCTTCGGTCCAACCCTATCAGCACTCGAAGTAGTGCCAATGTTCTTGACTCTTCTTTCCCACTTTCACCACCATCGACTGCCACCTGGGCTACCAAACCACAGTCCAATGGCAAGCAACCACTGCCTTCGCTAACACCTCTACCTCTTTCTCCGCCAACGCTGAAGCCAAGCACCAAGCCTCCGATGTCTCTGAACGCACCGAATCCGACCACACGCACAAACTTCTCGCCGACGACACCGCAGCATGACTTTCCCGCCGATTTCCCGATAGCAGGATACCGCCACAAAACCTCCTTGTCAGTCAACCAGGGCATCTCACACTCTGCTTCGGCTTCCCTCACGACAGCACAACTACCACAAGATCAGCATCCCGGACTTAAGCGACGCTCACCTAGCCAGCCATCACTCCCAACATACTTTGATACGGTTGCCAGAAGCCAGACAGGGCCGCCTTTCATACCTTTGCGTATGTCAAGCATTCCCGCCAATAACAAACCCAGGAAATTGTCGCTGCCTGTTCACCGATCATCTAGCACACTGAGAGCCACCAGGGGCACGGATGAGAAGGAGAGCGGGGCGAGCACTAACGAGGCAGTTTCCACGCCGCTCCGCAGAGTTAGCCCGCCAATGCAAAAGAACAAGGCCCTACCAAGTCCACCGATGAGCGCAGAAGAGGAGACGCGGACACGAGAGAAGGTCATAGCCAGCAGCCCGAGGCATGACTGGAACAACTATTCCATGGCCTACAACGCCACGGAGCAACCAATACGAAGAGCCAGTGACTCTGAGAGTCAAGCCGGCCGAGTCTGGACCAGCGAGCAGGCTCCACACCCAGGCATCCCCGAACTCCACGCCATCTCAACCCAACTCCCACCCTCGGCCTCCAGCACCATAAAATCCCCCCTCACATCCGCATCCCTCCAATACCCCCACCCAACCCCAGACATGCACACCCTCATCTCCTCCACCACCACCGCCCCACCACCCCCAAAATCCCAGCCCTACGCCACCACCCAGCCCTTCCCCAGCAGCAACACCACCATGCCTCTCCGCACCAACCTGCTTCCCGCCCTCACCAAGCCGAAAAACAAGGACTCTGTTTCTCCCAAACAACCAAATGACTCCCAGAAGCGCAGACACCCGGAGTCAAAGCGGAAAGAAGCCAAGAGCTCAGCTACTGCTGGTGGTGGTGATGAGGGACGCCCTATCAATATGAGTCGTACTGCGCGGGAGAAGGATCGCAAGAAGAGGAGTAAAGCGGCGATTCTCATGGAGCATGTGGATATTATCAAGGATGATTTTTGGGATAAGCGGCCGTGGCTCTTGAGTGGGAAGACGGGGTGAAAGGGCAAACATCACTGATTTTTTTTAACGATTGTTGGATCTTCTTTTCTTTTTCTCTCTTTTCGGGGAATCAACCTTGGGATGTCACTGGATCGCCATATCCCAGATTACGGATTTTTTTTCTTTCTCTTCTGCTTCTTTTATCTTTTTTTTCTGGGGGGGAGGGATGGGGATGGGGGCGAATTGGTCTGGATGAAGTTGAGATATGAGAGATTTTTTGCATAAAAATATATGTATCACTGGTATGACGAATTGTTTTTTGATGTTTTTGATGATTGAATGTTCTTTGTTTTGTGCTAATTTACGGGGGGGGGGGGGGGGTTTGCCGTTATGAAATAGTTTCCCTCTCTCTCTGTAACAACATATGTATGATTGCGTGATTGAATATCCCTTTGCCGCTTCCTATGATGGTATCTTGTCTAAGTCGCTGTAGTTCTTTCGCATGCTTTTTTCCTTCGTCTTTTTGTCTATGCACTTGAGTGCGCGGGTCCCCTTTTGTGCGGATTTATTACTTGCTGTGTTGCGCCAACTGCTTTCCGCCTCCTTTCTTGATGTGCAGTCTTGGCTCGGTGCGTTCGCGGCGTGGAGCCGGCTGCTCATGTGCTGTTTTTGAGTAGCGAGCTAGGCTGGGTAGAGGCCTTCAAAGCTCCATCCCACATGATGCGCGATATGTTTCGTCATATTATGCATGTGTGAACAGAGACGTGTTTTTGTGGACTCTGTCTCTAGCGTCCGGGTTGATTGTTTTGCCTGCACGTCTACTGCTTTGTGCGCACCTTGTCACTCCTCTTCTGTTTCTTCTTGTCCGTTTTTTCCTCTTTCTTCACCTTTATCATATCCTTTTCAGCTTTCTTATGTATCCTACGGAGGACGTATTGCTCAAGTGTCTGGCCCTTTTCAGCAGCGCGAGTTTCGTATTCTGCTTTCTCGTCGGGTTTTAGCTTTGCAAGCTTTTTGGCTACGCCATCTTGACTATTGTCGCTTGGTTTTGATTTCGAAGTCTTTTTAGACGAGTCTTTTGACTTCTTGCTCTTTTTGCTCGCAGATTCTTCCTTCTCTTCCCGTTTGCGCTTGTTCTTCTTTTCTGAAGTCTTTGCGGGCGCTTCGCTGTCAGAGGCAGAGGTCGGGGGCGTACTGGTTCCGGATGAGGGATTTGAGGCTTCAGTAGTAATCGCGGATGTGTCTTCGATGGTGCCCTCTATTTGTTCGCCCTTGACAAAGAAACCGTACAGGCCACCACGGTTGATGCCCTTGGTGCGGATCTGGTCGAGCGTGCTCTGCGCAGAGAATTAGCTGGAGAACTTCGCTTTTCAATCGCCAAGACAGGCTATGTTCAGGTGCATACATCTTTGCCAGTTCCAATGCTTTGCAGGCTCTGGTCAAACGCTCGCATCCACCACTGGTCGTCTGTTGTATGCGCCGCCTTCTTTTTGCCAAGTCCCAATTGATCATTCTTGTGCGCGATAAGAAGGGGCTTCTTGATGCCGCGCCCGGTCGTGTCGAGAGAGTGGCCGGAGCCTTGCCAGCCCTGCTTGCGCAGGTATGCCTCGGCGTTCATTGCTGTTGAGGGTGAAAAGGAACACGGGAGAGTTCGCGCCAGGAAATTTTGGTGGGGAAATTCTGGGCGTTAGCGCGCAATGCAATGCGGACCCCCGAACCATATTGTCAAGTCTAGTTTTCAGTCTTCGTCCCACGTGTTGTCTTTGGTATCAACGCCAATTCCTTCTTTCAAGACTGTAAAATATATGCATTAGATTTTCGATGTTTCGTATGCTGATATTCTAAGCCCTGCGTCCCCATTTTCAATCATCACCTGTTCTATTCTACAGGCCTCTACTCGTAACATGTCGATGAATGTATCAAAACACACTGAA